TTATATACAGAGATAAAGCTTGATCATAGGCATGACAACTTGGTATTAAATGAACAAACATCAGTCATATTACTTGTGTGCCTGAACTTTCTTGAACACACCACTTTCTAGTATTTTGCTTATAACTCACTAGGAACTTAACCAAAAAATGTCATGAGACTATGGAAAGACTACCCTTCACAAGGGCTACAACTCTGATTTTCATCGGAAAGATTCCCACGGTCTACCCTAGTCATTCCTTATCTTGGTCCTTAATCAAAATCCTAGTCCCTAATAATCAAAAACTCGAAATTTCATCAAGTCTTTCTTTACTATTGTATTCCTGTTGGTATTCTTAGTCTTAATAAGCAAACATCAGTCACATTATTTGTGTGCCTGAACTTTCTTGAACACACCACTTCATAGTGTTTTGCTTATAACTCATTAGGATCTTAACCACAAAATGCCATGAGACTATGGAAAGACTACCCTTCACAAGGGCTACAACTTTGATTTTCATCAAAAAAGTTGCCACAGTCTACCCTAGTCATTCCTTATCAAAATCCTAATGTTGATTTTCATCGAAAAAGTTGCCAGTCTACCCTAGTCATTCCTTATCAAAAACTCGAAATTTCATCAAGTCTTTCTTTGATATTGTATTCCTTTGGTATTCTTAGTCTTAATAAGCAAACATCAGTCACATTATTTGTGTACCTGAACTTTCTTGAACACACCACTTCGTAGTATTTTGCTTATAACTCATTAGGATCTGAACCACAAAATGTCATGAGATTATGGAAAGACTACCCTCGACAAGGGCTACAACTTTGATTCTCATCAAAAAAGTTGCCACAGTCTACCCTAGTCATTCCTTATCAAAATCCTAGTGTTGATTTTCATCGAAAAAGTTGCCAGTCTACCCTAGTCATTCCTTATCAAAATCCTAATGGTAGAGTATTGTATTAGACTTAGAAAGTATCATATTTTATTTCAAGTCCAATGGATATGGTATATATATCAGTTGCTGCCTAGATATATACAAGGTCATGTAGTCTAATGGTAAGTGATGCTCGAAAGTGTGTGAATTGATCAGGTGATCTCAGGTGGTAAGTTGTAAGCTCGAGAGTTCTAACCAAGCAAGTGGCATAAATTCAAATAGAAATAATGATTAGTAGTTCTTTTATTTTACTGACCATAATATTGAACATTATACAGGCCAATTGTGTGACAGTTTTGTCTGAAGTATCCTAGCATTATAATACATTGTCAAGGATGGCAGGTATTTGCAATATGTATCATATTTGTGCCTTTGGTGGTTTCTGCCAGTGGAACCTGCCTATCTAAAGCTTTGTCTGGCCAAGTTCAATTATGATAGATATTATATAAATGTTATGATATATAAAGCTTTATAAAGCTATGTCATTGTCGAGTCAATTTCCTGATGGGGGATACGAAGCATACGAGCGCATGCCAATGGGGGTGCAAGGAGCCCCATCATGCTTCAGCGACCTCACAGCACAAGCGCTACACGACATAATGATACAACTACTCCTCGAGTTGTACGTCGACGATGGCGCTATGTCAGGTAATGTATTCGACGAACTGTTAGCACGCTTACGCTTGTTTTTTCTTAGATGTAGGGAGAAAGGCTTATCGATCTCACCGACTAAAACACAATTTTTTATGGAGGAAGTCGTTTTCGGTGGATCGCGAGTTGGTCGCAAAGGTATACGACCAGATCTAGCGAAGATCGCGGCTGTAGCAGAATGGCCAGTGCCATCAAATCTCTTAGAACTAATGAGATTTCTAGGTCTTACAGGATATTTTCGGCCGCTCATCAAGGATTACGCGCGCTTAGTACTACCGCTAACTGACCTTCTCCGAAATCTAGATAGACCGCCGCCTAGTGCACAAGGAGGTAAACAGAAGTATAGACAATACTTACGAGAGCGGAACTTAGATTCGTACTGGGATCAACGACACGCGAAAACCTTCCTCAAACTTAAACAAATTTTGATTTCAGAACCTATCCTACGTGCGCCTCAGTTCGACGGAACACCCTTCATTATCACAAGTGATGGGTGCAAGGATGGGTTTGGAGCGGTGTTAGCTCAACGAGTCACTTCGCAGGGGCCCAACGGGGACACGATCACCACCATCCATCCTATCGGTTTTGCGTCAAAACGCACGTCACCGACCGAAGAGCGCTACAAACCATACCTACTCGAGTTCGCCGCCATGAAATTTGCATTCGACCAGTTCGGGGCAACGGTCTGGGGATTCCCGGTAGAGGTTGAAACAGATTGCACCGCACTAAGGGACACACTGCTTAGTGATAAGCTCTCGACCATACACGCGCGCTGGCGAGATGGAATACTAGCTTACCAAATAGTAGCGGTACGACATCGACCAGGCGTAACCAACACCGCAGCGGATGCGTTAAGTCGACGCATGTCTGGACGACCACGAACGGATGGAGACGGGAGCACCTGGACAGTCAGCGAAGACTGGGAAACAGCCCACGGCCTAGTAAATGATCTTCTATTAGTACAACCAACTGACTCGGTGATTTCAGACCTACGGGAACGCTTCAAACAGGAACCCTTGTTCCTCGAAGTCATAGAAGCTATACTCAACCTAGATGGCAGAAAACCCGAACGCGAACGTCGCAGAGCACGCTATCGTGCCCTAGGGTATATGATTGATGAAGGACGCTTATGGCGTATAGCAGATGGGAAATCCACGAGAGCACGAGCGCGAATAGAGTGCGTATTGCAACTAGAGGCGATGGAGTTAGCAAAACAAACGCACGCCAACAACGGGCACTGGGGTAGGGATCTTACCAAACTCCAGCTAATGGATCGCATCGTCAGCCCGCGACTCGATAAGTCTATAGTCAACGCACTCTTGGAATGCCCGCAATGCAAAAATTTTGGGTCAGCGCAACTACACGCACTCATGTACCCCATCACGCGACGTCACCCCTTCGAGCTTCTAGTCACAGATTACCTAGCACTTCCAAAAGGTAAAGGCGGATACCATAATGTCTTGCTAATCCTCGATACCTATTCACAGTACGTCTGGGGGTTCAAGTTAAAAGTTCACGGCACGGCAAAGACAACGGTAGACGGACTCGAGACGATCGCACACACCTTTCGCCCACCGGACACGTTTATGACAGACGGTGGCTCGCACTTCGACAATGGGATCGTGCGTACGTGGTGCACAGCGCACGAAACCAAACACCATGTGGTAGCGGCATATGCTCCATGGATTAACGGACTAGTGGAAAATGCGAATGGGAAGTTGTTGGGGCGTTTGAAGAAGCTGTGTAGCCCAGGTCTAGGAGAGGACGAATATGAGGGCGTGGAGTCAGAGAACCTGGCCAAAACATGGCCAGATCACTTCGACAATGCCATTCGTCAATTAAACGAGCGCATCATCCCAGCATTCAAGTTCTCGCCCAAGGAACTTATGTTAGGGCTCGTCGTCAACACAAATCCAACACCAATTGCGAACGCATCCGTGGAGCTAAGCACATCAGAAGTCGACGTGCACATGGCGTATGTTGAACAACAACGCCTCGATGGCGCAGACCATACCGTGGCGCACACAGCACAACGCAAAGCGGCGTTCGATCGTAAGGTTCTTCGGTCACATGCAGGTGAAGTAGTATTCGAATCTGGACAGTTAGTGCAAGTCTACGCTAATGCTTTAGAATTTACCATGGCCTCGACACGCAAACTACAGCCACGATGGTCAGCGCCACGGCGTGTCATCACTAGAATCGGCAATTCTTACACACTCGCAACCTTGGAAGGGTTCCCACTTAACGGATTATTCAACGCACGACGTCTACGGAGATTCATACCACGAAACGGTACAGCACTAGCAGCACTACAGAACGCTATAGGCGAATCAAGCATGAATGACGAAGAAGAACCCACTGCAGAGGAGCAAGAGTTGGATATGGAAGCAGAGATTGCAGAAGATTTAGATGATGACGAGTAGCACATCACGCGTCCCCGGAGGGTCGCACTTCTGGGGGGGGCATATGGAGCGGAGCGATCTAGCGGGACTCGGACGGATCTGGTTTAGGCAGAAGCAGGGGTAGCAGGGTGTTAGGAGTCCAGGGGAGTTCGGGGTCGCAGCAGTAGGCACTTGCATGTAGAACACAGAGACAGATCATCATCATCATCATCGTTGTCTAGCATCTTCCTTCGTCGCTCCTGACCATCGTGCTGACCAGTCCAGCGGCCAGATTTGTTCAAAAGAAAACACGTCGAGAAACTCAGCAACAAACTACCTTAGTATGGCCCTCAGGACTCAAGCATCAACCATACTGCACGAATGTGAAAGCAGAAAAACAACTCACCGCCACACTACATGCACATAAAGGCGATCTAACACGTCGGTGAGTCAGGTGGTTAAATCCGGGACGCGACTACTCATACTCATGCATTGACGCATATGAACGCAGTCTGAGCAGCCGCTCTCAGACACACAAAAGAAAGGACACCTCTTAATGTCAGTATTACTAGCAGATATCGATGCTGTCAAAGCAGCAATAACGGCCAGGACACAGGAGAAACTCATTGTTTGTGGGGAATCAGAGGATGGTATATGGGGTCAAATAAATCTGTGGGGGATAATGGGAAGATGCCTTGTTTTTATGTGCTGAACATCGTTAATATTGTCTTTCATGGCAATGTATAGAAGATGTCTGCTTAATGCCAGCGTTATAACTTATTGCCACCTATGCTTCACCTTGTGAAGCTAGGTCTGCGAAATTAGTGCGAATTGGCAACGTCGGACCGTGGTCCAGCCTGGCTATCACCTCAAAGTCCACAAACGCCACGACGTGGCGGCTCAACGTTCTGAATAGGGTTTATCTAACACCACTGTAGAACCAAGTGGGTGTATTTCCTAAGCACATCAAGAGAGGGGCACGCGCGCCGGTCACGTGTATGATCACGTTCCCGAACTGCGCGTGGGCCTCAGTGAATTCAAATCACTAGTTCAAAGCTTTGGTTCTTCATATGCCAACATTCCGTGCCCTCAAAACGCTCGTGCGGTCGCTATCCACCACCGCCAGATCCGCACCAGAGCTCGTTGGCACGGCTCCTCCGCATAAGTGCTACATCTTCTTGCACACCCCACAGCCGCCCAGCGAGTATCCCGCCAAGTACGCAACCCCCGTCCAGCGCGCGCTCCTTCTACGCACCGCTAAATGGGGCGGGTCTGTCAACTTTGCGTGGTCTGAGGACCAACAGTCTGTCCGTGCACCACCGCCTGGGGAGGAAGACAAGCAGGAATATCATTTGACAGCGTTTACGCATCCGCGTGGAAAGCTGGAGGCTAGGGTATCTATGGACAATATTGAGGAGGTGGGAGAACAGTTGAGGGTGCACGCTGAGCTCGAGGGTGTCTCCAGTACTACGTTCCCGGATTCAGATGATGTGCATCTATATATCTGCACGCATGGTGCGCGAGATTGTCGGTGCGGAGACATGGGGGGAGCAGTTGCCCAGGCTATAAGGGATGAGCTCCGCAAGCGCAGAGATGCGGATCCGAGTGATCCGAGTACCTGTATTAAGCTTGCAGAGGTAGCACATGTCGGAGGGCATAAGTATGCACACGTCACATACTCTTCACCAAGCCCGATCGCTCATGCACAATCCTAGATACGCAGCAAATCTCCTTGTGTACCCGCACGGAGAATGGTATGTTTGACACTACTGATCTGTGCGCATGTATTCATCCAATCTTAATTGTAAAGGCTAGGTGAGGTGGAGCCCGAAGATGTTCCAGAAATTCTGGATGCTATTCTCGCGTTGCCAGCACGCCCTCGCAATGCTTACGAAAAGCCTCTGTCTCCGCGCCACTGGAGAGGCCGCATGGGGTTGAGCAAGGACGAGCAGCTCGACCTCTTCCAGCGGACTTGCTCATGATACATATAGAGTGCACATACCATAGTGCCAGTATCACACCCTAGAAACACACGCATATTCTATATTAGACAGCAAACCACCTCCTCTGATACAGAGTGTGTACGATCATCTATTGTTTCAGCCATACGAAGCTTGTCCGTGTCGGAAGCTCCGTATTCACTGCGACCTCCTCCAAATTCGCGCCTCCCTCCGTTCGCTTGAACACCTTGACGCCCGCAGTGCCCGCAAATCCGGCAGCCACGATATATGCATCGCCTCCCTCGCCGGCCTGTTGGCCATGCATCATGCCGCGGATCTGGTCCAGGCCCGTGTACACCTGGTTCCTCAGCACCAGCTTGTTATCCACCTTCTCGAAAATGGCGATCGTGTCCCCACGCGGGTCCTGTACACCAACGTTGCGGTTCGAGGTGTAAATGTAAGGGATCGGGAACTCGGCTGTTGGGAGCGGGATAAGGACTTCGGCAGCTGCGAAGCTGGAGCCTGCGGGTTGATAGTATGGGACGATGGATACGTTGGAGATGATGGGGGTGGAGAAATTGGGGTATGCGGGGAAGTCTTGGAGTGTCAGAGTGCTTGCAAGCTCGTGGACCGTGTAGAGCTGGTTCTCTGCGTGCTTGCTTAGCGAGATGGAATTATGAAAGGGGATATGCTCACCGTAGATCTGAATGTGCCGTGGGCCGCTGCCAATCGGCTGCGCGATTTGACCATGTACTGAGAAGTCACCTGGTGACCCGTTCTGGCCAAGACGCCAGATCTTATCGTTGCCCTATTACACAGCCGCTTGTGGTGAGTGGAAAGGCCACAAATCACTGATGAAAGGACCCTAAACACACCTTGTCAGGGATCAACAGCTCCTCGCCGTATTGATATGCCATGTGTGGTTCGGACACCCCCTGCGTTCCCGTGGTTGGGACAGGGAACGTCACAATGGTGCTGTCATTGGAGAAATGCAGCGGATCTGTGGTCGTGGGGATCACACGCGCAGTTCCAGAGCCGTACTGAAGTTCATGAAATTCAGCATCCACTTGAAAAAGAGGAAAACATAGACAGGCATAGGAAGTGACAGCAGTAAAGACCACACGTACGTTGACTATGGCTACCTGACCAGTGGTGAGACCGCCACAGTACGGCGGGCCGCTTCCTCCAGAGTATGCAGTATCGACAAGGGTGAGTGCTCCTTCAGGTCCGACCGTGAACGATTGTAGTGCGCCTGTAGGGACGTTCTCGTTCGTTGCACTGCGTGATCAATTACAACCATTAGCAGACACGCGCAGATACTAACAAAGGAGGAGGACACGCACTAAAGAATACTCTTGTTCGTGGGATGCGAAATTATCCACGATGGATTGCCGCCAGTGAGGTACTGGTTCAAGTACGTCAAATTGTTCGTGTCGCTGTTGAACGTATACGACGCGATGAAGGAGGTGTATCCTCCTGCGAGGATAGTAAATTTTACCATAGGTATTAGCAACAAGAGAAAAGTGAGAACAAGCGAGAATGTTAGCGATTACCGGTCACCGGCCCTCATCACTAGGGCTTTTGTATTCGCCTCAACAAATTTTGTCATCGAAAGAACCATATCGTGGAGGGCGAGCCATACGCTCGCACAGATTCACTGGTCACGTTGCGAATACAAAGGTAGCGCATGACTTGCTTCGTAGAGCAGAAATAGGTGTAGTAGGCTTGCCGTCGGACAAGCTTGGGGGAGATCATCGATCATGCGCCTAGCGGTAGATCATCGGTGTATTGTAAACGTGTGAATACTATATACTTGAACTTCGCTAACCGGACTTACGTTAGTGATAGCTCGCTGTCTGCATCCGCCAGCCTCCATCGCCCAGAGTCCAAACCCTACCCAGGGGCCAGCAGCACCCAGCACTACTTCTCAGCTCCCTCACATTGATGGTTCACATTCGTCACGCATGGGAACGGTATATCACGGAAATCCCTGCGAAAAAGAAATAGTGGTCACAAAGAAATATTGGTAGGGCATAACACCATACTTAAAACGAGTTCCTGAACAGTTTCGCTCAGGCAATCCGTTCAGCGCCCGCTCGCCCTCACAGCTCATGGTGCTGTTGTCTCTGGCCATACGCCCAAACTTTCTCATAGTAAGTACTCCTGGTACTAGTCATTCCAAATTGTAATCGTTACAATGCTGGATAAATGTTTCTTTCACACAACCTTTGGGTGTCGTAACAAACCGAAGATATGGACTTGACCATTATACTCCCAGAGCTTCTCCAGGTTTCAAATAAGCTATTCGCTGTGTTGGCTGGCACCCGCGGATCACCCATACTGATGGAATTGATGACGTTGCATTGACGCGGCCATGTGACATTGACCGGATACCGGTTCAAATACACAGAGCTACTTTCCGATCCGTCGTACGGGCCATCACGATGACTACTACATGTCATGAGAGCAGGGATAAGTATGTACAACGGGATCACCAGTGATCCGCGAGTAGAGAAAGTCGGAAGAAGTGCGAAGTTCTTCCTCCCGGACAGAACTCGAATCTCCGTGGAAACCTCAGGCAGTTGTTAATTTTCCACTCGTCAGGTGTCCTTCATGCCTCCTTGATCACGGTGAGTTCACTCCCCTTGCCAAAATTTACACACGTTTGAAAGCACTCGTCATGCAGTCTTGTTCCTGACGTTCGATAGCATATGATTCTGACACACAGCCACGTATGTGGGTATATGCCTCAGGCGGGTCTGTTACGTGTGTTACGTGTGTATGTTTTTATTTACTTCCCCTTTACGCCTGCTTAGGATCTGAAGCCCGGATGATCGTCATGATGTTGACAGCGCATTCAATTCATAGAAAATCCCCAAACAATCCTGCTCAAATGAAGAGCCGGACCACTCATACATCATTCCGCGTTCCTGCGCGATACTTGGCGCATCACAAGAAGGGCGCGAGCCTAGTGGAGCTTGTTTATGCGTAGCACCAGCGTGCAAGCATCCTCAGTACTGATCTCCAATCGTACAAGTGTGCCAATAGGAAAACAACCGTTTATTTGTTCCAAAACAGACACGATCCAGAAAAACCGAACCGGCCTCAACTTCTTGGTATTGCAAGATCAGTGAGTGTCACAGAGAGTGCGGTGCTATAAAGTAATTTAATATTTATCTCAGGACAACGTTAGTCTCTACCCAAAGGGGAAAATTCCCAGTCTGCACCTCAACCCTTGTTGGTGCTGGATGACTAGCTGCAACCCCTGACTACAGGGCACAGCGCATCGATGGATAAAAGCACCCTCAATGCCGAGCCTTCCTCACAAATATGGAATCCCTCCTCAAGATACCACTCATTCTTTCGTCCCCACTCGCTTTGCATGTATCTGGCACACCGCCCAATACCCCCACCAGTAACGATGTTGTTCACTACAATCCTATTGAGTGGGTTCTCACCCAGGATATCAAATACGGGCTCCCGCTCGCAAAGGTAACTATCCGTTCATTGATTGTCCACCAACCTTTTTGATGGAACTATGCCACAGGCACTCTCCTGGGCTGTTGCTTTGATAGAACTCGCTGCCATCGCCTCTCGCGTGATAGACCCCACCAGTCTTCCCAGCGGGATGCAAAGCGTAGCCGCTGTGCTTCAAACGATTCAAGACGTACCCATCACCAGTTCCCAGCTTCTCGCTGGCACCGCACTCATGGTTGCGGGGGGTTTACTACGCTGGTGGTGTTTCCGCACTCTCGGTCGTTTCTTCACATTCCATCTCAGTGTTCGCAAAGAGCACACGCTTGTAAAGACCGGACCATACGCAGTCGTCCGCCATCCATCCTATCTGGGAGCGGTTGCGCAATCCATCGGCATGTTTGTCTTGCATGGATCGTGGTCATCGTTCTTTAGACGCTCAGGCGTTTTAAATATCCCTGTGGTGAAAGTGATTATGATGGCAGTGCTGGCGCAGAGAATAACTGCTATAGTAGGCCTCATGTTTAGGATCGACAATGAGGATAAAATGATGAAGTCAATCGCAAAAGATGAGTGGGTGGACTGGGCTAAGGTGGTTAAATACCGGCTCATCCCTGGTATCTACTAAATACAATACGTATGTCATATACTATACTGCCAAGTGCGTAGCGTTACTACCGTTGAAATTTTGATGTACACTTCAATCATGTTACTAGATCGGCGTCCACCATGTTCTAGCATCCCTGTCCAGCACCTACGACATACTCAAGACTGATTCTTTCAACCCCTGGTCTTCAATACCAGAAGGTGTAGATTGTTTAGATTAACTATGAACGTGGTAGATATTGCACCCCTCTGACGTCTATGAAATCCCGCCCTTGTGGTAGCTCAGTAAGGGTAACACAACTGTTGACGCGACTGGGAGCAACAGCTTCTTACGAGAGGATGCCTCGAACAACGAAGTGCCCGTAAAGCGAGTCTATTTTCGCAGAGTACTGAAGCGTAGCAGCCTGAGTGTCATGACGGCCTTTCATGTGTTACATGGTCTTGTTGCTCAACAAAAAAAAACAGAAGGCGCATTCCGCTCTCCTGCCATGCTTCCAAATATTTGGGTAATTGCTACATAAAGTGCCGTCAAGGTAAACATATTAGGCGATCACAAATGTACCAAATGTACGAGACACTAAACACATCAAAGTCCACGAACATCGGATGGCTTGGCTTCACCCCGGAGTCTGTCCATCCGAAGATTGTATAAATGCACGGCAGGCCTCGTAACGAGCGGAAAACAGGTGGCGTATGAGTTGCCGTTTGTGAATCAATGGACCTTGTGCACCAGGGCCCGCGTTGTCGGCATTTCGTACAGAAAATTGAGTCACTGCGAGAGCCGCCTCGCCAACGAGAGCACTGCTTCTGGGTGGGTCCTCAACGGCGTATCGCTTGATATACGGATTCTCCGCGGGAAGCGGCAGAGTTGAATATGTTGGAAGTTGATCGGCTGGTAGATCGAAAGACGGAGGGAGCAAGAGGCCCGTGAAAACCCTATAAGCAGTCAGAAAGCGCTTCCATCTGCGTGAATATTAGAATCATGACTACAGTCTCAACCCAGATCACCTACTGCCTGTAGTTCGCTTCTCGCAAAATGAGCATAATAAATTATTAAGAACTTTGATCACTTGCCATACACAAGGGCGTTGTGCCATTTCCAAAGGGACCAACACATCCCAACTGCCATGGCAAAAGTACCGAGCGCACTCTTCAACGACCCCTGCCTTCCAGCTAGGCAGTCACACAGCGCCGAGAGCCGTAAAACCTTGTTGATGAAATCATCCAAACCCTCTTTGCGAATTGGTGAAAGGACTGGGTCGGTGACCTTCACGGCAAACTTCACGCATGCTCGCGTGAGCAGGCCATAGGACAAGGCGAATCCCAGACCGCCAAATATAGCCTTGAACTGAGCCTTGGTCTCTTCCTCGTTCGGTATCGTCAGCATCCATGCGGCAAACGAGCCAGTAATATACCCTGGAAGGTGAACCACGAATACTGGGAAGAAGAGAAGGGCACGAGGATGGAATACGGTGGTGCACAGCTGCAACAGGAGTGTCACAGTAGCGCGAATACGAGACGGCCAAAGGAGGGATCGCATAGGAAAGTCCTCGTAGTGATTGACGAAAGGGTAAAGGTCTTCCAGAGCAGAATGAGAAGTGCCGGTGAAGTGCAGAAGCGCAAGGTGTCTATTCACAATGGCCTTCCGTTTTTCCATTTCTTCACTTCTTGACGAGAAAACATTGACAAACCTTGGAGTCATCGAAACTTCGAGAGACTGGGAGATACAAGATACATATAACTCACATTTGAGAGATATCAACGAATCTGTGAAGCGGGATGCGATCCTCGTTCTTCCAGAACACCGCCATTGCTGCACGAGCCGCACGTAATGTTTCCCTGCAACACAAAAAAATGATAAACAATCAGTTTCACGATAGGACGACACGCACCAGTCAGGAGCATTCACAGTCAAGCGCTTGAGCTGTGACTCAATCGCAGCAGTGATCTCCTTTACCACAACACGCGTGCTCTCAGCACTCTCCGGATCCAGTCTTGCTGCGTATTTGCCGAGGGCTATTGGTTTGCCATATCTGGTCAGTTCAAGGCCCTGATCACTTGCACTACTCAACGATAGAGCGAGGTAACTACCTGACACAGACCTACAGCTCACATTTGGGTCAGATCAGACATAAAATAGCTGACAAACTTACTCTGCTCTGATACTTGGACTTATCCGTATAGACTACTGCCGCGGGGACAATCACCAGCTCCTTGCCTTCCTTCCCGGATAAAGTCACGGCTTTAGCGTATTCCACCGCAGCCCATGCTGCGCCGTCCTTCACTTGCACGATTCCGGGCTCGGTGTACGATGTTCCCTCGGGGAACACGCCGACCACCTCTCCAGCTGCAAGAGCAGCGGAGGTGTGGCGAAATAAGTCTGCTTGCGAGCCGTTGCTGTTTGACGAGGAGGAGCTGTTAGGGTTACGGTGAACGGGGATGCTTCCCGAGGAAGTGAGCATGGCGCCGGATATAGGGTTCTTGAAGAGAGATGACTTTGCCCAGTAGCATACCCTACGACGATACGGCATCGTCGCCGCTGCGACACCGCTTGTTTAAATAATGCAGGTTTTTAAAAGGGGAACACATTTGGGAGAGCTCACATAGCGCCGCTATATCGATGATTTCATTGTGATGAGTCGCAGCACTGAAAGACGCATGATTATATATACTTAGGTATGGTACAAGGATGAACGGGACACGTACATGATCACAGGTCCGTCCCGCGGCACATTCTCCCCTCCGGTGATGCAGACCTCGGAATAGAACCCAGACATGGTCCAGTCCGAGACCTTGCGCAAAAATCTATACACAATCATTAGCTCCATTGCTGGCTGCCCCTCGCATTCGATGCGACTTCAGGCCGAGGTACAAGTACGTGATACGTCTAAAAGGCAGTAAAAGAGATTAAAAAGAAACGCGGTGTTACATAAAGCGGGTTCACTGCTCCAGTTTCACGTGTTTTTCATTCTCAATCACGCGTTGATGTGAAGCACAAAGGTGTTGACAGCACAATACTAGAGACACAAAACAGGTGAACGACCGCGGGGCAAAGTTTTTGCTGCGCGTCGAACGGCGACATATTATTTGTAACTCCAAGTACATGCGTAGCAATTTTTGGCTCTTCGGTAATTCTCACAGCAAGGCCGAAAACACGAATATGAGGAGATCACAGACGACGACCGCGACGACCACCCTGTTAGGAAATTAATAACAAAGTTCCTTCAAAATGGGTGAGAGTGCATACCTTGCGTCTGGTGGAGTCAGTAGGGACGGGTGTGACGTCTTCGATACGCCCAATGCGCATGCCGGCGCGAGCAAGAGCGCGGAGGGCGCTCTGTGCACCGGGTCCTGGGGTCTTGGTGCCAGTTCCACCAGTTGCACGGAGCTTGATGTGGAGGGCAGTGATGCCAACCTCGCGGCAGCGCGTAGCAACATCCTGAGCAGCCAACATAGCGGCATACGGGGACGATTCGTCACGGTCAGCCTTCACTTTCATGCCACCTATGCACGATTATCATGAAGCTAAAGATCTATACCAGGATAGCAAATCGCGCTTACCGGTGACACGGGAGATGGTTTCCTTGCCCGAAAGATCGGTGACATGGACAAAGGTGTCGTTGAAAGAGGCGTAGATGTGTGCAACACCGAAGACCAACTCTCCCTCAGCAACCTGAGGACCGAGCGAAACAGTGTTTTCTTCTTTGGCGACCTTGGTTTTCTTCGGAGCCTATGCATCCAAAAGTTAGCTTGCAATCCACCTCAACAACAGGCCAAAATGTCGAAACGATGTTCGAACTGATAGTGTACGACACCACAGAATGATGTACGAGACTCTATACGCACCATTTTGATGGGCTTGAGGTATATTCAGCGATATGGGCCTTGGAGTCGAGGAATCTGAGCAAGGTTTTGCGGCTATGCAGAACTTGGCAAATATGAACAAACAACAGAAGTAGTGCTACGCGAAATTCAAATTGCAAAACCTCCTAGCTGGCAACCTGCAAACAGGGATCGGTTATCCATCCATCAAGTTCTTTGGAAGCTCCTTCATGCCAGAAGGTACATTCACCCTCAAAATCGCCATAGATCAGAATGGCCCACATGACGATCTCGAGTATTGAGCTTCCTCCAAATTCACTGTGAAGCTTCGAAAGGTGAGAAGTAAGAACAGTTAGTCGCCGCTATTCATCAATGTGCATAAGCTCAAGATTCGTGCACATCGCATTTCCTTTCTCCTATTCACAGCTCGCGAGGCCAACTGCACGTTTATAGAAACGTACTAGCCCAGAAAATCGCGATCCATTGCGTCAACATTGCGTGAAGTCACCATGATCCGATAAATGCTGCAGCTAATAGCAGAAGCATGAAATATCTCCTAATGCTCTCTCCTTTCAAAACTCTGCTGTTTCAAAATCTAGCATTGTGAGTGGAACAGCATGCGCTTCTTCAATTCAATAAAGTGCACCATCAAATATTGCATATATGGAAACCTTATCAGATAATCTTTTCTCGGCAGGGTCGCCCGGTCACCTGCCCACAGCAAATCCCCAATTCGGTGTTTCATCATTGGAGTAATCAGTTGATCAAACCTGTCACCTGTGCGGTATATAAACAGGTCAGGGTCTCTTATCCTGCAACTCATATCTATCTAATCAACCCACATCTACCTCAACCCATTCACCATGACCGTCTGCCAGGCCTTCGCCGGTGCTCTCGCCAACAAGGGTACGCATGTCCTTGTACATATTCGATCACTACCATAACATTATAACCCTCGATCAGGCATGAACGCACAGCAACTCGCTGTCGCTACTGGGAGTGACCAAACCCGCATGTCCCAAAGTACGTTTAGACACTGCCGTTCATCGATCCAACGTGCTCACTGGCGATGCACAGTTTGCGCAGGCACTGCGACCCCCACGACCGCAGAATACAACAAGATCGCGGGCGCCTTGGGCCTGGGCAGCGTAAGCGCCCGTTCTATTTTCCCGTGTGCTTTCTAATCATGTTCGTTCCCCATACCAGGTCCCTGCTGGCCACCCTTCGCGTTGAACCCTTTGATGTATAGTATTCAGCTAGCTTTTGTATCAATATACTGTACGAAATGATATCCCGGGCCTGATAACGTTCCACCTATGCTACGAGTGAGCCGGCTGCTGGCATTGATTGCGATACGACCAGCACGGCAGCTTCATGTCCCAATTAAGCACGTGTCCTAAGCCCTATCATTCTCAACGGCCGAATATATTCGACAAGTAAGATACACAGCATGCATATGCACACCTTGATCAGATAGAAGCAGACTCGCGTATGATATTCGGACACTGGTTTCCAAGATCTAAATTCAATGATAATGGTGATTATTCCAGCAAGGACGCTTCTTCAGAGCACAGTCGCTCGAAGGAGTCAAAGAACAAACGGCCAATGTCCCTTTGTGTATGTCCATTCTATAGACAGCGTGCAGGGGCCTTGATCGACGATCAAGGAGGTCCACAAAGGAAAAAAACTAAAGGATCCGCCCAGTGACTCGCCACTGAACCCCGTTCCTATCAGTCCATTTTACGTCAAACTCCATTATGCAGTCCGCCCCCTATCATCCACAACACCATCCAGCAATCGCGTTTTAGGGCTTTCACGTCAGGCGAAAAAGCGAATTCAAAATTCGATTCATGCCAAGGTCATGCATGCATGCACGATACGCGGAGTAGCGATAACGGTTAAAGCGCTTGAAAAGAAAGAAAAGAAAGAAAGAAGGGGGATTATCTTGTATCTTGATCTCGTACCTCGGTCCACCCCCCTGCAGCGCATACATGTGTTTGCAACGTTGCAAGGTTCTCCTTTTTACGAGTCAACGTTAGCACATACCGCTTGCCATTGAAAATCTTCTCGCGTAAATATCCGACGAGAATAGAATAGATTATAATATAATGGGTATCAGCAGGAATATAAATATACGTAGCTTTGAAGGTGCATGTGTGAGGCCATTTGCGCAGTTAGGCCGATGATGCGTAGGCCTCGTAACCTCGTGTACGTTGGCGCTCTGCCTGTTCGGGAAAGCAGCGTGTAGGACACGCTGCAGCAGAGTTCAAAACGTTCAGGGACCTCCAAGGTCTATAAACAAAAAAACAAAGATCTCCGCGCGTTGGAACGGCGCAGAAGATGTGAACGCAGCTATAGTATTCGCGGGATGATAAGCGTGAAGAAGTTTTAACGTTGAACCGACTGAGTCACTCACGGAGCAAATGGCAATGTAAGTAAATTTGTTAATGGTGAAGCTTGAGATACGCGGTGTCCGCACCCATTCAGTACTATCAACGGCATGTGATTATAGCCATGGACTTCCAGAGCCCTGCATAAACCCCAAGCTAAGTTTACGTTTGACACTTGAAACCTCTCAGCTGCGCAAGCGCTCAGCTGACCAGTTCCATGGCCAATTCCTCGACCTTCAAATCCGCGGAGCACCGTGAACTGAGATCGCCAAGGTTGAAGCGCATTGCGTTCCACCCGTTCGTCGAAAAGAACTTGAATCACCGACAATATGCAATTGCAATATGAAATTCAACCGCAGCGCAGCGTCACAGAATGATGACGAGTGCACAACGTGAATGATAACAAGCGCACAACGTGAATGATGACGAGTGCATCGACGTGAATGATAACCGCAGCACAATATGAATGATAACAAAGTTAATCATTCCTCTATGTAAAAAACATCACAAAAGTCATATGTACTACTACTGCGTAAGTACTGAGAATCGTCAAAAAATCCGTAAAGGAGGTCCGCGGAAACTAAAATCCGCAAACCGATCGTAAAAAGCGAGTAACTGATAGCGAGACGGAAAGCACGACGGCCGGGAATGGAAGAGGGGGGTCAGGAGGTAGGTAAGTTCGGGAATCAAGTGGAATCGATGGGAGCGGGAATCAAGAGAATCGATGGGAGCGGGAATCAGTGGAATCGATGGGAGCGGGAATCAAGGAAAATCGACGGGGAGAGGTAATCAAGTAGAGTCGACGAGGAGCGGGAGGCGGAATCAACAGGGAGCGGGATCAGGACAGAGACCACAAGCAGGACAGAGGTACGTATACGTATCAAAAGTAAAAAAACCGACAGCAATGAACGCTAGTGACAATGAAAACAGTAAAAAGAGGAAAGGAAACACAATGCTACAGGAGGTATGTGTATGTGCTGTGCAATCAAATCGCACATGTAAAACGCGCTCCTTATTAAGGGTGGGTGGGTGGGGTGAAACTGTTCAAAAGGGAATAAGTAACACGAACGAACTGCACGAGGGATGGGGTATGGCTCAGAAATCCTGCAAAAAGCCAAGCGAGGTCAAGAAAGCGAAAGGAATAGGATACAGAGAAATAAAATCATTAGTATAAGGAGCAGCGCGAATGATGAGGGATGCAGATGCGAGAGACAGAGACGGAGAAAATGGAAACGGAAAAGAGGAAATGGGATACGAGAACTAGGCGACAGATAGCAATATGAGACAAGTAGAGTAGTAGTCCTGGGACCGCTAGACTGAAAATCAAGCAACGACAAATCCAAGATAGGACAAATATTTTTTTAAGCAGCGTTTGTTGAGAACGAGGCGCGGGCACGGCCAGGAGCTGGGGTCGAACCAAAGTAGGGGGGGGTAGTTGATAGTTTTGCCTGTTGGCGGGCTGTATGCTACGTTTGGTGACGGCATCCAACGCTCGTGAATCCGTTCTCGTTCTCTCTCTTGCTCATCGGAGTGTGAACGAGTTATTTTTTGGGGTGACGTCGCGGAGATGGAGATAGTTCGCGGTCTGGAAGGGGGGATTGGGGACGCGGAGCTTAGGCGAGAAGACATCATCGGCGCTTGCATTGGGGTCTCAGACCGAATTGATGGTGTCGCCATGCGCGCGGGGGTCGTTGGTCTCGACCCTCCGGACACAGATAAGGAGGCACTTCGGGAATGAGTGGCCGCGAAACGCGAGAGCATGGATGGCATGGCTGGTACGTTATACGCGGATGCCGCCGATGATGAAACTGATTGGCGCCGCTCGCTTAATCCAGTTGGAGCGGCGGTGCTGGGGCGGGCAGGTGGCGTTGGAACGGCAGTACTGGGGCGGGAAGGGGACGTTGCCTGAGAAGAAGCGGACTTAAGAGTATAACGGCTAAGCTCTGCTCGAAGAGCCTGACATTCTTGTACTTTTTGGGCATGGAGGGCTTGCTATAACAAAACAAACAAAAAACACAAGGTCAGTGGCGTGCATGACGATTCATCACACTATAACGTACTTGTCTAGAAGAGGTTCGTCAGCCAAGCCAAATATCAAAATCGAAGATTACGTACTGCTTTCGATCGGCTTCTAGCTTGGTGACAGTTAATTCCATGTCGTCTAGCTTCCCCTTTAGGGTGGCCTCGACCCCCCTTGCCATTTTCGTAGCCTCCGAATGAGCCAAGTGATTCATCAAAATCGCCCTGAGCAGCGCAGCACTCAGGGATAAAGAAGAAAGCTACGCCCAAAAGTCAGCGGAACCGTCCAACATCAACATCAACAAGAGTAAAAAAAATTCACCTGGTCGTTAGATTTCTCATCATGAGTCAACCAATCTTGTAGCTCGTTGTGTAGAGTCGAAACCTCTTCCACTGAGCATTTTTTTGCGGCTACTTTTGCCACTTTATCCTCCAGCCTGCGAGCTTCTGCGCGGGTACGCGAGGAGCTCGGCTCGACGAAGGGAAAACGATCTTCCCGTCGTGATGTGGAGCGGTCAGCAATGTCGAGAGCCTCAGTTCGCCGCCGAGTAGTGGCCCATGCGCTTGATGATGAAAAGTCGATGCGGATCAAACGGACGTCCTCGCTGGTGAAATGATCCCGACAGAATGGACAGACGGGCTGGAGACGAGGTGCTGTCTTTTCTACGATTTTATGGCAGCAACTTGAGCAGAGGACGTGACCTTGAAAGGATTTGGATGCATTCGAGTCAGTGAAAAAAAAACTCCCATGTGATCGAGTACTCACCACACGGAATGGAGTGAGGAACACAGTGGGGACCGTACTCTTCTGCGCAGACATCGCAGACTGAACCAGGACTGAGGGTGAGCATGAGGTCAAGACGATTAAACCCTTGCCAGGTTTGCTAGTTAGAAAGCTATTGACAAGGGGTACCGCTTGACCTGATGGTGGATAAATAGCATGAAGAGAAAAATCTGAGAATGACGGCAATTTACTAAAGTAGCCAAACAATGCACTGCACGCATGGCCCAAACAAATTATCAATCGCATCTCGTTCATAATCATAATTTTCTTCTTGTCTCACAGAACACGCCGTCTTCATAATATGGTTCATTTGATCTGTAAGGTGATATCAGTAAGGTAGGTTCCATGTCATTTTTCCTTTTTCTAGAGAGCTCCCTCATGTTCTAGGTGAGTAGGGAATAATACCCAAAAATTGAGTTTTACAATGTATGCAAGTTCTAATTTAGGGTTAGGGCTTAGGGTATTTCGCCCTTTGTCCTGGTGGGTTTGAAAGCATGACTCGACTAGAAGGACAGCCAAGGTTATCGTACCAACATTGCCGACGGAACTAACAGCCTTTATGTGTCAATGGCGCCTGGATATTGGCAAAAATACAAGTCGGAACCGTTGTTGTCCCACACCTCTTTGCCCATTTCAGGTCATATACACTCCTTGGTGTGCGAAACACGTGTTCCCGCCACGGCGGGATTCACCCGCTCATCCCACCGTAATACGAAAACTCACACTCCGGCCTCCATCAGGGCCCACAGTTTCGACTAATCCGACATCATTCCATGCGCTCTTCCACAACAGGAATCCACAATAATGGCCAACCTCGGACGGAGCAACACACCCAGACAACAGCAAACCAAAGGCGCCTACATTTAGTCATCTCACGAGGCCAATCTTCCACTCGTCGGAAATCGGAACATCTATCTTTCGGTACACATCTGACATGCCGGATCCACAGGTTTGTACGCGCATTCGGAAAAAAAAGAGATCTCCACACACGGTAAACTCCCCCTTTCTAACCGACCATCGATTATCGGATTTCGATAGCAGCCTCTCTTAAGGCTTCTTTCGAACCACGCCCAGGCTGTCTTTTACTCTTTTTTTTTTTAAAGTTATCACAATCTCATCGTGGAGCTGTGGCGGGCAGCCACAACCCACAAATGATATGATTGAGACGGGTCCGTCTTCCACGCACGGTCCGGCGTTGTCAAGAAGACATTGATATATCCTGAGGCTGAAACGGAAACGACGAGATCTCGGTGTTTGCACAGCCCCTCCCATTCATAGGCACACAACAACTGATCCGATATCGATATCGACTCGGAGGATCTGGACAGGCAAGTGCGTACCCGCACACTGATCGCCCGGAGCGCTTGGGATGCTCTGCGTACTTAGTGCCTGGCGAATCTATCGGATGAATGAATGCTCCTGCTTCGACTGGTTTTCTCGACAAATCGCCATCGGTGCAGCCCGATCATCGCTGGACTGTGCGCTTATCACGAGACTTTACGGATGAGTGTATGTGCAGGATCGCACGTCTCGGAGTTTGCTCTCCCCTCCGATGTATACTTTCCTGATCAAGCCTCCATGGGAGACCTCGTCTCGAATCACACCACGATGCAAAGAGCTGAGCCTGTCCACCACTGGCACTCTTCGCGTCATCGATTAAGGAAGATGCAGCGACTTATCGCCAGGACGCACGTTTTATATCGAGTGCTGACCTCCACCATACGGGGGCATTGTTTAGCCTCCCCCTAGCAAACGAGCGTCTATCGCAGATTGAGAGGGCCAAGTTAAGTTTTATGATCTCCATCCCCATCTCTATCTCCAGTTCTAGGTGCGACCTAATTTCGCAACAAGGTGGGGCACCATCATCGTGCTCCACTACGTACCGATATGTATGATGAAACCTAATACTGATATATAATATCTTTACCCCACCCACGGGCCACGTTTCATCTCCGGGGTCACTTCACGCGCGCGAGGATAGCGATCGCGAGATATGGCTAGCGCTTGTTAAGTGCTATGTATAGGATGGTGCTGCTGGATGTGAATACGTGTGCTTTTGTGATGGATAGATAGATGTTGTGCGTGGTGAAGGAATCGGTTGGGCGATTGCTAGGCGGAGAGATTTCTGCGTGTAAGCCTCGTCGAAAGCTCGTGGCCTGCATGATGTGTGTTATCTGAAAGGTGTACGCGTATGCGTGCAGCGTTTCCGTTTCCTTTTTCCCTCAGGGGATTAACCACCGACCAGCAACTCCGCCAATACCTGTTGCGTTCACCCACCGAATACTCCAAATGAACTTCGCCTACATGCCTCCAATATCAAGTGTGGGGAGTTTAGGAGTGAGAGTTTGCGAAGCACCTAATTGGAAAACAAATCAAAACAAAACACATCTTGAACTTTGAAGGACCTACAGCCGTCTCATCCTCGCTCAATCATTACTTCTAGAAAACGCGGCAACTGGAAAGCATCTATCTTATCGAATGGCGCAGCACGCATCACGCACGCATCCCTGACACGGCGAGACAACATGCCATCCCTGACACGATTCGACTAGGAACGTGGCGAGACAAGCCCTCTCTGGTGATCATTAGTCCGGTATCTCATCGCTTGGCACTGTGCGCTGCTTTGTGCGTTCGAGCCCCACGGTAGAAGGAAGGAATCAGAATCAAATCTATCGCTGACGGCACGAGATACCCCCCCACCGGACCGCTACAATGAGCCTTCGCTGGAAATATCCGGATATTAATGTTCGAAGTTCTAGCGCTGGCGTGCCTTGCTAGTGGTCTCGTCTTTGTCTCGTCTTGCGGCGACTGTGGACCATGGCCAGGTACTAGAAGTGTGTGCTTCGTTCGGGTTCTTCGCGGTTGTGTCGGGTTGAAGGTGGATGGGCTTTGTGAGGATAGAGCGATGTACACAGCTGAGTCTGTTCTTTGTTTTTTAAAATTGTGTAGCAACGTTATTATAAGTGACAGTTGGCCTAGTCCTAAGCACTAGCCACGGGCGCTCTAACTCTCAACCCGTTCTAAGAAAGGAAGTAGTTGGAACGGACAAATGATTGTTGCATCTTACAAACTTTAATTTGAAGTGGAACGGAAATGAAGGTTACTCTATTCGCATGAGCATGATGACGGGAGTCGAGATGACACATCTGTGTTAGCCCCGTCGGCGAATGGCGCTCTATTCGGATTTGAGTTGAGAGTCCCCTGGACCGTTCACTTGGCTTGAAGATTCTGAATTGGGCATTTGTATTCTATTCTATTATGCAATGGCAATGGATTCACCTTTTGTGAGCATCGACTAGTAATGAGAAGACTGTCCTCTATGCCTTGGGGTAACGTTAACGAGCTCAGTAGGCATAGGTACTATTGTCAAGAGCCTGACGTCAGAAAGTGCAAGGGATCTCTCATCGGCGCATACACTTGTTGCAGAACTAATTCCAAAGCTGAACGAGCATGAGCTTCCTGCAGGGATGAGCTCTTGTGGAAGCCAATCGACAAGGACGCACCATGGCCGATACGCATATGATTCGTGGCTGGGATAAACACCGCTTTCTCAGCGGTGCTCTCAGCAACGATTTAATGATACAATCCTGGTGGTTCGCTTTCCTGCATGATACACAGACTTCTTTGAAATGCATACAACAGCATCTGACGTGAACGTCATCGTGTCAGCATCTTGTATTCCGCACTACGGTGCTGCGCTAGCAAAAGAGCGAACGAGCGACCTCAACTGAGACTCCGAATCAGTCGTCATGCGATTTCCGAACGTGTTACTGGCCCGGTGCAAGACAACCCGACCCCAACATTTCGCAATGAACGGAGCAAGAATGACTCAAGCGACGCCCTCGATTGGTCCAATTCAACACTCCAAACCTCTGAATCGTCGACGTCGTGTGCCTGGGATATCACATTGGAGCAGCAAAAAAACTTGGGTGCGACCGGGTGGTGTTCGTTAAACAGCTATCATGGGTCCCCTGCGTCATGAGGGCACTCATTGGTTGACACAGCTTGGGAAGGAGTCATCTGTGCTAATTATTAATATTGTCGATGGAATTCTTCCCACTGACTGCGGATGCTGCGGGGGATTTTCCCTGGAAGTTCGAGTCAGTGATTGAACTTTATGCAGAGCTAATTCTGGGGCTGACATGAGCGTTTGCAAGGATGACTTGTTGCGAGTGGAACCTGAGCCTGACTCGGTAAGGTGCTTGGATGTCAGAGTAATTGACCAACGATGACAACGAACTGTCAGAAAGCCGCCCAAATACAGAGGTATTAGGGACAAATAGACACCAAACAACGCCTTCTCAGATTCATACTTGTAGTGTCTTTGAGTATTAGAGATCATACAATCGCGTAAGTAGATACTGTCCTTCAAAATCTATACGCGACTAGCTACAATATCTCCAGCGTCCTGATGTCCATCATATCATGAACAGCAGCCACATCCTTGACCCGCGCCACAACATTACAATCCGAAGCGATCCTCTTATACTCCCCACCCCTCTGCTGCGCCATCAATAGTCCACCAAAAGCCTGCCCAAGACGAACCACCAACCTCAGCGCCCCGAGTCGCTCCTCATCAGCCCGCTCGTGATCTGTCATAGACAAAGGCACAGACAACGTTCTAACGGACTCGTCCGCAAAATCAGGCAACCCGAGATCATATAGATTCCACGGGCGGACGAGCAGGAATGTCTGCTGCGTGGGCCGCGCACGCGAGAATTGAACCAGTCTGTCCTCCGTGGTGACCACAAAGTCTTGAAGCCCGTCTGCCTTGACATTGAACGTGGAACCCGTCTCCTGATTCTGATTCTGGCCGCTCCTCCGTCTGACTTCTGTGACAGGAAATACGATGCAAGGTAGGTGCAGTCGGGAGTTTGCGAACCGCGGAGCGCTGAGGCTCTCAAGGAGGGTATAAAGTGTCGAAGCCGACTCCACATCTACAGAATCTCGCAGCCTCGAGACAGCCAACTGCATCTCGTCTTCAGGTAAAGACGACAGCATGCTTGGCGGGGCTTTATACGAGGCGATGTCAGCCGGGAGACAGCTATTGAACTGGGATGGTTTCCCGATCCAGTCCAAAGCGGTGATATCGCCTGACCGAGCGACGATCTCCTGTAGAAGCCGCCCGAGCGCATTTTGTTTCGTCTCGCCGTAGCAGACGGGAAGGTCGATACCGAAGATACCGAATAATGAGTATGCGGTGTCTTCTTGCAGGGTAGTGGCACGGCTAGATGCCCATTGGAGTTTCTCGCGTGCGCCTTGCGTCCCTGGACAAAAAGCGACGAGGGACTGCGCATCTATGCCCGTCGAATCCTGCAGCTCCTGCATGATAGCAGCAGACTTCTTATGGTTAGACGAGCAGTCGTCTCGATACAGAGTCCAATCTGCTCTATAAAAGAGAATAACCACAGGAGCCAATAACTCCTGAACAGTCCATCCGCGCGTATTCCAAGCGCTATTCCCCAGCGCGCCGGACTCGTGGACGTCCGAGAGGTAAACGATCGTAAGCGCTGACTGGCGATACCAGACGAACATGGAGTTTACGGATCGTTGGAGCTCGGCTTTGTTTTTTTGGTCGATGCAGCAGGTATCGCTCCATGCCCAGCGATACCCCGCATCGCGAGCGATTTTGCAGAATGTTTGTAGTTTGAATATGGTTCCGACTGGGTGCAGGTCGTATATGACTTTGTCCGCGATGTCGTGCAGTAGTGGCTCTTTCCGTTCCCACCTGTGCGATAACATGACCCGATTGAAATACTTTGCGACCGTTTCTGTTATGAGTTCTGTTTGGAGGGGCGCATGTGGATGCAAAAGCTGCTTGTACTCTGTGCTTTCCATGAAAGCGTGTATCTGTGCCTCGCGGTTGCATAAACGCCCAGTGGAGGTGTTGAGTAGACGAAGTGGCGCGTTTTCCAGTTGAGCGTGGATAGTTTGGAGAATTGTGTCTTCTACTTCAGATGGACTGATATATTGCTGACGTAGCTCTGAAAAAAAGAGTTGATAGTTATTCTTCCCATCGGTTATTTGGGGCTTACTTTGTATATGTGCTTCGGGACAGTAGTCTGATTTGGAGATCATGATGTTGAAAGCTTCAAGTGCTTCATCGTGACGTCGGGCTTTGTGGAGTGCTGCAAGCTTCACTTCGTACCCAAGGTACGACAAAGGGTTGAGTTCGATGACCTGTGTATGGGCGGTATCAGCATAGTTGCTACAATAACGGATACAGACATCACCCGCACCTTTTCCGCATCATGAAGAGCCTCCGCACAGAGATTTCGTTCTAAATTCGCCTTACTCCTGTGAGCATACAAGGACTCGTTTGAGGAATCTAGCATAATCGCCGCCGAATACAGTTCCACCGCCATCTCGTAATCGCTCGTAGCAACAGCCTCCGCGACGCAGCGCGCGATGCATTCTTGCTTGAAAGCTAATTGGCCCCATGAGTATCGCTGTTCAAGTCTGTTTAACTCGAGAACACTTACTGGTAGACCATTCGAGGCAGCTGTCCTTCCCGCCTTCATCGATCATGCTCATCATATATTGAAGAGCTTCGACTGCTTCAACGACCCGACCAGCGCGGAGGAGCGCATCGCACCGCCTTTGGTTAACAGTTTGCCAAAACGAATCCAAGTCCCAACCAAAAAGCTGTGATCAATGAAAAAAGCGTCCCCGACGGCTGCGCAATGAACGCACCACCGTGAATATCTTCAGTCTAGGTTCCACAAGCGTTTTGTGTGAGAGGAGGCTGGTGAGGCTGGCTGTGAGTTGCTCAGCGGCTTTGCTGTATTGTTCGTTCTCGAAATCGATTGTTGCGAGTTGTGCACATAGGTACGACTGAGTATGAAAGTGAGAAAACTTGAATTCAGACTCAGGTTTAATATGGAACTTACATTGACGATGTTGCATGGAAGTGTATCTGGGTGTTTATGAGCAGTGGCTAGATCTTGGACTCGCCGCATTGCCTCGTCGTGGCGACCGGCGTTGAAAAGTGCAACAGCCTGTTAAAAAAAAAAGACATGAAGTATAAGTAGACAAATAGACTGTGGAAAGAGCGACGAGAGCACCTTGATCAATAGTAAAAGATCGACAGTAGACGGATTACGATTAGAAAATATGAAAGCGAGATCGAAAGCCTCCATCGCGTCCCAGAGCTGCTCGCTGCCGCAGAGAGCGATGCCCTTGGAGATGTAGCCCAATAACGAGGGCTGGATGGCAATTGACTATACGATAAAGCTGAGTCAACCCGTCGTCTGGGTTTCATGATAGGCAAAGTCTAACCTTGGCTGCATCGTGAAGCGCATCCTCCCACTCGAAATTTCGCGCTCTTATGACTGAGCGATTGGCATAGGAGATGTGGTTGTTGTCATTTGCGTTGATCTCTTGGGTTAGGAGTTCGTCAGCGGTGTGTAGGATGCCAGTGATGGATGCGGAGTGGAGTGGGGCGGTTATGGAGAGGATCTGCATGAAGCAAGCTTATGTTCCGTGATGAGGGAATGCATCGAAGGCAAACAGCTCACGTCAAACCATGAGTGTTCGTCGTCATTGTCAGGTGCTTCGTCGTCACTGTCAGATGCTTCGTCGTCACTGCCAGGTGCTTCGTCATCACTGTCAGAGGCTTCGTCGTCACTGCAAGAGGCTTCGTCGTCATTGCCAGATGCTTCGTCGTCACTGTCAGAGGTTTCATCGTCACTGCCAGAGGCTTCGTCAAGTTCTGAGGTATGGTTGCTTGGACAGTTGTAACTGCGCAGCTATTTGTCACCGCGCAGAATGGTACGAATGAATAGAAAGGCGAAACATAATGGGTGTGAGCATACCTGCGCATCACTGAATATGATGTGTAGTTGCTCTGCTTCTTCATCCTCTGTTGTCCATTCCTCTGTTTTGTGTTGCTCGAGTATGTTCTTAATAGAACAGAGCAGCACCTTCCCTTCGCCATCTCCACTCACGAGCAGCTCTCCATTGGGAGAAATTGCGACACAGCGAATCCAAGCGGCGTGTTCAAGTACCTGCCTTATCAGCCAGTGTGTCTTTGTGCTCCATAATCGCAAAGTCTTGTCGTCCGAGGCAGTGGCAATGAAGGAGCCATCAGCAGAGATGGCGAGCGAGTGGTAAGTGGTCGGACCAGTGCAAGTTCGACCGATCTGATCTCCATCTTCTGAGCTCCAAAACTTGACTGTTTTGTCAAATGATGCAGAAACAAGTTGCTGGCCGTCAGGCGACCACACAACGCTTCGAACCCAATGTTGGTGAGCGTCGATGTCGAGAAGAAGCTCGGCGTTATCGGCGCGCCAAATCCGGATGGAATGATCCGCTGATCCGGAGGCTAGTTTTAGCCCATCTGGGCTGAACGCAACACTCCAGACCGAATTACTATGTCCGTCGAGTGTTGCAAGGACAGCGCCAGTCTCTGCATCCCATACCATAACTGATTTATCGTGCGATCCGCTGGCAAGTCTCTTTCCATCAGGTGAGAAACACACTGATAACACCCAGCCTGTATGCTTATCCAGCGGATCGAATACCATCTGTTTGCTCTCGATGTCCCAGATGATGATGGTTTTATCATCTCCACTGCTCGCAATTCGCCTGTCGTCTGGCGATACGGCGACTGATCGTACCCAGTCCTGATGACCCTCGAATGGCCCTCCTATCAATGATCCTTTCTGCATATCACAGATTCGCAGAGTTTTATCGTGTGAACCGGTGACGACTCGTCGACCGTCTTTGAAGAACGCGATTGCCAACAATGAGTCAGTATGACTTCGCATCGTCTGCGTTGGTGCTGGTTCCCCTTGCGCCATCTGTGCTGGCGCCACGGATCCTCTTGCGGCGAGGTGCGCTTCTTTAACTACCCCTAACATATCGCGTCGACCTATGTATACAGAGAGCTCGTCAGATGATCGGTAGCATCTCAAATCGACGAGAACAGCATACTATGGGGATGTGGTTACGTTGTAGATCTTGGGGTGCGGTGAGTAGTTCCCAACTCATGTAGGCGCCTTATCCAAGGTTCTTGTTGGCCCAGTACATGCTGCTACGGCGCGGATCTCATTTCGCTTCTATCATGATCAGTGACCCCCTAGTAAAGTATGCGATTGCGTTACTAATTACATATCGGCGGTTTGAGGATTTTTCCTCAGGCAGGATCTACAATTGGGTTTAATTTTATGCGGACCGCGTGAAGCCGCTCCGCATCGTCGCGAACGACGTAGATGGAGCCTCCAAGAGCCTCTCATCACTATGCATACGTGTTCGGTGTCAGTCCTACCGTCATGCATGGATATCCACACCTTTCACGCGTGTTCTGTCCTGAGTCGGTCTAATAATAGTGGCGGAGTTTGGTTGGGGCGTCTTTCTTTCTCCCTCGTCGCCCCGCTAGATACGTCAGTTCTTTGTTGATTGGCTAAATCGTAGTCCTCTATCTCTCCTTCACATCGTCGGCCACTCACATAGTTAATGTCGATTCACCGTTCCCGTCAGAAACTCAGTTTCTTTATCTCATCCAGGACAATTTTGACGACAGGGGCTAACTCGTCGCAGCCGTACAAAACGGAAAGGCCGACATGGTATTGGCCTTACGAAACGTCCTTCTCGAATCAGCGTCTGTCTGGAGGAAGTCCCAATGCCCTTTCTGATCGACTTAGACTCCTTAACGGAATTGGCCAGGCGCCAGTCTTGACAACCCGCGGCGCCACAAGTATCAGTAGGTATCACAAGATTAGGTAACGTTATGTGAAGTCCGACGAGGGTGGGTCAAGGTGCACTCAGCACATTTATTATATTGCCCGGCCATGCCGTCATGCATTAATGACTCATATAGGTTTTTCTCTTTCTGCTACAAGTTTCATCCACCAAAAGGTCAAGCGGTATCCCTTGTCAACAGCTTTTTAACTAGCAAAACCTGGCAAGGGTTTTATCGTCTTGACCAGCTTCATGCTCACGCTTAGTCCTGGTTCGGTCTGCGATGTGTGCGCAGAAGAGTACGGCCCGCATTGTGTTCCTCATTCCATCCCATGCGGTGAGTTCTCAAAACTTTTGACATTGTGGGAATCTCGAGTCATGAGTCCTTTACATAGGTCACGTCCTCTGCTGGAGTTGTTGCCATAAAATCATACAAAAGACACCGCCTCATCTCCAAGCTGCCTGTCCTTTCTGTTACAGTCGTTTCATTAGCGACAATGTGCGTTTGATCCGCATTGACTTTTCAGAAAGCGGATGGGCCGGTCCTCGAAAGGAAGACCGGGGTCCCTTCGTCGAGCCAGATTTCTCGCATCCACACGCAGAGGCTCGTAGGCTGGAGGATAAAGTGGCCAGGGTAGCTGCTAGAAAATGCACAGTGGAAGAGGTTTCGACTTTACACAACGAGCTCCAAGACTGGCTGGGTCATGACAAGAGTTTTCTCGACCAGGTAATTTTCTTACTGTTGGATGTTTGCGGTTCCGCTAACATCTAGTACAGCTTTCTTCTCTATCCCTGAGTGCTGCGCTGCTCAGGGCGATTTTGATGAATCACTTCGCTCATTCAGAAGCTACGAAAATGGCAAAGGGAGTCCAAGCTACCCTAAAAGGGAAGCTAGCCGACATGGAATTAAATGCCAGCAAGCTAGAAACCGACCTAAAGCAGTACGTAACGTTGCGATTCAGACACTTTGCTTTGACTGACGCCACGCTTCTAGACAGGTACGTTATGACTTGAGGAAGCTGCGCACGCCGCTCACCTTGTTTTTTCGTGTTACAGCAAGCCCTCCATGCCCAAAAAATACAAGAATGTCAAGCTCTTCGAGCAGAGCTTAGCCGTTATACTCTTAAGTCTGCTTCCGCTCAAGCTGCAACGTCACCTCCCCGCCCGAGCACCACCGCTCCAACTAGATTAAGCGAGCGGCGCCAATCAGTTTCATCATCGGCGGCACCCCCGTACAATGTACCAGCCATGCCATCTATGATCTCGCGTTTAGCAGCTACTCATTCTCGAAGTGTCTCCGCTTCTGCTGCCGGAGTCCCAAGTCCAACGACACCCACACACGTGACCTCACCATCAATGAGGTCACAGACCCCAACGCAAGCGTCGATGCTGTCATCTCGCTTACATTCTACGTCCCCCATTCCACCCTCAAGACCGCGAACAATCTCCATCTCCGCGACGTCACCTCAAAAAACAACTCGTTTACACTCCGCTGAGCAGGAGAGGGAGCGAGGGGTTCACGAACGTTGGATGCCGTCACCAAACGCAGCATACGCCCCACCGACGGGCAAACCTGTCGCCTATCCACCCTACTTTGGTTCATCCCCACCTCCTGGCCGTAGTAGTCGCTCCTAAGATTAGACAATGCCCAAACGGCCAGTCGACACCAAAACAAAAAGTCGAAGACGCCGCATTTGGGTGATTTCGCGAGGCTATCTTCCGTGATCGGGAGTCAGGATTCCAGGTACACATTTACCACCCCAGATCCACACGTTTATGTCGCAATGCATTAGATTCATCTTCTACGGTCCGATGTTGTGAAGAAGTCTCAAGACTGAAACACGGGATCTCGCTGTTTGAATAGCTAGGACGCGGTCCCGGGCACGTTTGATCCGATTGAAGATTGAAGATTCGGAGGATCTTGGTCTCGTACCTAGCCTCCTTATTTTGTTAGGGAGGGTGGTGATCACCTTGCTCAAACAAAACAATCGTGTGTGTAAGGAGCGATTGCGAGTCTAGGAGAATCTGTGGGCAACTGCGTGCCCGCACACTGATCACCCGGAACGCTTGCAATGCTCTGCAGTGCCTGGCGAATCCAGGGGATGCTGCCCCGACTAGTTTCCTCGACAAAGCACCATCTGCGCAAGCCCTGGCGACCGCTTGTCCCGAGGCTCCACGAATAAACGTAAGATCTCGAATCACGGTGTCTGACTAGCGCTGTGAAATGTGTATAGGCTAGTGGCACTACTGTACATGAGTGGATGTGCTGTGCTTCCTAAATATTATACATGGTGAACGAATTGATGGGCGAGAGATCCCTACAAGCCTCATCGCGAGCTTGTGGCTTGCATGATACGTTCTATCTGAAGTTGTACTCGTACGCGTGCTGCCTTTCCCTCAGGGGTTTGGCCACCGACCAACTTCCCGGCAACTCCACCAATGCCTGTCGTTGTGCCCTCATAAAGCAACTCCAGCATCTTTACCCACTGATTTCCCCAAGTGAACTTAGCTTCCGTGCCTCCAACATCAAGCGCAGCTAGAAAGTTAGGAGTGAGAACCTGAGAAGCACCCAATTGGGAAAACACGCACCGTGAAGGACCTGTGCGGCTACTGCCGTCTCCAGTAATCGCTCATCCCCAATCATCCTCGCGAAATACGTCCAGAAACGTGGCAACTGGAACATCTTATCCAACGGTTGCGGTACAGGCGCAGACAGAATCAGGAAATAAACACGCATCATCCCAGACACGCGCATGATGTGATCAGACGAGCTCTCTCTCTGGCCATCATTAGTCCGGTATCCCATCGCCTTGGTGCGCTCCACTTCGTCCCACGCAGTACCGTCTGAATCTGTGGAAGGAATCACTGACGGCACAGGCCACCCACCGGACCGCTGCACGAGCTTCGCGAAGAAGATGTCTGGAAAGCCTTCCAACGTGCCTAGCAGTCTCGCGGCGACCATGGCCAGGGGTACAGCGCTTCGTTTTTCGGCTGTGACCTCTGTTTCAGCTTGAAGGAGGATGGCTTTTGCTAGCGAGGACAGAGCGGCGAAATAGATGTCTAGAGGAAGTCGTCCTGGCGGACAAATAATTTCTATGAGTTGTTGAGTCTGCAAACTTTCAATGTGAGGTGATGGATTAATAGCGGTAATTAACTTACTATTCGCGAGACGGAGTCGATGTCGTGTGTTAATTGCCCTATCTTTGGTGTTATCTGTCGGCGAATGGCACTCCATTGGGATTTGAGTGGCTTGTTCTCTTTGACTGTTTTCATTGGCCCGGCTTTCAAATTCTGAATTAGGCATTAGTATTGCGGTACGTGGTCAGAAGCAGCGGTTTCACCTTGAGAGTTTCACGGGCGTGTACCCAGTCCTCTTCAGCCAAAGACATTCCCAATTGTACCCTGCCCTGTTCCTCAGCATCCAGCTTCTCCCTGCGCAAACGCTCCTTCTCCTCTTCATGGCGTTTCGCAGCCGCTTCTATCTCCCGCTGCAACTGTGCCTTTTCCTCTTCTATCCGTTTGATCTCTTCCTCCACTTTACGTCTCTCTTCTTCCTCCTTCCGTTTTTTCTCCGCCTCTTCTCGCGCTTTACGTTCAGCTTCGAGTTTGGCGCGTAGTTTCTCCTCTTCGACGCGTATGACGCCCTCTATCCTGCCGCGAAACGTCTTATCCTGCTCCTGCCAACTACTTACGAGCTTATTAACGTCCGCTTGTTGCCGGACCTGCAATGCTGCGAGCTGTTTCTGCACTTCGGCGACCTGCTGGGCGTGCATAGCTGCTAATGATTGCAGCTCCTGCACGTTACGCTGTGTTCGCCGACCTTGTGTCTCTAGACGCGTCTGAACTTGTGCTCTGCGCGCTGTGTGCTGTTTGAGAGGCCGTCAGGGGGTAAATAGCATAGAAAGAAGAAATAGACACGCACGAATGCATCCTTGCGCGTCTGTTTCTCCCATTCTTCATAGGGATCATGATATCGCGTGCGTAAACGGATGGCAGCTACTGTGTCCTCTACATGGCGCTGTTCAGTTGGACTCCGAGACTCGCGCTTTGGGCGGCTGCAAAAAGTCACGTAAGCGAGTGTGAGGACAAATATGGATAGCGATAATGATACACGCACGGAGGTGGCGGCGGGACTTGTGATTCAGACTCGTAGCAGAATGAGTCTGATGAAAGGGAGCTGGGGGAGGATAGTTCTGAGTCTGAATCTGTTGGTGGCCCTTCGAAATCGCTTTCGGAATCTGATGGGAGACCGAAAGTAGAGGTGTGTCTGCGAGATAATCTGGTGGGAGTTAGTTAGCCTAGTTGGCTGTGCCATGCACTATGCACGTACCTCCGTTCAGGAGATGGCGAAGGTGAGCGTGGCAGTCCGTAACGCATGAGTGAAAGTCAGGCTCTGTATCGGATGTAAGTGCCACTCTATTACTGTTGGCTGCTGCAACTGGTTATGAAACCACGGTGGTGATACGATGGCTACCCAGTGCACGCGCGTCGTACGGGGCTCGACTGATATGAGATCTAGAGTCAAGTTTCAAAGCCGACTGGTGCAAGCAGATGCGGCGGCAATTTCAAAAGACGTCCATTTTGGGTGAAAATATTAGATAATAATATAATTATCGTGTCAAAACATAACTCTTTCGCTAACTTCTAAGCGCTGCCCACTACTATTGTCAATGACCCAGACCTAGAGTCTGCGCAGACTTGCACCCAGACCGGCCAGAACTCTGAAATTCATCAGACTTTGGCCCCAGAGTGTCCATTTCCTGGATGCCAGATTATTTTGACAGGCTTTATGCAACGTACCTATCCATCATTCAGACGCAAGGCGTGCTTGCCCATCTTTGGACTTACGATTGTTCCTCCTAAATCGGTGGTGAATTTGCCGCTACCAGAAGCTCTTAGACTCGGAGGTTGCCTGCGTGAACCGCAGGCATGATGGTTTCGCAATCAACTTGAGCTTTGAGGGGAAAAGGTGAGTCGGCAACGAAGCTGGCGTATTAACTTCGCCCACAATTCCTCATCATATAAAGATCAGGACGTTTGGTTCCCAGATCCCTACAATCATGGCCGATCCCGCTACTCCACCGCAGACAAACCAGCCTCTCATCGCACTCATCACCGGCGCAGCTCAGGGCATCGGACGTGCCATTGCCCTGCGGCTCGCAGAAGATGGACTCGACATCGCTATCGCAGACTTAAAATCACAGCGCACAAACCTCGATGGCGTCGCGGAAGATGTAAGGGCGAAAGGGAGGCGGTGTATTGTCTTGGAATGTGACATATCACAAGAGGAGGAAGTCCTGCAAATGGTGCAGGCTACGGAGAAAGAGCTCGATGGTTTGGACGTCGTGAGTGTCTCATGGGCCATAAACCTGCCGAATAGTCTGACGGATGATGTCCTAGATGGTAGCAAATGCCGGACGAATTATTGTGAAGCCTATGGTTGACAGTAAGTCAGCTCCATCTTTGATCCGCTTTGGTGGTGAGTCATCATACCCCAATAGCTAACCTCGCCGATTTCGACGGGATCTTCAATACCAATGTCCGGGGGACATTTCTCTGCTTACGTACTGCAGCGCAAGCTATGATCAGGCGGGGGCGTGGTGGGAGGATCATTAGTATGTACGACTCCTTCTTTTGTATTTGGATAATAATGCCTTTGTGATAGGCGCGTCATCGGTAGCGGGGAAGAAAGGGATGCCTTTGAACAGCATTTACTGTGCGTCGAAATCTGCCATTCGATCATTCACGCAGGCGCTCGGTGTGTACTCAAGAGGTCCTATTACTTGCTCTCATCTCAGTGTCTGCATTCCAGCGGGTGAACTCGGGCCACACGGAATCACCGTGAACGCGTACGCGCCTGGACCAGTTGATACACTTCTCTGTATGTTTTGCTTCCCCTGCTACCCTCGTCCTACCTCCAATCCATCACACATCTTCTTTAATCAGTTTTTACATTCCGATGTTGACATGGCCTCCAGTGCAAAGCTCCGCTGAAGCATGTGCGAAATATATAGGGCTTCCTGACGCCAAGACGTTTCTCCAAGGTGTACGTATCAATATTTCCGCCGGGTTTCCTAATCACTGAAATTGCTTTCCAGTACCAAACGAACGCGGCGCTGCCGCGAATTGGAACGCCAGAAGACATTGCGGGCATGGTGTCGTTCCTCGCGGGCAAGGATTCCGCCTATATCACTGGCCAGACACTCACAGTTGATGGGGGAGTATGGATGGATTAACCGTGTGCTTGTGGCACATCATATAATGTATCCTGTTTGCAACCACCTTCGAGTCCTTAGAGAGAATTAGAATTTATATATGTTCACTTGCTTTTATACAAGGTTGCGTGCCCTTGCAATTGTGGGTTCAGGGCTTCAGCCGGGAAGTGCCGCGACGTCACTACACTCTACACTAGTACTCAACTCCTTGATGTCAATTCCCACCACCTATTCTTGACTTGTTTCCAATGTCACCCAAAAGTCAAACTCAACTGCGTCGTCTTAGGCGACGACTCTCAGTCCAGCCACATTTTCCCAGTCAAGATTGCACAGACGGACATCGTCGGTGACTTGAAAGAGACTATCAAACAAAAGAAGATTGCATTCCGCGACGTGGATGCAGACTCTCTCCAGCTATGGAAGGTAAGTGATCCGATGCCACGATCTGGAAAGTTGGTGGTGTTGACAGTATGATACTTTAAGGTCGATATCGACCCACAGAGGGAGAAGTTAGATCTCCCGCCCAATGTCCAGGAGCTTATGCCGGTTACCCTGCTCTCCCAAGTGTTTACAGTTCGACCGGAGGCTGGGCACCTTCATATATTCGTGGAACGCCCCCCTAGTAGGTGGAATTAATTTGACATGGCGGCTGAGCTGACGGCTGCCTCCCAGACGCCCCCCGTAGTCATTTGCAACTGTCGCCTTCTGCACACGTGCTTCAAGTGCCGGATGTAGCCTGAACGAAGTTGCTGCCAGTGAGTCCTGAGCCTTAGAACACAGCAACTTCGTTCAGACTACATCCGGCACTTTCCCAAGAAGGCTCCTTCCAGCCAGGGGGTACCCTCTCAATTCGAAAATATACAGAAAAATCCTGACATCGCTGTTCGCTGTGATCGACCCCCTGAAGCTGCTAATATTATACCCACCACCCGACTTCACCCAATCTTTGGTGCATTCATGGACGACTGCGAAAATCATGAGCCAACAGGAGATGATAACAAGCTGGTAATGGAGTTGTCATGTGCTTCCGGAGGCTTCGCTCCAGCGCTCTACGGCTTCGAAAACCTTCCAGGCGGATGGTACATGATTGCCATGGAGATGATCCCAGAGGATTACTGGAACTTTCCGATCCTTACCTTCATGATGACGCACTCGCTACAGGACTCCAATCTCTCCATCAAGAAGGTTATGTTCATGGAGACATTCGGGATATGAATGTTATGGTGAAAAGGGACCGCAGCACTGGATTCAAGTTGGTGGATTTTGACTGGTCCGGGAAAATAGGCGAAATCCGATACCCAATGAACGTATATCGAGGAGGTCGTCTCTGGAGACCTGATGGAGCGGACGACGGACAGTTGATCCTGGCTGAACATGATGTTCAGATGTTGCACGCCAAGTTTTCACCAGGTACCTTTACGATTGAATAACGTTTGTGCATGGCTCGAATTGACACCAGGGATGAAGATAGATTGATTTGAAAGAAATTCTTGAAATCTGGAGATTCATATAGGATCAACGCGACGCGGTGGGCCGACAGATTACATCATTCCCAACACCCGGGTATAAGCTTGTCGTCGCAGCAAGAAACTTGGATTTTGTTACTATCCTCGAGAACTTGCCGCAAATATATCCGTTCCTCAAGCGCCTAATGAAATTCCGGATGCCGGGTAACAACGAATGATTCTTTTGGGCTACCATCGCGCCATCTTGCAGATCGCATGCATGCGACTATGGGCGGCTATATGCTCGAGTGCGCCAAGTGGCACAAATCACTGGACAACACGAGAGTCGCTGTTACGCGAGCGAGACGGGGTATGTGTCATGGAGCACTTCAATTCGCTGACAAGACGCCGTATAGGCGATGTGAGCGAGTGCTTACTATGTAGCACAGAGTTGCATTTGAGTTTGGCATTCAGCCCTTCGTCATCTTTCTAACGTTCATTGTTCGGATCCGGATAGTCCCGACTACACGTCGTAGACCATCCTCTCCTTGTCGTCTTCCGCCATGCCATAGACACACGCTAAAGCATCGCCAGCTCAACACATTATGAGAGAGAAGACTGCAGAGTGGTATATCACTTGTCTTCTGGATTGTTAACAATTATTAACCCTTTTCTGTTGACTGATTAGATAATCACTTTCCAAACAGATATTCGACACGAGGTTCATTTGCCGTCAAGCATTGCTAAAATCAATGTCCACCCAGTTAGGTTCGCAAGCTGGCTCTACTATGTGTCCGTTCCAATTCTGGCGTGAGCGCTAACCATATTTCTCCCACTTGATCAGCGACCGCTGAGCTTAACTAGCATAGCGACGCAAATATGCCCCTCGAAGGAACTTTACTACCCAAGCTTCGGCCAAATCGCTTCCTATCCGGACTCTGGCCTAGATTCGTGTGTATCTCTTTGTTCTTGACACTTAGGCTCTCTTTCTATCCTCATGTCGTTGTTAATTTCCTAAGATGTTATCCTCAATTCAGTAGTTCGGCTGTCACCATGTTCATATCATTTGACAGAATCGTTTACTTGGCTCCACATTTTCAGACTTCACATTGACGCGCTTCGAATTGATTAGTACTCACCAAACTAGTTGACCTGATGATCGACCAACTGTATAAAAAGCCTCAAAGATATTACAACGTGTCCTCCCCGTCAATCTCATCGAACATGCCAAACCATCTCCCTCATCATCCCCTCTTCACCACTCGAGTCGAATTTCTTCCTACTGATGACCGTGTGTCCCTCTCCTACCAGCGGGCGAAACTTCTCATGCACACATACAGTACGTTGACCTCCTGATTACATGACTCAGTTGTATATCCCTTGAACCTAGATCTCTCGGCTTCTGATGTGCAATTTTGTTCTTCCAAGTATTGGGCAATGATGACAGACCCTATCATGTCACTCGATACTGCCATGTTGACTATACTGGCCGCTCATGTCGGTCTCACCATTGGAACTCTTTCCCGCCATCTTCACAAGCGTCCAGACCTCCGTCCACTCGTCAACCGTCTCTTGCGTTTCGAAACAGTTGGGATATATCTCCTCACGGAGAGGGGTCACGGTCTAGATGCATTCAACATCGAGACAACAGCTACGGAAACCCCTGAGGGCTTCATTATCAATACCCCTCGCGAAGAGGCATACAAGTATGTACCTTTTCTTAAGCGTAAACAGCATCGTCATCAAGTTTATGTAGGTTCATGCCCGCTTCCACTCCAGCCTTCGGTATTCCGAAGGTCGCTTTGGTTATGGCTAGGCTCATAGCCGATGGCCAAGACCGTGGCTCTCGATTCTTTATTGTGCCCATCTGCAACGAGCAGGAAATGTTCAAAGGTATTGAGTCGATCAGACTTGGTGCTCGTCCTGGAGCTAGCCCTCTTGATTTCTCTATAACCCGTTTCAATCACGTCCATGTTCCACTCAGTGCACTTGTTTCGTCAAACATCTATGACCATTCCCTGCCGAACTCGCCTCTTGAGGCGTGGTGGGATGAGGTATGGCGCATACCTATCGGAACTCTAGCTGTCGCTGGGCCCTGGATATCTTCCATCAAGGCAGCTGCCTTCATTGCTGGTCGCTATTCCATGCACCGGTCCCTCGTGGGTAAAGGGATGAATCCCATACCCATCATCACATTCAGGACTCAACAGTGGCCTATTGCTCACGCAACCACTGTTGGCCTTGTTATGAGCAATTGGTTCCCAATGATGACCAAACATAGCGGTGATAAAACTCTGGATCATCGTGTTAGACATGGCCTTGCGGTCATCGCCAAGGCCACTATTGGTCGACACTTCCAGCGCTGCTTGCCCGAGGTTGCTGAAAGATGCGGTGCGCAAGGCACCTTCGAACATAATTATATGGCCCGCATGGAGGTTCGTACGCATTCCATTTAGTGATACTCAAATGAGATATCGTATTTATTCAGAATGATGGGAAAGGCGTGATCATCGCTGAGGGCGATGTTCTTACGTTGTGCATTCGCTTATTCTCCGAGCTCCTCCTCCAGCGCTACAAGATGCCTCTTCCAGACCCAAGCGAGTCGCTTCTCGCTCGACACGCAGCTTCTATATTGGAGGAGAATTTGACCCTTCTTAGCAGCCTGCGTGAGGGACACCGTAGCCAATCTTTCAACTCTCTCATTCTCCCTCAGGCGGAGCTTGCAGTTGAATCCATGGGTCACGCGCTGGCTTATTCCGCTGGTTTGAAATCTGGTCTTCCGAAGCCAATTCTTGATGTGTACGAATGTGCCGTCATTCGCCGCGATCCAGCTTGGTATTCGGAGAATGCTGGGCTAACCCGAATTCTCCAACGCATTCGTGAAGATGAGGCCATTATATCAATGCTTCCCCATCTCGATACTTATCTCAACAATTTGGCTATCGAGGATTACGTCCCTGTGCCCATCATCTCTGACGAGGCGTGGAAGGAGTATTATGGCGTGATGCCTGTTTTCACCGGGAACGCTATTCCCATTATTAATCAGGTACAGGCTATGCTATAGGCTGTTCTATCATGGGTGTTAATCATTGTCGCCCTAAACACTGTAATTTATATCGCTCCCTTCTCTCGCAGTTAAGATTGCTCTTTTTTTTTCATACGTTCTTAGAGAACCTCTGAGGCTTCTGGAGATTGCACATGCTTCTCTGACCCATCTCGCGTGTTTCAATCTGCCTCCTCCTTTCTCCAAGATTCCCTTCCGGCCCGAATCAGAGGCGTTGGTTCTTCGCGAGAAAATCGTACTACATACATGACTTGAGATAACGCGGAACACCAGGAAAGTCATACGAGGCTCTGTATACACAGGTAATCTAGGAAGCATTTGTCGCTCGACTGAGCGACATAAGTCATAGTGCAAAGGGAGACGTAGATCAATGACCAGAGTTCACTCAGTTCACGATCTAAATATCTCCAGGCCAGTGATGGTGGTTGGAGCTTCTCAGTGATGGAGTCATGGAACACCAAAACATGGAAAGCACCAACCAACAAGCATGACGTGAGCATGATGCGATGCAACAACTGCGTACTCTTGATGTCTTCCGCAGACCCTTATCTTGTGGTCGTGGGGCAGTTCTAGGACTCTCCAGCGTCAGTACATAGACAAAACACGGATGGAGCTGATCTAGCTCGATAAGGGATGTCATCGTGTTTGCTGTTTGATGGTGAGTATTCTCGAATTCGAACAACTATACAAGTTCCGCACCGGGTACAAATCTCGATCAGCCAAATTCCCGGAGCAGGGGTCCAGATGCACATCTGAGCCGCAAAGATAATGCGTTTGTAGGTCCTCGAAGATACTCGCGGTTTCTTTGAGGTTTGCCCTCGCATAGACAGTCTGGGGCACGTAATTCCTGTGGTTGACACGGATTTTGTGTGGTAATTAGAACGACAGAGCATAAGAGTAGTGTTGGAATGGAAGAATGGCATAATAGAGTAGACGTACGTCGACGAAGGCGTTTTGAGGAGATGTTGCACCAGGCCAGCATGATGTATTAGAACTTCTCAGTGACTGAGACATATTCGACGCGACCATCCTGGAAAGCACGAACCAACCAGCATATGTCCGTGGGTGGGTGGGGCAATGGGTGGCGAAAAATTAGCGCGTATGAAACTGATGTTGATTGTAAGGACTTTGATGCATCATGATGTTAGGTATGACCACCGACGGCGTTGAACATGACATTGATGGCCAGTCTCTCGTGGTGCGTCATGAAATGAGGATATGAGCTGATCGAAACTTTTCAAAGAAAAATAGTGACAGATTGCCGGCCCTGAATCAATTTTTCTCTTCTGATCCGACTAAGATCCGATTGAATTTAACTTAAGTCTTGACCACCGTGTGACCAGTTACCAGTATTTCCTGTGCCCCGCTCAGACGGCCCTGCGTTTATCAGAAGCCGTGGTCCACGAATGTCAGCGTCCATAATAATCGCACTCGCACAGGTGAGTACCTTGGTTGACTCCGTATCTACATACTTCTATTTATTCCAGGTATACTAGGCGTTGCCAGTGGGCGTCCCAATTCGTCCCAGCTTTGAGCTCTCTTCTAAGACCTGCTTGGCAACTTGAGTTGTCGTACCGTATTCCACTGATTGTCGTCGTTTTTTTGAATGAAAAGGAGCATTCAAACAAACATCGACGATCACTGGCAGCAGCTGAGGGGCTCTGAGAGCCCCTTTGAATTTTGACATTTCCACCTATCAGAATTTGATCGAAATGCATACAAAGCGCGAACCTCATCTCCGCTCTTTTTTGGTCCATCTTGCCTTTCCCCCTGTCCGTCTTCATCAGCGTCAAAATGCGTGCTATTCACGCAAAGATATTAACACTTACTTACGGTCAGTACCAGTACCACTGCCTAATCCCCAGTCTGTCTCTTAGCGCGATGAGCAAGCTGCATATGACTAACCTACGCCATATGGCATTGGGGTTTGATACTGCATGTCTTGGTGGGCGTGCAAGGAGAAGCTAGGCGACAGGAAGACATAAGAGTGGGGCCGAAATATTGGGTGTCAGTGCGTGTCTCTATCGAGTCGGATGACTGAGCTGATGGAGTGTCGGTTTCGTGGGCATGTCGCATCCATGATACTGCTCTCGCCTCCACAATTCTGAGGTCAGGAGAAAGGTACTCTCAATCTTGCTAGTCTCAGACTCTTCCATCTTGATGTTGATGTAGGCAGTCCTTGTTCTGCGATCGACATCGTGATCCGAGCATACGGAGAGAGTAAGTTGTGTTCGCCAGTCACATCCTAAATGTTACATTTGACTTCGTTGACGTTTTAACAGCGTTATCACAGCTGGACATCGCATAATGGGTGAGTACAGTGTTAATGTACTGGTCGCGGCACACATGCTCATAGTGAGTGAGATGCATATATGCGTGTCATTCCTTGTGTCAAGACTTACATTCACCCAGATGGCCTTCCTCAAATAAAACTCGACAACAGGGGTGAATAGTACTAACGATCCTGATCCACTGCATCGAAAATGACTACACCATCAGGGACGATCCAAGCAGTCGATGTATGCACGTAGCGCCAGAATTCAATCATAGCTCAACTTGCGCTCTCAGTACCTAAACGATGAGCAAGTGCCTCAAGGAAGTCTATTGATTTGGACTCCCAGTCGCAAGAGTTAAGGTCGATCATTCGCCTCGCACAGCCTTTTGGCGCACTTGTCCTAGTGCAGGAGCGTCATTTACGCCCGGGTCAAGGACCTGGCTTCTGTTGGTGACACGATGAGGGCGCTGCAGATATTGTAATAGACATCTCTGACTTATTTCATTCATACATTGACAACACCTCCATGACACGATTGCTCTGAATTTGTGTTATAGTGTATGCTAACTTACAACAGGAAACCAAATGACTATGGTTGTAGGATGGAATCGTCGCTGAGAGCACCAGCTGAGAGTATGTTGTTTGCCGCTAATAGACTGAATATTATGGAAACTAGGACACATACACAAGAGTGCTCATCTAGCTTGATATATACATATGGATCCATGATGGCCGATGGCTCCGCGTTTCCTCGTTTTGAGGGTGAGTGTTCAGCCAGTGCGTCCAATTCCGAGCCCAGCTGCAGCGTGATGTTCTTCTTTCAGTGAGAATAGATCTTTCAGGTTCAGATCTCACACAGCACTTCTCCAGTTGCTTCGTCCAGTTCTGGTGCCGTGATCGAGATGCGGAAGAAGATTGTATCATTAATATTGGATGGATATGTTGATATGTTGACTACCCACTTTGTTACTAGGAAGCCGCCGTCACACACTCAGTGTCTGACCTTGGCATTGAGGTGGGCCTCCTGGAGGTTGACTATCCTGTGTGCTTGATGCCAATATTACACAGAATTTCGTCTTGTATAAGGATGCGTCCTCGGGAAACCTGAAATTGTTGTTCCTGGCTCTTCTTCTTCTTCTGCTGCGGATTCGGCTTATTCGCAACGCGAGCGCTCTGGTGAGCGTTGCAAATGCTAAAGACGAAAGAGTACAGTCGGGCTGCCACTCCAACGGCGGCGCCTTGAGCTGAGTCGATAAGACGCCGCAACGCTAGAGAAGAAACATTGAGCTCGTCAACGTCTTCAACTGTTATGGGCTCATGACTGGCTTGATAAACGTTCTGTTGCAGAGTGAAGAATGTGTTGGTCATGGGTGTAAAAGATGGAGAGGGAAAGTGTCAATGCGTTGTAAGTGAGGATGTAGGAACGTGATCCAAGGCCAGAGCTATTTATTGCTGGATGTACTGTAAATGAATGGTAACAGTGTTTTACAGCAAGTTAGCAGTGAAAGGGGGACGATGAACCACGCATAGGCTGTGAGGTGCATCATTCCAGACTCCAGAGTGAGCACATGTCTATTATTAGATCTGCTTGATTGTTCGCGTCATGTGACCGTGTTTAACAAGCGCGCACTCACCTTGATACGGTCAATCTACTCTCCAATGCCATCAGAAACCAGAATCAGATGCGTCATCTTAGGCGACGACTCCAGCCTCACCTTCCAAGTCAAGGTTTCACTGGTGGACGACAACGTTGGGTACCTGAAATATGCTATCAAAGAAAAGAAGTTTCAAACATCGCGACGTGGATGCAGACTGTCTCCAGCTATGGAAGGTGAGTGATCTAATGCCACGATCTGGAAAGTTGGCAGTGCTGACAGTACGATACATTTAGGTCGATATCGACCTGAAGGAGAAGTTCGATCTCCCGCCCGATGTTGAGCCGCTTATGCCGTTTATCCCACTCTCCGAAGTGTTCGCAGTTGAACCAAAGGCTGGGCACCTTCATATATTTGTGCAATCCACGGTTATCCAACCGTTACCTGCTGGTGAGTCTTCTGTCGATATCGTCACTTTTTCATCCTTACTGATTGCGGTCTGATCAACGCGTTCTCTGCTAGCCAGCCACCCGTACATCAATCTCAACTGCGTCGTATTAGGCGACGACCCCAGCCATATGTTTTCAGTCGAGATTGCACAGACGGGCAACGTCGGTGACCTGAGAGAAGCTATCAAAGCAGGGAAGAGTTTTACATTCCGCGACGTGGATGCAGACTCTCTCCAGCTATGGAAGGTGAGTGATCTGATGCCGCGATCTGGAAAGTTGGTGGTGTTTACAGTATGATACTTTAAGGTCGATATCGACCCGCGGAGGGAGAAGTTAGATCTCCCGCCCAATGTCCAGGAGCTTATGCCGTTTACCCTGCTCTCCCAAGCGTTCACAGTTCGACCGGAGGTTAGGCACCTTCATATATTCGTTCAACACCTCCCTGGTAGGTGAAATTAATTTGACATGGCGGCTGAGCTGACGGCTGCCTCCCAGACGCCCCCCGTAGTCATTTGCAACTATCGCCTTCTGCACACGTGCTTAGGACCCAGCGACTTCGTTCAGACTACGTCCGGCACTTTTCCAAGAAGGCTTCTTCCAGCCAGGGGGTGCCCTCTCAATTCGAAAATATGCAGGAAAATCCTGACATCGCTGTTCGCTGTGATCGACCCCCTGAAGCTGCTAATATTATACCCACCACCCTACTTCACCCAGTCTTTGGTGCATTCATGGACGACTGCGAAAATCATGAGCCAACGGCAGATGATAACAAGCTGGTTATGGAGTTGTCAAACGGTATGTCCAATTTCCCCGACGATGGAGATCGAGCTTACAAGTTCTGTGAAATCCTACAGGAGCACGGTATCGACCTAACGGCCTCGATGATCAACGGCACTGCCTACACTACCGACGGTGACATGCAGCACAAAGGTTTCCGTTTCGCGATCGCCGAAATCAAGAACGAGATAGGATCCTCGAGATACGAACCTCATATGCAAGCCCTTCTATATTATATACACTCTACCAAGACTTTCGCAAAGGACGACCCCGCATTTAGGTTTCCCTGTATACTGATCAGTCTCTTTGGCAGGTTTTCAGTGTTACACAACTTTGTGATGTACTGATCACGACATCAACAGGGCCGCACATTGACTTCTCAGCCGCTGTTTGGGACACCCGTCCGAACATGCAGGTTATTTCGACTGCTTTACCTCTCTTTTATCACCGCACGGATACCAAAATGCGTGAGATGGTCGCGCGCCATGTTGGTGCGCTCAGGAAAGCTCTTCACTCTCTCTTGAAATGTTATGCGAACATGGCATCAAGCACTACGAGCCCTTCTACCGATCCAAATCCCTGCTTTCCATACCCATCTTCTTATACCTGCATCAAGACAGCGTCAACATGTCGTTTCACGTACCAAGCTCAAATGGATACCCAAAGACTACTCTTTTCCGCGAAGACAGAGGATGACGAGTCTAAGATGCTCTGCATCAAGTTTGTTCGTCACTACTCTCAGGAGGCACATCAACGATGTGCTTCCGGTGGCTTCGCTCCAGCGCTCTATGGCTTCGAAAACCTACCAGGCGGATGGTACATGATTGTCATGGAGATGATCCCAGAGGATTACTGTTGTCTCGGGGAACTTTCCGACCCTTACCTTCATCATGACGCACTCGCTACGGGACTCCTATCTCTCCATCAAGAAGGTTATGTTCATGGAGACATTCGGGATACAAATGTTATGGTGAAAAGGGACCGCAGCCCTGGATTCAAGTTGGTGGATTTTGACTGGTCCGGGAAAATAGGCGAAATCCGATACCCAATGAACGTATATCGAGGAGGTCGTCTCTGGAGACCTGATGGAGCGGACGACGGACAGTTGATCCTGGCTGAACATGATATTCAGATGTTGCACGCCATATTTCCACCAGGCACCTTTGAGATTGCGTTACATACGGCGGCATCGCGCGGGCAGAGCTGGGTGACGGGAACGGGCCACATGTTTGGGACGAATTAGCCATTGAGGTTGGAGATAGGGCGGGCGGTTAGGCGGATGGTGGATATCCGGACTCGAATCGGTGGCTCAACAGCAGTTTTAGCGCACGAAGTTTACAAGTATATGCCATCTTCGGCTGATCGTGCTATCAAATAAACATCATTCATTAGTTACACGTACTTGGCCCCTTTGTAATAGTCTTAGAAATTATTGTACCGTATACCCTCCCTCGTATACCGACTTACGATAGAGAAGCGCCTCTTTGTAATAGTCTTAGAATTCCATAATCTGGGCATACCCACAGCAACCTCCCTCCATGACTGGCATATTCTCGTCAGCAGCATGGGGACCAGCTTTGAAGCGGGCGGCAAGTACTTTTCCGGGAGACACTGGCAGTAGTGAAAATTTCGGGATAAGACTTCAGTTGGCAAGCGCCAAAGAGCTGATACGAGTCCCTTGTGCACAATCATGGACTTGATGATCTTGTCCTTCTTTTCGACGAGCTGCTGGCGAAGATTTTTGATACTGTCCATGACTGTTTCCAGACCTGAGATGTCTCGCAACACTTCATTCAGCTGCTGCTGGCGTTCGCTGATGATGCCCCTGATGCTCTCGCCTTTCAAAGGGCTCAATGGCAGGGTAGTTGGTATTCAGTAAACTGGCTCGGAAGGGTATCGGGGTCTGGCATCTGCTAATGGTCAAATTTTCAACGGACAAATGATAACCGCTAAACATACGATTATTTGGAAATGCGTCAGCTGCAACAATATATTCTTCAAGTTGCAAACGCTTTTCAAATCAGCACTTGCAGCACACCAATAATATCGGAGGCTGGCGAGAAATTGACTTGTGAGTTGGCTGTCTGCATGTTCTATAATTGCTATAGCTGACAGTGGTTGAAACGCTCGAGCTTTGAATTTGAAGGTCCGAAGAAGCAAACAGAACACATGGAGTCATGATTCAAATTCTTCGAGTAACCACATACGGCTGGAGTCTGTAATGCAGTAACGGTTTGCAGTCGACCGAAACTACCGTGATAACAAGGTGCCTGCACATCTTAAAAAACGCTACCAGACGATCGATCCGAAGCGCTGGGACTCGGTGTATCTGGCAGGCTGGTGCTGAGCCTCGGATGTCACACGGGCGCGGTTGAGACTGACTCAGGCTGAGGGTGCAGAAGAACCTAAGACAATGACGGTGAGAGTGAACCCAGCAATGAGGCTTGATGACACGCATTTATAGGGTCCCAAAAGATTGATGTTGTCTATAACCACATGATGTCAACTGCGCTGTCACTCTTCGCGCAATACACAACTGCAGACAACCCCTCCCTCACACAAGATATGCTCGTGCTCTTTTTCTCCCTATGTGGCGCCAAGGGTGTCGAATCGGATGCATGTCTTCAGAGCCAAGGGGATCTGTTTCAGACTTGGGCACAGATGTAGAAGTCGATACGCTTGCAGATATACGTGAAGGTTGAGGACGTACCCTCCAACCAAATTCAGATACATCAATCTGAAAGCAGACACGGCTTCGGTGCCTTAAAACCAGAACCAGACGTAGGCCTATTGAGGAAGCAGCTCAGCATCATGGCGTGTCATGGCAGGAAGTCCTCGGTGTCTGCCGAGGAGTCATGCCCCGCCTTCTCCTCCAGGTCACAAGTCGTCGTTTTCGGCACTCGTTCCTCACACCTAGAACGGGCAACCAGACGTGCGCAGAAGTAACTCGCGTCAAGGGAGGAAGGTGTGTTTTGTTATATTGATTATACTGTGTTGCGTTCAAGTTGTACTCATACGATTCTCTCGTACTTCTAAACCGCAAACTCATAGCCCACCGTGGCTCTCCGTACGAAGCTAGTCGTCTATAGGTATCAAACACAAATATTCGCTGACCCTTTGCCAGGAGCCGGCGGGATTCACACTAGTACTGCCTTAAATGGTATACCGAGAACCATCATCGCGGTTGCTCAAAAGCACCCCGATGTGATTCACCGCGTTGATGTACCCTTCTTTTGCGCGGTAATTACAATGTATAATGTTTTGGGTGATGATGGAAGAAGTGACGTGATATCCATGCTGTAGCAGCGTGGTACGGCTTCACCAAGAACCCTATATAAACACCAAGCACACGAGTTGCAAGAAATCCAACGCTGTTTACCACACAAGATCCATAACCTAACGATATTCCCAATGTACGCTCCTTTTCAACTTGAAATGCTACTGACTGTCATGATTTATCTGTTTAGGTCACACGACATGTCAGACTCAGGGGTGCCTGATGCAGCATCAAGAGATACTTTGAAGGGGCCGCCGGCGCCAATGCGGAAAATTCGCCAGCACACGGACAAAGTGTGGGCAGTGACATTTTTCAAAGACGGTCGACAGGTCGTCACTGGTTCACATGATACAACCCTGCGAATTTTGGACGTGCAGACAGGAGAAATGGTAGGAGGGCCATTCGTGCACACGAACCGGGTGCGATCAGTCGCTATATCTCCAAACGAATTACGAATTACGAGTGGTGGAGATGATGCTACCGTTATCGTCTGGGAGATCGAGAGCAAGCAGATGGTCTTCAATCCGCTGGTGAAGCATACAGAGAAAGTTAACTCTGTGTGCTTCTCCCCGGATGGTAAGAGACTCGCAAGCGGCTCACATGATTCGACGGTTGTTGTATGGGATGCGGAAACTGGCGCAGTCCTTGCAACACTCGACAGTCAATGTCGCGAAACAGCGCGCGTATGGAGTGTGTCATTCAGCCCGGATGGACTAAAAATAGCATCCGGAGCATCAGACCATACCATCCGGGTGTGGCGCACCGTTGACGCCGAATGTTTGCTGAAGATCAACGCTGGCCAATGGTCAATTCGAAGTGTTGTGTGGTCGCCTGACGGCCACCAACTGATATCTGGGTCATCCGATAACACGGCCAAGTTCTGGAATTCGTCTAATGGAAAAAAGATCGGTCAAGCTTGCATCGGTCACATTCGCTGGATCACCTCGCTTGCCATCTCTTCAGATAACTCCTTCATCGCCACAGCGTCGGATGACAGTACTGTGCGGCTGTGGTGCACAAAGACAAACAAGCAGTTAGGACTACTTGAACACACTACAAAAGTTCACGGTGTCGCAATTTCTCCCAATGCAGATGTGCTCGTGAGCGTAGCCGATGATGGGAATCTTCGGGTTTGGTCTGTTAGAGACATACTCGAGCAAGGCAAGGTGGATGAAAGTCCAACAGAGGACGAAGAAGCACAAGACGAAGAAGTTCTTTCTCACAGCAGCGAAACGCAGGTATGTTCCTACTCATTATTGTTCTGCCTTTCTTTCCATTCACAACGTTGGGTGGTGACCCAAAGAGCAGCGACGACAGCGACGATGAGCATAACAGCGATCACGACAGTACAAGTGATCATTCCTCGGAATTCCACGATGCCTTTGGCTGTGACGACCAAGACCCATTACTTGACGTGAGCTATTTGCCTTCGATGCGTTCACTTCTTTTCACGGAACGTGAGCTTGCTTCGTGTAGATCTTCCATATAAACACGGCGGTCCGCACTTCTTGGGACCTTCATATCATCGATGGTCTCCTGACCTACGAAATTTATTTGAACGAAGATGACAACAGACACGACACGTATGCCAATCGCTCAATTGTAAGGGCGCGAAACTCTGAATGGGAAGGTGCGCTTGAAGACGCAGTCCAGGTCTGATATTCCGCCCGTCATGATACCATCGACGAACAGTTTGACTCAGCTTTGTTGCAGTCCATTGCTATCGAGCCCTCATTATTGGGCTACATTTCCAAGGGCATCGCCCTCTGCGGCAACGAGCAGCACTGGGGCGCGATGGCAGCTTTTGATGACGCTTTCGATTACGCTTCCATCTATTCCGACACGATTACCATCAATCTTATACTATTGATCGAGGTACTGTCATCGCTATTTTAACAGCCAGTCTTTTACACCAAGACTTATTCATGGTCCAGGCTATAGCACTTTTCAATCTTAGTCGCCACAATGGGACAATGCGGCGAATTCAAGAACTTGCCACCGCTTCTCAACACTCAGATCCAATTCTGCGCAGTCTCGTGAATGTGAGCTTTATATCAGATCTCACGAGTTTTCTCACTCTCGAACCAATTTGTCAGTATCTGCGCGCGCAGCTTGCAGTAAATGCCTATGAGGATGGACGGTACAGCGAAGCTGCCGATCAACTCAACGATATTATTCCTAGTATAACCGACTTGTTTCAGAGCAGAGCACTTTTCGAACCTAGATTGGAGATATTCACGGTGGTGCGCTACAAAGTCATAGAATACATTTTTACTCATTGATGATGTGCTGGACAGCTCTTCGGCTGGGACTTGCATTCGTTGTGGCAAACCGTCAACCAAAAACGGTGCGACGCATGCCTCCACGCTGATCGAGTGATCGAAGCGGTCGAATCTTACCAATACATGATGAGCATGATTGACAAGGATGCCAAGGACAGCGACCTCGAGTGGTCTACTAGTGAGTGCTTTGGGGTCTTCGACGACTTGATCATCGACACTTACTTGCGGGGTCGTTTAGCCTTCAAGAAAAATTGCACTGCGCGCTGTGTCGCAAAGGGAGACGAGGCTGTTGCTGCGAGCAATTATCAGACGGCTATTGAACTGTACTCAGCAGGGATCGAGCTGGACTCCTCGTGCGAATCACTCTTTGAGCACCGCAGCAAAGCAAATTTGGAGCGAAACCTCTATGGAGCGGCCCTTCACGATGCGAACAGGGTGTGGACGATAATGATCATTTCTTTAGCAGATGTGCTTATTTCACCAATCACATAGGTCATCAAACTCAATCCTTCTTCTTATCGGGGATACGAACTAAAGTATGCGGCGCTTCACAGCGCTGTGCGCTGTGATGAAGCAGAGGAGGCCTTTAACACCATGCTCTCCAAGTTAGGGGAAACCCCAGATGCACAGATACGTAAGCACCGAAGACTCATCTGTCAACTCGAAGATGATGACCTTTTCTCCAGAGCTGCAGCACTGCGCCAGTCTATCAGACATAGATGATGCTATTCGACGAATCATTCACGCTCAACGAGAAAACACCCCACTTCGTCTACTGATTCCCGACCCTCTCCCATTAACTGTTTTTGTCGATGCTTCTACTTCATATGGTATTGGTTTCCTCGCTGACACCCGCTGGCTCGCTTGGAGTTTTTTGGGCGGCTGGAAGGCAGATGGTCGAGACATCGGGTGGGCAGAAATGGTAGCGATCGACCTCGGTCTTCGTGCCCTTGTCTGCTCTGGTCTTCGTGGCGTGCACGTGCGATTCCGTTCCGACAACCAGGGTATTGTTGGAGCCTTTAGGGCTGGTCGCTCTCGCAACGTGGTCCACAATGATGTCCTGCAACGTCTCTCCTCTTTTGCTTTCGACAACGGCATCTGGATATCTGTCGAGTGGGTGAAGTCTGCCCATAACCTGGCAGATGGCATCTCTCGTGGCGTTTTTCCTACCTCCTCTCGTTTCAGCTCTCCTCCTCCCTTGCCTGCTTACCTCAAGCCCTTTGTCCGCTTGGTGTAGTTTGGTAGTTCCCTTCGTGCATCCTTTCCAAGTACTTCTGAACCGCACGGTCCCCCACGGCTATATGCTACGTAATGGCCGGTCCAGGAACTTTCGTATTACTTAACCCTTCCGGGATTTCATGACGGACAATGTTTTTACGCTGACCCCACCCACTTGTAATATCTCCACACAGATGCATATTATATACCGAGAATCGCTACTGTAACGTACTACTTCCTAACAAGACGGCGGAGTACCTCTCCCCGAACAGTAACCTTCCTCACCACCGAGAACAACGGCTCAACGACATCTACGTCAACTTCGCTCAGGGATATAGTCGTCTGAAAGTCTACCACCCGTACGTCACAAGACGCGATTTGCAGCGCCGCCATAATACAAGCAATTTCCGATTCTTCCGGATCTGCCGCGAGCGTTAATTTGCGTAACACGGGGAGACGAAGTTCTCCAAATATTTTGAGAACTTCGCGTTGTTGAAAAGGATCCGAAGGGATGGGAAAAGTGATCGATTCGAGGCAATGATGGGTGATTGAATTATTTGGATGGCTGATATCTGATAAAATTAGGTCCACCTTGATGGATTCTAGACGAGGGAACATGAGGAAAGCGGAACGTATGACGCGGGCAGAAGCGTTCTCGACTCGGAGATGGCGTACGTTGTCGCAGGTAGGAACATGTCTGAATCGCATGGTAAGAGACCAGCGATAAGTGATGTGTAGGTGAGTGAGGTTTGGTGCGTTGAAACTGCTGAGTTCTGACCAGCAACACTGCAAGGACCTCAACTGGGGTGTGTCGAAATCACGATTCCAGTCTGATGCGGATGCGAGAGCCACGGATTCCCAACGCTTGCTCTCGGAAAGAAGGATCTGGAGCAGTTGAGAATCTGCTTGTGAGGGTTCAAGGGACTTCTGTCGGGTGCAGCGGCGTGAGACGCGTACGGGGAGCTGTCCGGATGTGATGCGGAGGGTGAGGGGCTGATTGCCAGAGCGTGCGAGCCACGACTGGAGGAGAGATGGAAGAAACGGTTTCAATGGTTCGGTTCGCCCCGGAAGGGAGACCTGAATACGTGACCAGACTGCTGTCGTTGAATGTGCAACGACTCGCCAGAAGTGACACACGCGGGTGAAGACTAGGGGAGGACTGTCAACATTGGCGGACATGGTTGTATCTCCATATGAGAAGACATTAGGATAATCCGCGGTGTTGACGATGAGCAAGAATACGTGCTGGAGAAGTTCCACTGGTAGCCTGTGGATATGGGCTGGGCAGTTGACGGTGACGGGAGAGTCGTGTGAAGGAGTGAAACCGACGTCGAAGGCTGGCATCATTCAGGTGGGGCATGGATGAAACTTGACAAGCCTTTTTATGCGATTTTCAACGTACACGTGTGAAGAGAGCTCACAGGTATATTTCAGCCGAACAAGGCCCTGCAACGTACAGGGTTCATGGGCTCAGTTAAAGTTACATCAGACATAAGTAAAAATGCAGTGACACATACAAGTCACCGACGCGTAGCTATGCACAAGACACTTTGTCAAACTTTAAATTTCCTTTTCAGATACAGAAACCCACTAGGGTTAGGGTTATGACGGACCATGCTGCATGAGCTACAGACACCCTCTGCTGAGGACAAGGTCGAAGATCTCCATGTACCACGCACCCGAAACTCGGACGTAAAGAGGTATCATGATGATGTCCGTGATGATCATACTTGTTGATCAATTTGTCTGTGTCGCCGGTATCGCCTCGTACTAGACGAGCCGATCACGTGTTTGAACGCTTTGATAGCCGTCATGAATACTTCAAGTGACCGTTATTGGACTACTTAGCTGTGGACGACAACCAGGCCAAGTATCGTGGATTGTTTCGCACATTGCGAGCAAGAGAATTTCTACTGCGTATCCTCCTATTATCTGCCATACCTCAGCTTTCATCGTGCAACAAAGCACGCATGGAGATGCGCATTGCGCTGATCGTTCTGTCGATTTGGGAGGTAGCGGTTAACCTCGGTAATATGCTGCGAACATCTCACAACGAGGTAGGGAGCCGTACATTTGTTCTTTCGTGTGGTTATTCATCCGCAAGTCCTGTCAACTCTCTTTTCATCTCAAAGTTGAGGCTGACTCCCAAATACCAGCACTTACAACTCCAGAGCTGAACGTGTCCGGATCATCGAACTCGGACGCTATGCACTTATTGATGCATCAGACGTACCTTTGAAATATGTCGTATCGTTATGTCTTATAATAGCGCGACTCTATTTCAACTTGAAGGTGCGTCTGTGTATCTTTCATTTGTGATCTGTGTTATGCCCAGTGTTCTTCATCTCACAATTGCAGCATAGTCGCCCCCCCTTTCTGAAATCACTTCGCTGGTACATGAACGACAGAAGAGCGGGCTCTCTATGGACTTGCTGAGAAAAACAGAATGGTAAAAGGACAGGGTGCTTACCGCACGACCTGGATCTGCTTGTGGATGCTGCCAAACTGCTGTGCAAGTGACCTGGGAAGTCGTCTTGGCAAGGACGCCAGATCTTGTCATTACCATGTCAAACAGCCGCTCGTGGTCAAATCCAGAGAGCGCTGAGAACACATGTTTTGCAGTGGATTCCATCACTGCTGCGATTTATGACAATTGATGACAATGCGGTCAGTATTTTATGGCTACTCTGATTCCAACTGGAGCAGCAATGTCGATATATCATTATCACCCTCAGGCTACGCGATTCTTAATATTCCGTATCTGCAAACACACGCGGCAGTGACCAAAAGACATTGTGCATGCGCAACCGCAGGAGAAGTTCGCTATTTTCGATTTGTTTCACATCCACGCAGTCAGACACGACAAATTCACATATTCTCATCTAAGTATCGCAAGGCTTCTGGCATTCCAAGTTTCCGTAGTAGCAATCAAGGCGTAGAGCTGGTTGCGAAGCTGGCTACGGAGAACCCGCTGGATATCACCGATGGAGAAGTCGAATGACCACCCTACCTCAAGAATATTATGGTGGGGAAACTACCTCCGCACTTCTGTTAGTTGCTTTACAAGCTTCGCACAATTCGTGTGCAAGCTTTACATGTGACACATATCTGTTACTACTTGCATACATGCCACAAATTCATGCATACCTTCTACAATATTCTGTTCGGGGTTTGCAAGCCATACAAGGCAGTAACCGGCCGTACATGCAGCGCCCGCTAGTGATTCTTTTGTCGATGTTACACTGGCAGAAGCCAAGTGCGACGCTTACTCTGAGGTGTCAGAAGATCTACGCAGGTCAAAGTATATCAAAACGTGAAAGTTCATCATGAAACTCACGCTTGGCTGTCGGTTAATATCACCCCCAGAAGGAAGTCCTCAGGTGGAGGACCGAATGCTAAACGAGCGCTTGTCAATGTGTAAGAGCGCTCACAGAACTCACACAGCGGTTAAAGACTACAGTTGAAATGCTCATAATGCATGGACTTTGTTGGATCCTGACGGCGTTCCCATGTAATTGACCGCATAATGCATATTGCATAATGCATAACCTTTGCATAGCCAATATGCATTATGAGGTACCAAATTGATAGGACGGGACAATAGGTACAACAATGTATTGCATAAATTTATTGTTCTGCTTCAGTGGTATTGTCTCGTTCGACTATGTATAGAAGCTAGCAAGTAATCACGACAGTACGATACCACACAACAATATTTGTCCTGCTTTTGGAGGTGGTGACTCATCCATTGCAGACACGGTCCGCCACGAAATTGCCATTGTAAATGGTGAAGTTATCGAGGTTGATTCTGATGACGACGACGACGACGAAGCGGATCCATCAATCACTCGTCAAAATATTCTCGATTTGTGCCAGCAGCTTGAAGTTGGATGCATGCAATATGGTGATCCTCAATTTTCACTTGATTTATCATCACAACTTCTTAAGTTTCGCGCGAACCTACGACGCGAAGAACTACTTAATGCTAGACAAACTTCTTTAGAACGATTCTTCTCGGTATAATACATGTACTTCTGTAGGACTACTATGGACGATTTTCTGTCACACTTTTGGCGGAGGTCACATGCGTCACAATAGTGTGACACATATGCTATTGCATATGTCTCATAATGCATAACGTTTTGGCGGTCCCAACGGTATGCATTATGAGCATTTCAACTGTACTACTCTCAGCGCTGAACATTTCTCACCGCTCAGTCCCATTACTACCATTTACCTTTCTTCATGGATTCTTCACAGATAAAAAGGAAGATCAATCGCTTTCGAATTCTCATCATAGGAAGAGCGAATGCAGGAAAAACTACTATCCTCCAGAGGGTGTGCAATACGAAAGAGAACCCTGAAATATTTAATAGCGCTGGGCAAAAGGTGCGCATCATGATGCTAGTACGAGACTAATAGTGATCGGTGTCTCATCGACATCAGATCGATGCCGCTGTTTTGACAGCATCTAGAGAGGTAACGTGTACATGCATTAGTTGGCAACATAAACTGACATTTTCTCAGCGTGGAGAGCACGACATCGACAACGAAATGATATTCCAAAACAACCCAGGATTCATCTTCCACGATTCGCGCGGCTTTGAAGCAGGTGGCGAATCCGAGTATGACAAGATGAACAAATTTATCGCGGGCCGTTCGAAGCAAGGAAACATGAAGGATCGACTTCACACTATATGGTAATTGGTCGAGTTGACGACATTCACTGGCTCACTCCTTTGACATAGGTATTGCATACCTATGGACCAGGCAAGCCGGTGTTTTACTGAAGCCGAAGTTAAATTCTTCTCCCGCTGCGACACTGGAAGTAGTAAGCTTTCACCATCTGTCCGTTGTGAATCGAAATCATCGACTGATTCGCAACTTGAATCCTCAGTTCCAGTCATTGTAATATTCACCAAGTTCGACGCGCTCTACGCCGCCGAATTCACACGACTGATAGAAAACGGAATATCGAGGAAAGATGCTAAACAACTGGCTCCAAAGCACGCTGAGGAGTCATTTGCGAACGGGACACAAGTGAAGTTGCTATACGACCCTAAGATCATCCAACGGCCTCCCAAATGCCACGTCTGCCTCCCAGGTAAGCTGTAGATCATCAAAGTCTGATACATGATGACTGTTGATCCATTAGACATGAACAAGGATGATGCTGATTGCGGGGCACTCATCGAACGAACCGCTGGAACTCTGGACGATCAAGTCCTTCAGCAATTGTTCGTCTCAACTCAGCAGACCAACTTAGAACTCTGCATGACATATGCAGTTGAGAAGTATCTACCCCATCATTTGCCTGCCGCGAGCATTATTGACTATCGTCCAGGACACTTGCAAAGCTTGTTACCCAAGATGAGATGTCCTCATCTGGGGTTGAAATAGCTAAATTGGGTGCCTGGTTTCCACATATTTGGGTAAGATGATGGGAATATTCGAAAGTTGCTCTCATTTATGTTGGGTGTTCATTTGCAGGTAGTACGTCTGTTGATCCTCCTTCGTGCTCGAGTCATGCTGATCCAAGTCGTTGCCCACTCTTCGCAGGACGTGAGTGTCTTGATCCTCCTTCGATCTCGAGCCATGCTGATCCAAGTCGTTTCCCACTCTTCGCAGCCTGTGAGTGTCTTGATCCTCCTTCGAGCTCGAGCCATGCTGATCCAAGTCGTTTCCCACTCTTCGCAGGCTGTGAGTGTCTTGACCCTCCTTCGAGCTTGAGCCATGCTGATCCAAGTTGTTGCCCACTCTTCGCAGTTGGTGAGTGTGTTGATCTTCCTTCGATCTCGAGCCATGCTGATCCAAGTCGTTTCCCACTCTTCGCAGCCTGTGAGTGTCTTGACCCTCCTTCGATCTCAAGCCATGCTGATCCAAGTCGTTGCACTCTTCGCAGGCTGTGAGTGTCTTGACCCTCCTTCGAGCTCGAGCCATGCTGATCCAAGTCGTTGCCCACTCTTCGCAGGCTGTGAGTGTCTTGACCCTCCTTCGAGCTCGAGCCATGCTGATTCAAGCCGTTGCCCACTCTTCGCAGGCTGTGAGTGTCTTGATCCTCCTTCGAGCTCGAGCCATGCTGATCCAAGTCGTTGCCCACTCTTCGCAGGCTGTGAGTGTCTTGATCCTCCTTCGAGCTCGAGCCATGTTGATCCAAGTCGTTTCCCATTCTTCGCAGGTTGTGAGTGTCTTGATCCTCCTTCAAGCTCGAGCCGTGCTGATCCAAGTCGTTGCCCACTCTTCGCAGTTGGTGAGTGTGTTGATCCTCCTTCGATCTCGAGTCGTGCTGATCCAAGTCGTTGCCCACTCTTCGCAGGACGTGAGTGTCTTGACCCTCCTTCGAGCTCGAGCCATGCTGATCCAAGTCGTTGCCCACTCTTCGCAGGCTGTGAGTGTCTTGATCCTCCTTCGAGCTCAAGCCGTGCTGATCCAAGTCGTTGCCCACTCTTAGCAGCATGTAAGTGTCTTGATCCTCCTTCGTGCTCGAGTCATGCTGATCCAAGTTGTTGCCCACTCTTCGCAGCGTGTGAGTGTCTTGATCCTCCTTCGAGTTTGAGCTATGCTGATCCAAGTCGTTGCCCATCCATTGACAGGATGTGAGTGTTGATCCTTTCTTCGAGCTCGAGTCTTGCTGAGTGAAGGAATTCCTGATCCATTGGCAGAATGTGAGTATATCCATCCTTCACTGGCCTTGAGTCATACTCATCGAAAAAATTGCTGATTCGTTGATAGCTTGTCAGTATGGTCATCGTCTGTCGACCTCCTGCCCTGCTCACTGACGCAATTGTTGGTCTGTTGTCAGGGTGTAGGTCTCTTCATCCGCTGTCAACTTCGATCCCTGCTGATACATTGGCTGATCTGTTGACAGATTGTGAGTTGGTCGACCCGCCGTCAAGCTCCAGCCATGCTGACTGAAGACATCGCCCACCCGTTCACAGAATGTAAGTTGCTCCACTCGCCGTCAAGCTCGAGCCATGCTGACGGAAGACATCGCCCACCCGTTCACAGATTGTGCGCGCATCGATCCTCTGTCGAGCTCGAGCCTTGCTCACTTGTGACATTGCTTGTTCACTCGCAGATGGTCAGTATTTTGATCCTCCGTGGAGCTCGAGCCTTGCTCATTTGTGACATTGCTTGTTCACTCGCAGGCGGTCAGTATTTTGATCCTCCGTGGAGTTCGAGCTTTGCTTATCACTCACATCGCCCCCTTAACAGACTGTGAGTGTCTCATCCCTCGAGCCTTGCTCATCAACGACATCGCTGATCCATTGATAGGAGGTGAGTTTGTTCATTCTCCCTTGACCTCAGGCTCGAGCCATGCCGACCGAAGACATTATTCATTGACAGCGTGTGAGCGTATTGGTCCTCAGCAGAGGGACACAATTTTCAACTTTCCATCATGATTTTATTAGCTCTGGATTGATCAACACTATGGAGAGATGAAGTCTAGGATACTCTCTGTGGTATGTCTAACTGCTTGCAGACTGTTCACGCAATTCTGATTATGTAAATATGCCAGGCCTCTGCTTCATCACCATTTGAGCAAATTTTACAGCTTGGTTCTGGTGAATCTTCAGGCATCATTGCAGTGGACTTGCTTATTTTCAATCATTTAGCTGTTGTCATTATTTTAGAACACTCTTTCTACATTTTCATCCAGCGACGCCCCCTTCAGTACCAGCAAGAATCTGTTCCCTCTTTTCATGTCGCTTTCGAGCGGTACATGGCGTCTCCGCATGTAATTGCTGTCAGGGACGCTGTGAACACTGCCGTCCACGCAAATCGAGGAAACTCGACTAATCGGAAAGCGAAGCTACTGTTTGGACTTTTCCGGAGGAAGAAGGATTACTCGGGTTTACTAGAAATAATTCTTAAAATCGTTTTAGAACATCGCCTGCGTAAGGTTTAACTCTCATGATTGTGGCGATCCCGCTGATTTATTTGTCTTCAGCACGACCTTGATGCCAGGCAATGAATCACGACGTAGATGGTGCTTGGAGTCATATTCTGGAGGCAAATGAGGGTTTCTAGAACGGTCTGTCGAGGGCGGTTCAAGTTTTGACGGGTATGGCACTACCAAATTCGTACAATCATGCAATTATGGCACTTTCTCTCTGGTATAGCGTATACATGCGTGAAACATGCTGGTCATTTAGCTGAGACAGCGGTTAGGCCTACTGTGTCTCTAACAGTAGCTTGGTGTAACCTCACAAGTATTACTGGTCCGATTGGTCGGGTCAGAACTGCGTATCATTCTGCTCCAGTGTTTCTCAACCTGCATGAATTTTCAAAAAGACATCTGGTTTATTGTCACAGTGACCAAAAGACATTGTGCATGCGCGAACGCAGGAGAAGTTCACTATTTTCGATTTGTTCCTCATCCACGCAGTCAGACACGACAAATTCACATATTCACATCTAAATATCGCAAGGCTTCTGGCACTCCAAGTTTCCGTAGTAGCAATCAAGGCGTAGAGCTGGTTGCGAAGCTGGCTACGGAGAACCCGCTGGATATCACCGATATCTGGAGAAGTCGAATGACCACCCTGCCCCAAGAATGTCATGGTGGGGAAATCTCGTTATAATCTGCGTGTGTGGGGCTAGCCTAGGAGCATGTGAGAAATGACACGGCAGGATAGGGGGAAGACCTACATTCCTCACCCAAACTTGCCTCCTCGGCAAACACAGCACGACACTTCTCGAGCAGCTCATCTTTTGACAGGTTACAGGCCCCTACCTTGTACCCAATAATAGACCGAGGCTCCTCGGGTAGAATAACACTGGACAGACAACACGCGACAGCCCCGTGCATCATCCATACACAGCTGTTCACCTGAGTCTCGGCCGAATCAATAATACGACCCGCAGAGCAAACATCCTTCCACAGATGCGTGACATTGTGTTGACATCCCATCACACTCCATTTGAAAGCACGCCACGTAGGCTAAATGAAGTGCTACACTTATCTTCAAGAAGAAAACGCGGTGCATGACCTTCTGTCGGTTTATGGCAGTGACCCCTGACTGGACACCAGGACTTGTCACGCGGGAATTTGTTGAGAGTGTACAATCTTTTGGACGAAGTGGTTGGCGCGACCTATTGAATACATTATGCGACTGTCACTTGGAAATTTTCCATCCTAGCTGACTCATTGTAATACCAGTTCCACAATTCCGGAGCAAGCGCAGCGACTCTTGAGTTTTCTCTTGAATATAGCCTCGCTCAAGGCGGAGAATCCTTGATAGATAATAAGCACGTCGACCCTTGGTGAGAATTGCAAAAATCCACAAGCCCCCGTTTGTCAAACAGAAATGAACCACGTCTAAAATGCATGCATTGTAAGAGTGTGATACTAACAATGTTTGGCAGGTGTAAGCTAACACTTGAAATCACCAACTTACAGTGAGCCGGACGGACAGCATCACGGAGCCGCAATTTCCAATTCCTCCAGGCTTATATTGAGTAAGCTCAACGGCTTGAGCCATCGTAGAACGAGTGAAGCGATTCCCTGAAGACTGAGGTCCAAAATATCACTAATAGGCCCCATGACCTGCGTTGTAATATATGTGACTAAGTGGGAACATACAAAAATACCAGCTTGACAAACCTTTATGTTCTGTTCGCCAATAAATTTGCATGGTCCACAATTCCAACAAGGAACACCTGGTGACCAGTGTCTTTCGACGCATAACTAGCAAGTCTCAACTCGGGAAATATTGCGACATAAATGCTGTCGCAAGCAGCGGCAGCCCTCGTCGTGGATATCAGAATTATATGAACAAGGACTCGAGCTCCTGCCTCATTCTTTCAGATCGTGAGTACTGCCTCTTGTTATTAGTGCATGTGGAATCACTTACGTGCATGCTGAAATGGTCAAGAATCTAACAGCTCTTCGGGCGCGGGAATGGGTGAGAGCGCCTGAATGGTTTTCTCGGAAAACTTTGACCTAGATCCCTGGGTAACACCCGGATGCTCCAGGGTGTGTACCGTAACTGATAAACAGGTCAGGTGCTATAAGCCACAACTTGAAGATGTTATTACATACTTCAATGGCTCCGAGTCTGAAGGATTCGAGGAGTAATGGGCTAAAGCACGAGGGGTGGTGGTGGTAAATGAAGCAAAGAGCCTGACTCGGAGGGTGGGGTCTTTCAGTCCTGTCCAAGGGTAGATCAAGTGAACGTATCCATGTGAGCCGAGAAGCTAACCGGAAGGAAAGGAAATGCAAACGCCAAGACAGTGAACCACCTGGGCCTTCCCATGACATCGATGTCGAGACTCAGCAGAAAGACCTGTCACAGTGCAACATGCTGGTGATCTGTCTCCCTGACACCAGGTGGTCAACTACTAAGTAGTCGCCCACTGCCGAAGCTGAGATCTGAGAATTGAAAGTGCGTCGTTGTAGCCTATTAATTCTTGACTGAGTTTGTTGAACTTTGTTCAATGCTGACTGGGACCTGTTGGGTCGTTAATGGCCTGGGAGAACAATTCCGGGTCCCGACTACCCATTTGGCACTTTGCGCCGTCCTTCAAGTTATGTTTCAATTCACTTGTCTCTTGAAACCCTAGCGAGAAACGTGCGTATTGCATAGCAACACCACGTCTACTTTTAAGCTCCTGGACTCGCAGCTTATAGACCGCGCACGAAACTACTTCCCGACTTTGATCGAGGACACCCGCGCCGAATATACGAACAAGGTAGACCTGGCAATGCGTATCGAAAAAGTGCGTTAACGCTGCCACAGTGTGTAGGGAACAGAATCGTGCGAGTTGGTTGTATGATGGCGATACCTATTACCCAGTGACTCTCGGAGACCTGAATTTGGTCAAGAATGGTGATAGAACAGTGGTACGTCCCAACTTGATTCATATCCAGTGATTCGGGAATTACTGGAGAGAGTGCAATCCTTTGGGTGAAGATATCTTGGTTGGAATGAGCTATTGAATAGATTATGTGAGTATTACTTTCAAAATTTTTGTTGATCTTTGCTGATCCATTGTAATGCCAATTCTACGATCTCCCGGATCAAGCGCAGTGACTCTGAATCTTCCGATTGCCAGTTCTCCAACTGTAAGGTTATAAATGTTCGATTCATATTAGTATGCGTATTCACCCTCATCATTCTTGACGAGAATTACAAAATCCACGTATGCCTGTTTGTCACACAGAAACGAACTGTGTCTTGCCTGAAGTGCATATTAAGCAATGCGTATCATACTGATTTTGAAAATTCAATCAAACGCCAACACTTGACTGGCGCCCTCCGGCATGTGCTCGCACAGATGTCCGTCGTTTGCACGGATTGTGCATACTCAGCAATGTCGCTGGCCAAGTACATGCGAGTCACTGCTTAACACATAAGGAACGAACATTGGTTCTTCGTGTCAATTCGAGTGACGCCTTCGCCATCTCTAGTCAGCCATGTGTCGACTTGGGATGACGGATTGGATAACCCTTGAAACTGGCAGTCTCATTTTAGGAGGAATCACCACACCGCAACCATCATGACTTTGGCGGCAGTTTTGGCAAATGACAGAGGAATAGCATGGATGATTGTGGTTAAAGTAGTGATATATATCCTTAAATCGGATATGAAGAGAGGTTAAACTTGTCGATACTTGGCTTGATAGTAGATGATAATTCATCGATGCGCTTCGGGATGGAAAGACAGTTCCCCTAGAAAGGCCTAGATTTTTGAAGTCTTTCCAAGTCATGAGTGCAATTCACGGAAGAATATTTTCAAGCTTGCCATCCTTCGAATTGCCAGCTGTCCCCAGGTATTAATGGACAGGGGCTTAATTTTGCCACCGGATTCGCTGAGTCATCATAGCAGCGTATTGCACGTTGACACCGCCCTCATAAGACATGTGGTAGACAACTTTTGTTATGAACTAGGTATGCTTGTCGTTCATCCCGCAAGTTGTTGTGACGTCTGCCTCGATCCCTACTCTATCTCTTCAGAACCCGCTAATTCTCCACATGCCATCGCTTGTGGTCATATCTTCTGTCTCACGTGCGTTCCTACTCCCGGCCAGCTTACGGCCACCAATATTCATGTCTCTTCTCTCATATCCGACTCTTCAATCCCAGGTGCCTTCGCTCTTTATCACCAAGTGCATGTCCACTCTGCCGCAAAGCTTTCCAGCCAGATCGTGTCAAGAAACTTCACCTTGCGAATCCACCCGAACTAGACAACGCTGAACAGGATGCTATCGATGCTCATGCCAGTCTCCTCCTCCAGCGCATAGCTCTAGTCTCAGGTGAAGACACACCCGAGGCAGATGTTGTTGAAGTAGTCACCGAAGTGCAGGAATGGCTGCAGTTTCAACCGGATGACCCCAATTCTGTGAGTCCTTTTCATCACACAAATACGGCGTATACGGCCCCTTCCTGCCAATACAATTCTTCTCAAATTTCTCACATGCTGTATTTCTAGCATATGGCCCTTCGAGCTGCTGTGGCTTCCCTCCAGCGATACAAAGCACTTCAAGATCAGAGCGAGCGTGAAAAATTAGAATATCGTCGCCTCCGAAGCCAACTTCGGAACAACAAACGAAATGCAGACCACGACTCTAAAACATCTCGCGCAGTGGAAGAAAGTCTGCTTTCTAGGATTCAAGAAATAGAGAATGACCATGCTTTGTGAGTCTCCACTCGTAAGTTACATGACGAATATTTTCTAAATAACTTCTCTATTGTAGAGAGGTGATCAATTGGCTCAGCGGCATTTATATTGGACTTACCTTGCGTCCTCGTAGCTGTCTCAATTACATTCTGAGCTGGAAAACCTTAGAAATCCTCAATCCCGATACCGCAACAACGGTAATCCCCTTCCCCCGCCTCCAGAGCCCTTGCCTATCGATCGATTCCCGACCTTTGCAAGGCCCGGCGGAGGTCTTGATTCTCTCCTAGGCGGCGCTGTTCCATACCCTGCACCACCTCCGCGAGACAACACCACCCACGTTAATGGCGATGCCCACGCATCAGGATCTAAGGGAACAACCTCAATTCACAAGCCAGTTTCTCATCCCCCCAAACCCCAACCTGTACCAAATACCAGACCTCCCGAGGCTCCTCGGGTAGAAGAGCACTGGACAGACAACACGCGACGGCCCCATGCATCATCCATACATAGCCGCGCACCTGAGCCTCAGCCGAAAATAAACATCACGACCCGGGGAGCACACATCCCTCCCAACGCTATCCGCATCAACCCATCTCCCACCTGGGCAGCGCGTCCCCTCGTCGTTGAGGATCGGCGATCTGACGACGAGAGAGAGCTAAGGCGCAAAGAGAGGAACAGTATTAGCGTCAGCGTGGACGTGGCGAATGATGTGTCTACGCGGCTAGCCTCCGCCGCAGCTTACATCTCAGGCTATGGCTCGGGGTATGAATCAGGCTACCAGCTAATCAGCGCTCCGTATGTTTCGTCGACCGGTGGCAACGAAAGGGCTTTTCCGCTGCTAGAGACGCAATCACCGGAGCAAGTTACGGATGCTTTGGGCTTGATGGGCTCGTCGGGAGAAGATCATATGACGCCTGTACCTCGAGCGCGGCCTGTTCCGAGACGGGCTGTGACCGAAGCGGCTCAAGTGGATAATGTTTCTAGAAGTCTTTCAGATGTGTCTTTGCTCGGTACGCCAGCGCCTGAGAATGGTATGCGACGTCGAGCGACGGTGCAGAACGTTGGTCAGGCGATCCGAGTGGATAATATTTCCAGAGGTCTTTCGGATGTGCCTTTGCTTGGTACGCCACCGCCTGATAATGGTGTGGGACGTCGAGCGGCGGTGCAGACTGTTGGCCAGATGCTTGGTTTAGATATTGGGCTATCGCTGTCGAATGGGAATGCGGTAGCAGGATCGTTGCGTTTGGATGATAGCGCAGCTGGATTCGCGCGTCTAAACGATGGCGCACCGTCCCGTCCTGTTGACGCCCAAATCCGCATGCCCAGACCCCGAGCACTCATCCCTCCCCTAGATCCCTCACCAGACGCAGAAAGCCCAAGAAGCGCCACCACATGGGGAACCTTGTCTACCTCACGAGCAGGCAGCATGGATCACCTCGGCCTCCTAGGGCTGCACAACGGTGGCGTACGTGGGCAGGGGAGCGTCGCCGGCGAGTCCATAATAGGACGACTAGAGTCCGACGAGGATACTACAGATGATGACGGGGAAGATATCAGCGTGACACCTGTCATACCCATGCCTACTGCTGGACCAGATGCATTGGGTCTTATTCTTGAAGATGGAGGGGAAGCGGATTATATAGCGCGAGATGAGGAGTGGAGGTATCGTGCGCAGTCTTCGTATGCTGCGAGTCGTACTTCGTATCCTTCGAATCGCACTTCGTTTCCACCTAGTCACACATCACATCCACCAAATCATAACAACAACTCGCGCCCATCAAATCGCACCTCTCATTCCCAATCCTCACGCACCCAGCGCGCTCAATATGGTCGACACACATCACAACCGAGGGGATACGAAGAAGGGACGACGACGCGCGTTCCCAGTGGCAGTACTTCATATACGAACACCAACGCGTTATCGCTCCATTTTGATGCTTCGCTTGCGATGCACGATCATGCCATACGTCCTTTCACAGGCGCTGGGAGTGGTTCTTTTACAAGTGCCGGGCATGGTCCGTCTACAAACACCGGACATGGTTCTTTCACAAGTGGGGGGCATGGTCCTTTTTCAAATACCGGGAACGTCGACGGCCCACAGATCGTTGCTCCTACCCCAATCGTTGGCGGGCCTAATATCGCGCATATGTGGGCTAATCGTACATGACTGGGTGCTTCTGATCGTTCTTTTTTATCTGGAATCTGGAATATCAGGGATTATCCTTCTTTTCCCCGTTGGTTTTTTGTCGCTGAGTTTACTTACCATAAACATAACATAGACCCTTGTTTGCTACCTGTCATATCTGTTCGTTGTTGTGCTATCTATCTCCTTTGCTTGGATTGTTGTATTATTAACTGTTTCTCTCATTCAGCGCTGTACGTCGTGATTTGTCCTAACTGTAACAGTCTGTCGATCTTGATCCTTTTCATTGCCGTCAATTTCATCAGATGAGCGGGTTGAATTCGGCTTTGATGAGATCGGTGCTATGATACTGGGGTTTTGAGATTATCGCATGAGATGTGATGAGCTGCCTTACAATGTGAGTTTGTTTTTCCCTACAGCTAGCTGTGGTGCGCATCAAGTGACTATTGACATGGATTTTGGGCAAGCAGCGGCGATGGGTCAAGCGATGGTCACTTAATCTTAACTAGTGGGCACGAGGCTCCCGCGATGCGTGTGTGCTATGCCGCTAAAGGCGCTATGATCACCCCCGTCATAGTCTGTAGATTACGCCCTGATGTGCCTGCATGGAAGGTTCCGTCAAAGTCACATTTAATATTAATTGCTGGAAGCGATAGCGCGTCCTTCCATAGTCTCCTATCTTTGGTAAGTACCGTGTTTTGCTGCATGCTGCGGATCAACTGAAGCGGCGATGTTGGCTTAACTGGTGAAAACACGAGGCTCTCGGCGCGTGTGGTGTGCGAGGCCAAAGACGCTTCCACTGCCAGCTCGTGTAGGTGATGCAGGTCAAAGACGGCTGATAATCATTGCAATTGTAATACCCCTAGTAGCATATTTTCCCCACGCGGACCGAATAGCAAAGAAGACGGCCAATATTGCGTATGTACGTTGCATGTACGTTTTGCATGTACGCCATCTCTCGTAACTGTCAACCGCGTCACGCCGTTGCCGTTGATTTCAATGTCATCAGATGTGGCGGGTGGAATTCGGAGTTGAGTGCGATTGTCCGACTTTTTATAGCACTAGTGTTTGAGTTTTGTGGCGCGGATCTGCGATAAACAGTTGACCGTGGTCACCGCATCTGTTTGCTTAACTTGTGAAGGCACGAGGCACCCTGATGCGTGTGCAAAGTGCAGCTGAAGACGCTGGTCATACCTAGCCTCGGAGATCCTGGACAGACAAACACTTACGTCTGGTCTGAATCACGCAACTTTATCAGTACTCCATGGAAACTTCCCCAGTCATTAACATTAATCATGACAGTGATAGCGCATAGTTCCCTATCTTGGGCAGTCACCCTGTGCTGGCTGATTGATCTCGAAGAGATAGTTGAAATTAAAAGATACTATATCGGGACAGCAGTGCAGCCATCTGCGTCCAGTCTCCAGAGACATCCAGTCGGTGCATACTGATGAATAGCCGCAACTGCGTCCATCGGTGTTGAATGACGTCCGTGCCGGGCTCCGAGGTCATCGCAGTGCGCCCGACTCGGACGCTCGAAATAGGTCTGGAGTTTGAGGCGGAGTACTAGTGGTCTGGATCCGTTCCAAGTCAAGAATCCTCAGAGCCACGCTGAGCCGAGGATGCAGAGCCATACCAAGGGGATAATGCACAGAGCCACAATTGACGATTACGCCCGGATGACCACGATGGGCGATGTGCCTATCGATAGTGCGGATCGAACAGATATACTTCTGAAGACTGATGCAAGGGGTGCGATGATGACTCCGAAGCCTTCTTGCCTTCTTGGGAGTGAAGCATTAGTTTGTTCAGGGGTTGCAGATAGTCCGAAAGTTTGGGTCGTACTTAGGAGGGGGAGATGGTATGAACGTGGGGCCGAACCATGTATGTTGCTGTAGTGGACGAATTCTTGAGAATCCGGTGTTTCTATAACTACCGACACAAAGAATGAGGAGATAGAATTATGGTTTGTCCGCCTGGAAAGGTGGACAAAGAGCATCCTGCATAGGACGAGGAGCCGATACCGATAAATCAGACGTCCAAATGAAGGACCCACCGGAGAAAACACATACCCGTAAGACAAATCGGAACCGATGACATGGGCAAGTTGGCGAAGGGCACGGTCATTTCTGAGGTGACAACCCAAAGCAACGGCTCGTTTCATAATCCAGCGTTCATGGGGATCTCCAGAGGCTAGAGTAGTGAGTGGAGCATCATGCATCATGGTTGATATCAAGGGTGTTGGTGCGCGTCAGCGAGGTATCGTTCTCCACTGGATGAGCTCTCAGGTTGGGAAATAGAGCTGCCTTGAGGCAAAATGGACCTAAATCCAGTATTGCTTTGGCAGGAAACCTGTGGATAGTCACGGTATAAATACATGTTCGGAATTGAGCGTCTTTTGAAAACATGGGAGACGCCCGTGTCGCTTTGACATCGTAACACCATGTCGCCATCGAGCACCCCAGCACATCACCCTTAACATCGAGCGACATTGCAGAAGAAGACCGACAATACCGAATTGATGATAGAAACTTGCGAGAATGATTTGAGATTATCATCGGATGTGGAATGTTCCAGCCGTCCATCCGCAACTCCCCGTGATAAATAGGTTTCGCGGTAATCCAGAAGGAACGTAGCGGTAATTCAGAAGAACAAGAGAAGGCCTGAGGTAAAGTCGGAACTAGCCTTGTGGGACTCTACGTTCAAGAGCCAGGTGTTTAATTTGGGTATCGCTGTAAGTACTGTGATGTGACCAAGGCATGACAATAACACTGCACGTTCAAGTTGTGACACGTGCACCTACGTGCACAGTCCACTACCGACGGCAAAGGTGATGCTTTTTTGTTCAGTGCCAACATGAGGGTGCATCATGATAATAACGAAACGACTTCGGACAAAGTACGTTAAGCTGTACGTTTTTCGCGGCATCTCTTAACGAAACGTTTATCCAACGACTTATTATACAACGCTGAAACCACGAGGACCAACCTATCCGTGTCGGGCCGGTTGGTTCCATGAGATCAGTGCCCTGCCGAACGAACTGATTGTTCATAGGCACCCCTTCTCCATGCCAGGCAACCGAAATTGAACGTGCGGTAAAGGGGGGTTGTTCATTGCTGTATCCATGCCTTATTTTCCAGGAATTAGATTCAGCCACTTCGGTGCAAACTCTCAATCCCGGCGAGTGGCACTAATTTCCTTCAGCGTTTGCTGCTAAGCTTCATTAAAGGTAAGACTCGGGTCATGAATGAAGTTCTTATCGCGGCCGTTCGAACTCAGATCGGAAGCTCCATTCAGGTGATTTGATCGTGCCAACCTAGTATGTGATCGTTTCACTTAGGTTTGTCTAGGGCCCTCAAGGAAGTGGCGAAGTTCTGTCTCACGTCGCTTAACTGCCTCGTGTCTTCTTATAATCTCTTCAACGTTATGGATGTTTCCTGCTCCCCTGCGTAACATTACACCACCCACCCCGCCACGCACGTTAGGCCTGGCCCTTAAGCCTTTGCTGGCTTAAATCCCTTCCTTCCCCCATATACCCGAGTGGGTCCTTTACAAGTCCCTTCATCCCTTCCTTCCCGCACGGCGTCTCCTTGCCAGAGTAGGCGATCACGCTGCTGTAGGCTTGATTCGCCCGTGTCCCTCCGGATCTTCAAGACAGTCCCTCCATCATCTTCCAGCCATGTTGGTACTCAACAAGTCCTCTACCTGTGATGTCTGTATGGAAGGTTACGCAGCTGGCGGCAATTCGCCGCACTCGATCTCTTGTGGGCACTCATTCTGCCAAAAGTAAGTATTTGCTTCGTCGATCGTATATTGTTTTCACATAACTTGCCAATCTGAAGGTGTCTCGATCATCTTTTGCGCCACATCTGCCCCCTTTGTCGGACTCGGTTTTCCCCTCAGGATGTCCGCAGGCTTCACATTGATATGCAGTCTCCCATGATTACGACCGCTTCCATAGAAGAAGTCCCTGAAAACCCTGAACCTTCTTCGCCGCCTGATGACGAAGCACGCGCCCTCCAGAACGATATCGCGCGTGTCGTCAAAGAAGGTGCCAAGCTTCCCGAACTCCGCCGAGTAATTGAAAAATGTCGAACGTACTACAAGTCTCAGTCAGCTGACCAGGTATGTTCTTGATGCTGTCATATTATAACGGTCCCAGTTACATCTGATGCTGCGTGATTAGCAGAATCCTGTGAAAGTGAGCGCGCTGCTTCTTTGGAACCTCGCCGAGTCTCAACGTCATCTCGCGGAAATGAGAAAGGACAAGCTAGCTGAGGTTGAGAAAAATCGGGTGGTGGAAATTGCTCTGGAGGAAATAAGACGGGAGAAGGTGGCTGAGGTTGAGAGGACCTGCGAGGCGAAAATTGCTCTTGAGGAAATACGCTCGCGTCTTACGACAGAGATCATGGATTTGCAGGTGAAATACGAGGAACTGCAACGTATTCGACAGGATGAAAAAGATACTGCTCTTGCTGTAGAGAAATCTTTGAGGGAACATTATGATGAATTGAACGCATATTGGAGGAGGTAAGCCCACCGTATTCTAGTCCATTTATATCATGGACTTATCAGTGCCATTCAGCAAAGTCAGTATATCCTTGTTTCCTGCGAGCGTTGTCTTACTGACAGCCACAGTTCGAAGCCACAATGCGTGAGAACAAAGTTCTCCGAGAGGAACTCGTGCGCGCTAGAATTGCGTTCAACCCATTACCCGACTTCCAACGGTCAGTGGAGGTTCGGTATCTTCATGCAGCGGAGCCCAAGCATCCTGAGAAGTTGATCGAGGACGATCCTCTGAGCATCAAAGCACGAGCGAAGGCTAAAGCGAAAGCAAAAGCCATCGAGGAAGAGGAGTTCCATTTGTCACCTCTCACCCAGGTAATCGGAACTTGGCCTTCCGCAATTCAGTCGTTCCGCGCTCTGGTGGATGAAGATGAGATCGACGACTTAAAGAAGACCGGCGGCAAAAAGGGATCGGAATCGAGGCCTGACACAGACGAAGATCAAACAATGGGTGATGCTACGTCTCAGATTGTCTCCATTCCTCGGTCCTCGTTGTCTCGTCAGTTGACCGACTCCTCCGTCCCTTCGTCTATATCCACTGTTAATCCGGACAATTGGTCTGGATTGTCACGATCTCGCCCTCGCGATGACATTGTCATGTCGAGTCGTGATAGGTCTACTTCACGTCATCGCTCCACTGAGCGTTCAATCGCTTTGGCACACAGTGGTACTCATTCACCGTCTCGCAGACTGTCACGGGAACAGTCCATGTCGTACATATCCAGCCGTACTTCCTCCCCCTCACGCCGCTACCCCTCGGACCGCCTGCATGGTCCTCGGATGAAGGACACTAATTCACGAGATTCATTTGATGGAGGTAGCAGGGATTACGAAATGCGTGCAGGAGATACGTACGAGCCCAAGTTGAAAGATCAGTTCACACCACGCCAGATCATGTCGGCCGACGACCTCCGGGACAAAACCCACGAACGCCTGCGCGCGCAGCTCCATGACATCCTTGACAGCCCTGTGGTATCATCCTCTCTCAAGATGTCGATGTCGTATAGCGACGAATCACCGATGCCCCCACCATATCCACCACCACCATCGTGCAATACGCTCCCTAGGCCGACGAATTCTAGTACACGTATAAATACGCCGTTGCGGAGGAACTCCACTGCGAGTCAATCAGTGACTCCTACACCTGGTCCTGAGGAGGGATACCCCGCAACAGTTGTGCCAAAGACATTGGTCCATGCTAGTAGTGTCGCGATGCAGCAGGAGAAGGAGAGGCGGGAGAGGGAAAGACAGCGAGAGCTGGAACGTGAGCGAATGGAGCGTGAACGAATGGAGCGTGAACGGGGGCGGGATCGTGACCGCGACCGCGACCGGGATCGGGATCGGGACCGTGATCGTGATCGTGATCGCGAGCGGGAACCAGAGTGGCACTTCAAGGACGCCACCAATGTGCCATCCGATGCTTATTCCTACCATCGCGATCGACGTATAGGCAGGACCAAGTTGTCTAACCCGGTCACCGCCGGAGCAGACTGATGAATCGTATGACCTCCCGGATTTATTAACCAACTGTCGTTTCTGGATTTTTGTTTTCCCATCATGATTGCTGTCGATGCGTCCTTCTGCGGACTATGCACAAGGGACTGTTTATATGAGCGAGTCCGAGCGGACTCATCGATGTGTAGCTAATATTTTTGTTAATAATGGTTTTGTGGTGTTGTACTGACTGATATCGATGCGTACCTGCTGTATTTTCATTAGTTAGTGTGTCGAGCTATGCCAAACTTGTATTGTACTTATTGTACGCGCATATGCAATAGATTTTTCACGCATACTTTTGTCTGTGTTCTTTTCTTCTTTCTCAAGAATAAAAATAAAACGTCTGGGATTCTTTGATTCCTACTCCATTGATTTCTGACTTGTGTTATCGTATCTCCATCATCTCTAGACGTTTGAAAGTGTGCAGGCATGCAAGATGACCACCCTTGATTGCGCAAAACATACCTCACGTAGAAGCCAGTGTAACGTAGATAAGACGTAGGTGACGGTACCTCTAAGTTTTAGCTATTGTCGACGCCAATAATAATTTAAGGGGTCATATTTCCGACATCGTGAAAGTCGGCTGATATTTGATGGCTTCGGCGTGGCTGAAACCTTAGGTACCCCCAGATTCTCATCCATCTCTAAGCCGTCGGAATCTTCGGACAACACGCAGTGCCTTCAGTTGCTTAACTACCTGCACTCTGGACGCTCTCTTCTCTTGCAGCCCCGTGAGACTTCCTAAACGTATTTCGTCGCTCGGCAGCAGAGGTTGGCCTAATGGAACTTGATCTATGTGACCACAGGGTGAGCATAATGAGAATAATATCTCGAAACAAAGCTACCTTCAATGAGGTCTGAGTTGCTTGGCGGTGTATTTCTGGTCATCCAAGATGGATGATACGCAGGTGGAAGTCTTTCTGTAGGTGCATCAACGGGGGGAATCAATGTGCCAGCATCATCTTCTCGGATGTAGGACGCTGTTCTAGGCAAATTGTCATTTGCGAAATGTAACGCGCCAGTTGGCGTATTGAAGGACTGGGCCTGCTCAGGGCTCAAAGAATGTGTCATCGGCAAAATAGACTCCCTAGACCCGTTAGTTCGTCGATTTTGACTGAGACTACTGTATCTTTGAGTAACTACCAGGGGATGTCGTGAGTACATAAGTGCACACATTAGGAGTACAAGCACCTAGTTCAGTATTCGTCAAAGGTGCTCCATAGATGGACTGGGCGCCAGGGAATTGGTCCGGAAACACGGATGGCGTATCCTGGATCGTGCGAAAGCGAGGCCGTTTGCGCCGCCTGTAACAGTAAATACCGCCGAGCACTGCGGCTATGGCGAACGCGGCGCCACCCACTGCACCACCGATGACAGCGTTCCGTGAGGTCGATGAAGTAGATGAAACAAATGAAGCAGATGAAGCAGATGGAGTTGCATTCCCAGAGCTAGACGACGATGTAGAGGTAGCACTGGTGCCAGGGAGAGATGCACCTGCAGTAGGGACCGTTGTGGATGCGGGAAGGGATGCGGAAGGTGAAACTTGGTTCGGGCACCTCGTGAAAGTGTTGTTGTTGTAAATTGCCTGCTGTTCTACTGCATAATCCGCTGTCCATCGACTGGGTCATTATGAGAAATGAGCTACTGCCCCCTTCGATATTTGACTCACTAGAACCTAGCTCAGGGTCAGCCAAGTACCCGCAGGCATGTGCGCCAAATAGAAACTTACCAGGATCCATCAGCCCAATAGGATCTATTGTACATAAAGTCGTCAATCTTGATGTTCTCATTGCACACAGCTTGCTGAATACTTGGTGGAAGCCTGCATTATACCAAGTGACGTTGTGAGTGGGTGCGCTGCGCTGCTTCCAATCTTGATTTACTTACGACGCATTTGTGGGAGTACCACAGGTACCGAGATAAGCAGTGTATGTTCCAGGAACTGCAAAATAAGAAAGTCGTCGTTTTGGAACAGATTTAACCCATATTACCTGCACCAATTCCACCTATATCACCTGGATCAGCGTCTTCTTGGCAACTGTTAGACAACTTTTATTAGCTGGCCGTGAAAGAGAAGAATATGAATATTACTTCAGGCAAAGCATGCTTAATACCCATGCGACCGAATTGCAGCAGCAATCCGCTAACCATCAATTCAGCAAACGTAGTGGATTGGCGTGACAAGAAAAGGCTTACAAACTTGATCGTCGCAATGATCACCGGGAGCCACCGGAGCGAAATTGCCAACCAGGTCTGTTTGTTATGCATGTCAGTACATGCAAGAGAAAGACTTGGAGACACCCACAAGAACTGTTGCATATTTGTCGAAGCCTCTGGTACGTCATGCCTAACTTACTAGCAATTGGCCATATGAATCATTCCAAATGTAAGGACTTACAAGGGGTTTCACCGACCGCGCTTGTGTACCAATCCAGTTGACTGCTAATACATGTCGTATTACCGGCCGCTAAAACAGCACCTGCATAATACAGAAGTAAGAGACCAACCCGTGGAAGTCCTTGCATGCCTGACGGGTCTCTCGGTGGTGCGCAGGATATTTGAGTTGTGTGAGCAAAAGGTGGGTGGTCGGCTTGATACTGGGGGATTAAATAGCTGTCATGGCGCGGAGGGTCCGCGCCCCAGTATCAAAGTTGAAAGTACTTGAGCCTGGGCATCAGCAAAATACTTGGGTTCCGAAGGCAACAATCAAGTTTGATCGAAGTATTAATCACCGGGGAGTACGTGGCACTGCAGGCCGCACAGCTGGTGTTTGCGCCTCAAGGAAAAGCGTTTTTCTGCCCATTCATCGACGTTAACTGTTGGGCCCGTCATGCATCATGTTCTGACTCAACTATGTATATCACAAGCTTGTTTTATGTAGTCCTCGAGTCACCATGTTGAAGTTCTAAGAATAGCACCAAAGTTCACAGCTGCAAGCCAAGCCGCATCAGATTTAGTAGATACAGTTCCAAATATTCATTCGTCATACCTCAGGAGCTGATTATCGCGCGGGGGGTCTGGAACTAGGCTGTGCCGCTGTTCTCGCTGATTTGCAAAGGTTTCTGCGGGTTCCATTCGATTGCCTAGTGAAATGCGTTGGTGCCATGCCCTTTCAAAATTTCAGCAGGATCTGCAGCGGATACGCAACAACTTGATAGAGAGCAAGATTCTCACCGACGAGAGTGACTTGAGATGGACGGACTTTACCCCACCTTCCACATCGAGAGGGTCCGAAGAGAATGTGTTTAAACCAGTGTCCTTTGTAGCGAACCCCGACTTAACACCCCTCTCGCAGCGCAACAATACTTCCAGGCCTGATGGATACCTTGCATGGATATTATGCAGTACAAGTAAATAAGCAGTCCGAACCATCGAGGCGCTCAAGACTGTGCGCCGCACTGCAGCCCAGCCCCACAGAACTGAGCAACAATAATATACAAAAATACCAGCGCAACCAAGACGCTCAATGCCAATATCTTGCTGTTCTTCCACCACATCTGCCGCCTCACCGTCCTGGCGCCGCGCCGGAATGCGGTGGCCTGCGTAGCCATGTTGTCGGTCTTGTCCACGAGCAGCTCGATACGCTCCCCGCGGCTCAGGATCTGCTCGACATTTTGGACCATAATATCCTTGACTTGATTAAGCTCTGCTTGAGCACGGGCGACTTCATCCGTTGGAGGAGCGGTGTTGTACGTGTGCATGAGGGAGGCGATGGTGGGAGAGAATGTGCCTTGAAGTCCGTATGCGGGGGTAGAGCTTAGTACAGCGGATGAGGAGGATGGGAGCTCGGTAAACTTGCAATATGAATCAGAATAAGGGGGCAAACTGTGCTGTGACAACATACTTTGCGCTGCAGGTCTGCTAGGAAAGCGAATGGCATCTTCCTACGGTATTGTTTTAATATTGAGCTCGAATGAATGGATGAATGTCCTTCAGAAGTCTCACCTTCCTACCGAATCATCTGCCATGACCAGAAACGTGAAACCTCCCTCGGAGACATAATGAAACAAATATTGTTCCCATACATATGTTAACTTGCTGTTGTTCGGAGGGATCTTGGAAAGAATTGTTTGCGTAGCTATGTATGCCATTATATATGTCAAGAAGCGCATGATGAGACAGGAAACTATGCACCATGCGAGAAGTCTCGCTGCCCCGGAGCTTGATGTTCAGCAAGGATTGTGGGTCCTCGGGAAACGATGGCATTTATCTAAAGTGGTGGTCCTGTTTATTTGCGTTATCGAAACCCATAGGATCTGAACTTACCAATGACATGTTAGAAGCCGGTAAAGCACGAGGGAAGATTGGACAAAAGTCAGTGACGCTTGACGCGGCTTGAGTGGAGGTAGTGGTTCTGGATTAGGAAATACGGTACACTTGTGAAAAATGTTCCCACGAACTTGCACTTCATTTCCTTCACCAACGTGTCTTCAGTCTTCAAAGCTCACCATCAACAGCATGGTGCGTAACGAGCAACCCAGTCGTATTATTTCGACACTCACATATTATTCGCTTAGTCTGATTCAGAAAGCTCAAGCCACGCCGTTAGCCCCAAGGTTGGCACCGTTGCAAGACCGCCAGGTGCACAAGTTCGGTATGTCTCAAGGTCTGTTCAAGCCTTGCACACTGCTGACTCAAACTTGTGAAAGGCGGAGAGCTGCAAACACGCAGGTAAAACCGAATTCATCGCGTGCAGCAGGAGCTGGCGGTTCTTCGGGGACAATGCTGAAACTCTACACTGACGACTCACCAGGGCTGCGAGTGTACGTGTCATGTTGTTGTAAACGTAATGTTCAGTTGAGCTGATTTTTGTTTCCATGTTAGAGACCCTTATGTCGTCCTCATTCTCTCGTTGGCGTTCATTGGATCTATCTTCTTTTTGCATATTTCCGCTAAAATTATCCGGTCATTCACCAAGTGATAGTCTCGTAATGGACACTTTTATGCATTCTTGACTATATCCCCCCTTGCGGAACATGTTGGCGGGATCTTATGGCTTTCCAATATCTGCTGTTTAGTTCTGCATCCCGAAGACAACGTATTGCACGGTGAGGGGATGTATACCCTCTCATCATCCAATTGCCTAGAGGATGATGTGGACTGTCTTGGCACAGTCTCATCGCTTTCCGACGTCTTCTCATCCTGAAGAGAGTGTGCAGGCCGGGGGACATACCTCGGTTGAGTTGAGTGGGGCCAATTTTTTATTCCAAAGACACCTCTCAAGCTCATGAACACTGTCTTTCCCCATATTCCCACTTGCCCATCTGGCTTATCCTAGTCAGTGGATAGTGGGGGCAATTGGAACCGAGAGCTAGTTCATATCCCCATGAGGCGGTGGCCTAATTTCAAGTAATTCAAAAGTTTTCGTGCATGGGGCCCGAAAAACGCAACGAAACTGAATACACCACTTCCTCCAGGGAATAGATTTTCTCAAGCACAATCGTTTCCAGTTTCTTATCTTCTATTTGCTCTCAGCTCAATCACAACACCAAACACCAGTGGTTCTCTATGCATCGTTGCCATCAACTGACATTGACACGTGGCGCACCTATTCAATCCTAGCCGTATCGCTTAGTGCTTTAGTGCTCGCGTGATATAATTTAATTCTCCTCCCACTTAAGGTCAACCGGGGGCAAGTATCTTCAGTTATCTCATCAGTCCTTGCCCACTGTTGATTTTAGTCCCCCCTCCCCCAAGCAGATCTTGGACGAAGGAAAGTAGTCATCCCTTCATTTAGTCCCAACGTCCCTGGTGTATTCTTCCAGTTTCACGTGTCGTCATCGACATCTTACCTCTAATCAGCCTTTCAACTCCTTCGGAAACGCGTTCTTGTCGACGAACCTGTTCGGCAAGGCTGTACGTTCACCCAGGGGGGTTTGAATCCATACGTCAACGCGCTTTAATCTCGATTCAATGACGGTATGTCAATCGAATGCTTACGTCCAATTGCCTTAATTCATTCTCCTCCAGTCGCCGTCAACGAATGGTACAGCCATTGAAGGCATCATCGATGTGTTCTCGTCCTACGTGTTTAGCAGCATGCCTACCCACTTGATCTACATACCTGAGATGAGGCTTGTGGACCGGAACGAGGTGTTCAACATATACAAGCCTGCAGTCGAGGCCATCACAGCGGATGACCTGAAGAAGTTTTCAGGGTCTTGGTCAAGAGAAGAATCCTTACACAAAGTGGTCAGGGACAAGGTCAAATTTGCGACGCTCTCTCATCGCTGGCTTCATGCCGGAGAACCCACATTCCAGGACATGTCGAAAAATCTCCCTGGATATCATAAATTGACCAAGTTTTGTGAGAAGGCAAGAGAGTACGACTGCGAATTGGCTTGGTCGGATACTTGCTGCATCAACAAGGGTAGCAGCGCGGAGCTTGATGAAGCTATTCAGGCCATGTTCAAGTGGTATCGTACCGCCGCCATTTGCATCGTATATCTTGCATGCTCTTCCAGCGTGTGGGATTTTGCACAGGAGCCTTGGTTCACCAGAGGGTGGACGCTGCCGGAACTCCTTGCACCAGAGAAGATGAAATTCTACGGACGAAATTGGGAACCCCTCAGCGACGATCCTGACGACAAACACCCTAAAGTTTTAGCCGCTCCACCAGACGATGAAAAATCGTTGCTCATCACTTCTTCTCAATCAAATATCCTCACTGCCATCACCCGCTTAACAGAAATCGAATTACACGACCTCACTGGCTTCTCACCCGGCATCTTTCGCGTTCACCAGAGGTTGAGGTGGGCGTCAAGGAGGACGACCACGCGCATCGAGGATATGGCATACTCCCTCATCGGTATATTTGATGTCAGCATGCCGATAGTATATGGAGATGGCCAACGATCCTGGTTTCGGTTGATGGAAATTATCTTACAACAATGCAAAAGTTGGGATATTTTCGCATGGGCAGGAGAACGGTCTCCATATTCCCGCGCGATACCACGTTCGCCCAAAGGCTATGACGCTTTTGATGTGCACAGCTTCATAGAACTGAGCAAGACTCTCGACATGGGAAAGATGGAGAGAAGAGCCGAAGAAACACCTCCTGGTCTCCGCGGTGACCACGCGTTTGCAATGACGAGACATGGGCTGCAAATGAAGATACCGCTTATTTACGTCGTGTTTTGACAGCCCAAATCAAGTGGCCACTATTCACGCACGGACTGTAGGCCGCCTCGGACGGTCAACGCCTCGAAATCTCCCTGTGCGAGTTATGTGCCACGAACGGGTGCCAAAGGCAGAGATATATTGCCTTGGGATAGTGAATTACAGCCCGAATGGACTGGCTCGACGGAACCGCGAGTATGAGATCCGCGAGGGCCCTTTGTTGTGTTTTTTCCTTACTCTCGATCCCAATGACCGGTCATGGCTCAGGCTCCAGACAGAAAATGTGATCATTATTGACCACAAGGGAGCCCCGGTGCGATGTGGATGTTCGTTTGAGACGGTCTACTTCTACGGTAGGTAGCTAGACCTTTGTGGTCTCGTACCTGCTCGTACTGTTCCCGATTACGGATTCTTTATGCTTTCTAGAAGGTACTAGTACCTACGTCTGCGTTCTACTGACCAGTATAGCGGACATACATCATGATAGTCAATACTTCCTGATCTATCAGCCCACTCCATTAATATTTTCGTCCGAGCTTATACGATTACTAGCGAACCTAACTCAAACTTTAACTGAGTCGGGTTAGCCCGGTGGACCACTCCACTCGCTTAAGTAAGCTCCGCCTGGACTTTGATGCGGCCTGCTTTCCAACGCCGATATCATGGCGATCTCCGTACTGCACTCAGATTGTTTCCTGTCTCTCAGTTTCAGTTCGCCTCTGCTCGACTCTTTCCGCCGTCTCGATCTCAGTCCTTCATAACATGTCTTGGCAAGGTAAGTTTGGGCTGCATCGCCAGGCAAACTCTTTGTCTTATGCATCCACAGCATACGTAGACACCAATCTCGTCGGCACCGGGAGAGTGAATAAGGCCGCCATCTTGGGAAAAGCTGGAGGTGTATGGGCTACATCTCCAGGATTCAAGGTAACTTATTCATGGTATTCATATCTGTGCAATCCTGATGGTACTATGCATAGATTTCGCCTGAAGAGCAGAAGGCAATCACTGCTGCTTTCACGAACAAAGCTGCAGTTGCGACTTCTGGTTTCCGCGTCGCTGACCAGAAATACTTCTTCCTATCGTCGGATACCTACGGAGATGATCCGAACCTGGTTGTGGTTCAGGGCAAGAAAGGAGTGGGTCCCCACAACATTTTTTATGATGTATACTCAAAGCCATCAGGGTGACGGTGCTGTACTAGCGCAAACGAAGCAAGCTATCCTTGTCGTTACATACATTTTTCCTCAGACAGCTCAAGATGTAGGCATTCTAGTCACCGGTCTTGGATCATACCTCGCTAGTCTGCAATACTAGGGTTCAATAGGAGATGATCGCAGGGGATAAAGAAGATCAAAGGTGTGCTATCATGTAATCGTACAGTTCATAGATCCAATGTCTCCACTGGAACTATTTCAAAGTTCAACATCTCGAGTGATCGTCACATATGTTTGCTGTCAGGTCTGATCGTGTCGAGCAAGGGCTATCGAGGTTGGAGTGTTTGACTGACATCTTCCTCTACCGTTCCGCAGATCCTGCTTGCAAGTGCTGCATCAAGGTGATCATCAGCCCTGATCTATCCACAGCGCCCATCCGCCAAGACGCAAAGTTCAGCCTTTTCAGACAGCTTGAGTGACTCAGATCGCGCCCCGCTAGCCGCCCACTCGCCATCTGCGCCCGATGATGTCGCCGATCCCGCGATCGCTCGTCATAGAAGCTTACATAGGTACGTCTAATACCACTGGAACATCGACAGAACATGCCCGCTGATGACAGATCGCAAATGAACAAAGTCAAGTTCCGTGACATTGATATGCAGAATTTCTTGGCCAACAAGTTCCGAAGAACGAGTTCGGCTTGAAACATCTGCAGGGCATCTGTTTGCACCGAATGTATTGGCTGACAACCGTTCTCGTCCGCACAGCAGTCTGACGCCAGCGCGAGTATGCACGATGAAAGCTTGCCCAGGAGGTACAGATCGTTATCAGGCAGACAGGGTAGTAAATAAGCGCGCACAATGAGATGTGTCGTCGCCACTCAGTGCGTGCCCCGGATGCATCATCTCATCGGAAGTGCGAGGAGCGCCTAGCGATTGACCTAGACCTTCTTGATCTCGTGGCAAAGCATGGTGTCTTACAAAAATATGATTGATGTCAAGCGTCATAGAACAGAGACCCGGTTGCAGAACTGACTGCGATCATGCTCATTGGAGCAGGTTCTTTACTGCGCACAGAATGCAGGACTCAATAAGATATGGGGGTGGACGGAAGCAGTGATCATCGGAGAAATGAAATAAGATGCGTGGATTTTTCGAACTAAGTTAATACTGACGGCGTCGGACGGACCCCAGATAAGCATCTGCATGAGTTGGGTTTTGCGCAGAAGTCGAACACTGTTCGCTTGCAGTCCATAGTGTCATAGTCACCTTGCCTTTGATAGTGGAGGTGTAGGCACAGACACATGCAAATTGGTGCCTGTGCACAGGATGAAGGTATTATTAATAATACATGGCGGTGTGTATGAACACCGGGGGCAGTGATGATGGGAGAAACGAAAGGCACTGATCCCCCCGGATAGGCGCCTACATAGATTATGTTATAGGCAGAAATCCAACACAACCCACCGCTCATGAGGTCGGCGACATAGCCACCTAGTACGTTTCTCGTTAACTTCAAATGCTAAGTACTGACCATCTATCTCCCTGTCTAGGCCAAATCAGCATGATGCACGGAGCGCTTGTCGTAGCCAACAAAGCGTATGATCGCATAGCGAGAAGGCACACAGCGCCAGCGCAGACAACCCAATGTCACACAAGATCAGTGTCGGCAGTTGCATTCTTCACAGACGGTCGACGGGTCATCACAGGTTCATGAGACACTCTGCGAATTTGGGACGTACAGAAAAGAACGTTCGTAGGAAGGCCATTCGAGGGACACAGAGGGTGGGTGCAATCGGTCGCCGTATCGCCGGACGACAAGCAAATTGCAAGTGGCGGGGATGATTTCACGATCATCATCTGGGACAGCAAGAGCCAGCAAATGGTATTTGACCCGATGGTGACGCATACACATATGGTGAACTCTGTGTGCTTCTCCCCGGATGGCAAGAAACTTGCCAGCGGTTCAAGTGACTCAACGGTCGTGTTATGGGATACAAAGACTGGCGTTGCCCTCGCAATTCTTGAGCATCGAAATTCAGTGTTGAGTGTAGCATTCAGCGCAGATGGGCTAAAATTAGCATCTGGGTCATATGACCAAGTGATCCGGGTTTGGCGCACCGATAAGACCGAGCTTCTTCTTGAGACCAACGCTCACCACGATTGTATTGGAGGAGTCGTGTGGTCGTTCGACGGTCAGCAAATTATCTCCGCATCGTACGACACAACAGTGCAGTTCTCAGATTCGGCGAATGGATACCAAATTGGTCAACCTTGGACGGGTCGCACTCCTTGGCGCTTCAACTCGCTTGTCATCTCCTCTGATGGCTCCTTCATTGCCACTACTGCCTTTAACGACAATACTGTGCGGCTGTGGAGCACAAAGTCACACCGTCAGATAGGACAAGCACTCGAACACACCACGAAGGTTGCCTGCATCGCCATTTCTCCCAATGGTGGATTGCTCGTGAGTGGAGACTATCAGGGGGAGGTTCGGCTCTGGTCGATGGAGAACACACTTTCGGCAGCAAGTCAGCTATATTCATCCTCTGGCTCCTATTTCGCGCATCGCAGTAAGGTGAATTTGCGACACAAGCTGTATTCGGAGGCCCTTTCTGACGCGGAAAAGGTGTGGATGAAGTCTTCATTGTACTCGCAAATGTGCTGATAACGCTTGCAATGAATAGGTCATCGAACTCAACCCTTCGTCTCATCTTGGGTATGAATTAAAACATGCAGCGCTTCACGGTGCACAACGCTATGTTGAAGTGATCGTGGCTTTTAAGACCACACTTTCCAAGTTGGAAAATGCATCTGACCCGAAGATACGAAGTAAGTACTACAACTCGTGCCACTAGAAGATGGTTAATTGTTTTACAGAGCTGCGTCAGCGATATACCAGTCCATCCGAAGCTGATGGCACTATTCGAGGGGCTATTCACGCTCGATTGGAAAACGCCCCACTTCGTCTAATTAACACCTCCACTGGATATTTGTGCAATCGGGATGCACAAATCAACGCATTCACAGAAACCATAGAATACCAGGAGCTTTTATCTTCATCTGTGATGCATTCGTCCCTGCAAATGGAGCTCATCAAAGAAGCCATCGCAAAATACTTCAGTTGGGTCATGTTATCGCATAGGTGGGAAAGGAAGGAGCCACTACTGCACGAAATTCAGGACAAAGTCATATACAAGTTGGATCCGGTCGGGACCGTGGTGAAATTGCAGAAGTTCTGCGAAGTCGCTCGCGATGCGGGGTATAGCTGGGCGTGGGTCGATACATGCTGCATCGACCAGAACAACCATGTTGAGCTACAAGAATCAGTCAACTCCATGTTCGTCTGGTATCGCCATTCAGCACTCACCATCATCTACCTATCGGATGTTCCCCGTTGGCCACCGCCTGGCGCACTCGCAAACAGCACTTGGAACACCCGAGGGTGGACTGTGCAGGAGTTCCTGGCTCCTAACATTGTTCTCTTCTACCAAGCAGATTGGCATCTATATATCGACGTTCGCTCTCTCAATCACAAGAAGTCTGTTGCTATCATGCAGGAGTTGGAGCGTTCGACTGGCATAAATGCACAGGCACTTGTTGCCTTCCGACCGGGGATGAGAGGCGCCTGAGAGAAACTTCAATGGGCATCGGGTCGCGTCACCACCTTGCAGGAAGACATTGCATACTCATTGTTTGGTATCTTCGGTGTCCACCTTCCCGTAATCTATGGCGAGAAGAGACAAAACGCTCTTGGGCGCCTCTTACAGGAGATCATAGCTCATTCGGGCGACATTTCCGCCCTCGACTGGTTCGGAAAATCATCGGAGTTCAACAGCTGTCTCCCAGCCTACATTACCTCGTACAAAGCTCCACCATGCACGCTGCCATCTCTATCCGAAGACAGTATCGAGAAATCGGTCTCCATGCTGCGACACACTGTGGTCATGGAGTCAGCTTCGAAACTGTATACCCTCCTTGAGGGCCTCAGTGCTCCTCGTTTTGCAAACTCTAGATTGCAGCTGCCTTGCATCGCATTTCCGGTCACAGAAGTCAGACGGAGGCTTGTTCGTGACCACGAGACATGTTTTACCTACGACATCAAGGCAGACGGGCTCCAGGACATGCTAATCACAACGGAAAACAAGTTGATTCAATTCTCGCCGGCAAGGCCTATTCGGCAGACCTTCTTGCTTATCCGTCCATGGAATCGTTACGATCTTGACCTGCCCGACTTTTCAGACGATATGCGGAGCGCGGATGATTGGCTTGAGCTTGGGTCTTCTTCAGATGACTTGTTCGGCCGGTCTCGTGGAGACAATGAGCCGGTTGATTCGGACTCTCATACGCGAGAGTTGAGGTTACTCGTTCGTCTCGGACAACCTTTTGGCGCTCTTTTCCTAGCGCAGCAGCGTGGTGGGGAGTATAAAAGGATCGCGTCGGACAACAATATCATCGCAAGTGTGAAGGACGTTGCTTCTGTTGGTGGCATGATGGATGTCAGGACACTAGAGATATTGTAGCGGCATGTTGCCGCATGGATTTCGCAGAACGGGTATCTCTGACGCGTTTTCTTTCATACCTTGACAGTACATGCATGAAGCAATCTCCCCAGGCATTTGTACAACACCTTACGCTCACTTACGACAGGAAACCAACACTACGATTGTATGATGAAATAGTCACCGAGATAGAAGACATTGTTTATCCTAACGCCCCAATATTTGATTCATTCAACGGAACAGTGTACACAGCACTAGTAATAGTATCCAATCCAACAACATAACTTGTACCGTACACAAACAATATTAAGTAACTAATCAAGCGGCAGGATAGCGAAGGAATGGGGGCGACCGGGAGTCAGAAAATGCAATAAAATGGCAAGTAGAGTATCTAACTAGACGCCTATGCGAACAAATACAATCTGTGTTCGAGTGGGATCATCTTGCGCAACGCCACCGCAGCCCGTGTGCGGTCCAATCTCCCTGAACCATCCACCAGGTGGCCGTAAAAAGCGGACACGATCTGCTGTGCAACCTCGTCGTTGACAGACCACACAATTACAGTCACTGCGAAATTCGGTAAATTGCATAAGCCGCAGCGAGATGGATCGACTCACCCGGACTCATCTCACCGCCTACAACAGCAGCAGTGTGACTAGCCGATAAGAATGCAAACTCCGGGTTCTGCCAGTTGGATCAAATGATATCTTTGATCATCAATGGCCCGTTGCGAGTGTCGGGACCACGGGGTCTACAATATAATGCCAAAGCTTGCGGAGAATGGCCACAAGCTTGTGTTGATTATTGGAACAACTAAATTGCTCTGCGGGGGACCGAAACTCGGAGGACAACTCAGAGACTTCGGTTTGCGTGATATCAACCGGAATGTGGACGAGATCGTGGGCACTTGAGACAATCAAGACATTACAGCCGTACCACTAGCATCGACGACGGTGGCCGGACCTTCTTCAGTGACTTTAGATCTGGGGGTCAGAAAACAGTGGGAGTGGGAGAAATCGAGAAAAGGCAGACATCATGCGGATGCGGGAGACGACCTCATCCCATTGTGTGATCAATTGTTGGATTTGTGGGGACTGATCTTCAGTAGATTGATCGAACACGCTATGAAGGTGAAAAATCAGCCGCTGGAACTCTTACGCCAAGGCTACCCCAGAGGGAAAGTTCATCGAGTGGTGAGCAGGAGGGTGCCGGCTTGGTCCAGAATACCGTATGACCTTGCTCCACCAGTTACATGGTAGTCTTCAGCACACTAGGAAGAAGGTCGCACGAGAAGGTGTCCGTGGCAAGTGAAGAAGCTTCGAAGTGGCCTTCTTGGCGGCATCAAAACGAAGATGACAGGAGAGCAACGTGCTGATGGATTTTCAATGCAGAGTCATGGTCGTTTCCTCGGCAGAGGCAGCCCATGGCTTGGAAACACTAAGATCGCTATGAGAGGCTGCATGAGATAGTTGGGAGAGTTGCAAATACAGCCTAAATGCTTCATTCAGGTCAGTTAGGACGCCCCGCTGCAGGAATCTGTCAAGAATATTGAGGGCAAGATTGTTGAGAGATATGGATTGATCGACGTGACCGGGGGGACGGATGAGTATTACAGCCCGGTGAAACCCGATGGCCTCATCAAGGTCAGACGCCCCGCTGGTGGAATCTATCTCGAAGGCTGAGGGCAAGCCTATTGAGAAACGTGGATTGATCAGGGGGACGGAGTAGTATTGCAGCCCGATAATGCTCAATGGCCTCATCGAAGTCAGATGGGATGCCCCGCAGCTCAAATCTGCGGAGGAGGCTGATGGCAAGATTGTTGAGAGACGATAATCGAAGAGAATGACCGGGGGGACGGAGGAGTAGTGCGGCTCGACGGAGCTCAATGGCCTCATCGAGATATAACAGGACTCCCCGCTGCTTGAATTGGTCATGAAGACTGATGGAAAGCCCATTGAGAGACGTGGATTGATCAGAATGGCCAGAGGGACGGAGGAGTAGTGCGGCCCGATGAAGATAAATGGCCTCATTGAGATCAGACAGGACTCCCCGCTGCTCGAACCGGTCGTGAAGGCTGATGGCAAGATTGTTGAGAGATGAGGATTGAAGAGAGTGACCAGGGGGACGAAGGAGTAGTACATCCCGATGACAATCAATGGCCTCATTGAGATCGGACAGGACTCCCATCAGCTCGAATCGGTCATGAAGGCTGATGGCAAGCCCAATGAGAGACGTGCATCGCTCAGAATGATCAAGGGGACGGAGGGGTAGTGCAGCCCGATGGAGCTCAATGGCTTCATCAAGGTCAAACAGGCCACCCCGCAGCTGGAATCTGGCTCGCAGGCTATCAGCAAGATTGTTGAGAGACGTGGATCGTTCAGAATGACCGAGGGGACGGAGGAGTAATGTGGCCCGATGGAGCTCAATGGCCTCATGAAGGTCAGACAGGACACCCTGCTGCTGGAATCTGTTGAGAAGGCTGACACCAAGGTTATTGAGAGACATAGATGGATCGGAATGACCAGAGTGACACAAGAGTAGTACATCCCGTTGGATCTCAATGGCCTCATCGACGTCAGACAGAACACCCCGTCGTTTGAATCTATGTTGAAGGCTGATGGAAAGAGCGTTGAGAGACGTGGATCGATCAGGATGATCAGGAGGACGGAGGAGTAGTGCAGCACGATGGAGCTCAATGGCCTCATCAAGGTCAGGTTCAATACCCGAGTGCTTGAATCTGTGGAAGATGCTAACAGCAAGATCGGTGAGAGATGAGGATCGAAGAGAATGACCGAGTGGACGGAGGAGTAGTGCAGACTTATGGAGCTCAATGGTTTCATCAAGGTCAGACAGATTGCCCTGCTGCTCAAATCTGTGGAAGATACTGATTGCAAGATTGATGAGAGATGCAGATCGAAGAGAATGACCGGTGGGACGGAGGAGTAGTGCAGCCTTATGGAGCTTGATGGCCTCGTCAAGGTCAGACGGGACACCTTGCTGCTGGAATCTGTTGTGAAGGTCTACGGCAAGATTAAAGAGACACACGGATCGACGAGAGTGGCCAGGGGGACAGCGCTGCAAGGCCGCTCGAGATTCTTCCACATTGTCTGCTATGTTATTGGTGGAAGATGATGGCTGCGCCATCTTACTGTAAAGGGTGTCGCAATGAGCACGAAACTCAGTGATGTATTATATTAGAGTGAATACGCACGCAGGAGCAGAGACTCGAGCACTGGCACACTGAAATAACACGGTAAGCGCCGAGGGATACCACGAATTTGACAGCGAGCCAAAAGGTCATCAGTGAGGCTGTGAAGCCGTGTGGTCCATGAGGCTAATGCATGCAGTGTTCAAACGTGGTGAGGCTATGACACTTCGGAAAAAGCGGCAACCAGAAACATGATGCGAAGTTTCAACTAGAGTGTGAGAGTTACAACGGAAGGCGCCAAACCACATCAAAACCATCGTGATGACTTGCAGTGCTTCGGTGATGTGACCCTGGTGCCCATTGCCTTTCGTCCATTGCATCCTGCATAGCACAGTCTTGTACACCAAATTGCACATGTAGCTATGTACCTATCATAAACAATAACCTGGAGGGCAACAGAAACATATCAACAAAAGTAGTCTCGGAACGGATGGGAGTCCTTGCAGGGGCATGGAATAGGAATCTCTGTTCGTTAAGTTAGACATGAATCACAGGCCTGGCAAGAATTGCCAAGCAACTAAGGGCGGGATACAATGGGATCTGTTTGTCGAGTGCGCGAAAGGCGCGGGAAGCACCCGGCCAGGATCGCCAAGCAGTCAAACTGAGCGACACGTTCAGTGCCGGGCGGGGTAAGGGGTCTGCCAGTTGCAGTATGATCATCTGTGGTTGTGGTCTGCAAGGTCGCAGGTGTGGCTAGGCCACCAATATTAGATATCCCCGCTGGTGGTGCGCTGTTGCCTTGCTGGCGAGGGGGTCGAGGCCGCTGTGTCGAATGCCTTTGCCCGCTGATGGCATTAGCGGTGCGCTACGGGAAAATACCATCAACCAAGGGATGAATGTTGAAAGTTCGGAAAACTTACATATTTACCTCGTGTTGCAAAGATGTCTACGATGGGGATCCTGCGAGGGCGGGGAGCATGACCCTGAGGAACGGGGGAGCGAAAAAATATACGGTTAATGATGTTCTTGATGCGGGAGCCTTTAACATGATGTCGCGATGTGGAGCGGCCATTGCGTTGAGGTGGAGAGCGGGTATTATACTGCAGTGGAGCATAGTCAGAGACGGGCACGCATATGTGACATAGGGGCTCACATCATCAAAGAACCCATGCGAGTGTTCAATGTCTTCTGGTCCTGACTCTAAGCCAGGAATGGTCTCCTGGAGGAGTAAAGTTAGGAGCTGTGCAAAAGGACAGGGGTGAAAACCTACCTCGAGGATTTTCGGTATAGACTATGTGATATGTCAGCAGAAAGAACGGTGCGATGGATAATTTGCTCACCTGGTCTGAGTCCTTCTCTGACTCGCTCTGAGGAACTGCCCATGTGCGAACGAGGTTATCACGACAGCCAGTAGCAACAACCTGGCTGTCCTCGGCAATAGCCACACAGTACACGGTATCAGGGTGTTCGAGTGGCTCGCCGATGGGTTCGAACGTGGTCAGGTCAAAGAACTGTGTCGTCTTGTCGAATGACGTGGTGGCAAATTTGGTACCATTGGGAGCAATAGCTAGCGAGAGAAAAATTGCGGTGTGCGGGTTAAAACATTTGATGGTGTCTCCGGTGGTAGCATCTGATATTCGGATGTCATTGATGTTTCCACTGACGAGACGGCTACCATCTGGAGTGAATGCAACTCTGCTTGCCCTCTGTTCTATCTGCAGTAGTCGATCCCCATTTGCTGCATTCCAAACGACGATGTGTTCATCCGTGCCTGCTGCCAGTTTTCTTCCATCCGGAGAGTACGACACCGAATTGGCCAAGGTGCCCACTCGCAGTGGTCCGAGGACCGTGTCGCCCGTCCCCCTCTGCCAGACACATACTGTTCGGTCATATGATGCAGTTGCAAATGTCTCACCGTCCGGTGAAAATACCACGCTCCGGACATCACTTTCATGGCCCTTGAACGAGACGGGTACGCTCTTGTGTGTCGCAACTTCCCAGACTAGGATGCCTCCGTTCCATGCTCCACTCACAATCCAACGCCCATCGCGGGACGCTGCAACCGTCAAGACTCGGTCGTCATGACCCAACAAGGGCTCCCCCACTTGTTTCCCCGTACCCAAATCCCACACCCGAAGACTCTTGTCGCCAGAGCAAGTGACGAGGAGATGTGTACCAGTGATGAAGGCTACACAATTCACCCATTCTTCATGACCCTTGAGCGTCATTTTGGCCTGAGGGTTGTCCTTTCCAGTGTGCGAGATAGGCACCTGAGGAGATTTGTCGTCAACTTTGTGGTCAGTCGATTGGAGCTCAGTGGCCTCATCGAGGTCAGAGAGGTTGCCCTGATTCTCGAATCTGTCTCGAAGGCTGAGAGCGAGATTGTTGAGAGACAGGTGTCGATCAGAATGTCCGGGGGGACGGAGCTCCAGTGCAGTCCGATGGAGCTCGATGGCCTCATCGAGATCAGAGAGGACGCTCCGCTGCACGAATCTATCTCTAAGGCCGACACCAAGACTGCTGAGAGACTTATGTCGATCAACATGGCCAGGGGGACAGAGGTCCAGTGCAGCCCGACGGAGCTCAATGGCCTCATCGAGGTCCGAGAGGACACTCTGCTGCTCGAATCTGGCGTGAAGACTATTGGCAAGGTTGTTGAGAGCTGTGAATCGATGTGAATGGCCCGGAGGACACTCCTGTAAAGTCGTTCGACATCGCTCGACATCATGATCGTCTGCCATGTTGTGTATTGTGTGAGATACAAAGAAATTTTACACGATGGATAGGAAGAACGCAGCGACCATGAAGGAGATGAGTGGAACTTCCGACTCGGTGAAAAAAATGAGATTGCAACTGCAGCGCCGCGCCGTCTCGTGATGAGTACAAAGCTCAGGTACTAGGCACAGCGTGAATACGCACGGAAAGAGCAGAGTTTTGAGCACTGAAAGTTTCAGAAATCAATGGAGACCTGCGAGAGAAGTAATACAGTGAGTGCTGAAGCGCTGAAGCTTAAGACTCGGTACATGTGTTGTCCACACGTGCGACGGCTTACACGGCCACCCGGGGTCGTTCAAGCCTAACACGGCCTCGAAGTCGGAGTGTGAAATACATTTGGAGCATTTCATTTACTAGTACCCACACCTGACGTGCTCAGCGACGAATATTGAGGATGGAGTTGGAGACCTTGCACCGAATCCTACTAGCATCTGGGCAGCAGTGGACACACTTCCATCGTCGGACGAAGAAGCTTTTCTGAGATTCAGACGTTGGGACCGCAAACCCGCAGTTTGGTCCAGATCTCAGTCCTTAGCATGGCATCTCTTTTACGTTTTCCTCACCGTTAGCGCTCTAATTCTTGTAATCGCCCAGAGAACCTCCACGAAATGTCTCTGCACTCCTTGCCTTTTGACCAGAATGTTTACATCTCTCCGACATTAAGGTCAGTTCTGTTAAGAGGTGAGAGCTAACAGCGCGAGCTCAGTCAATGGTTAACGAGACTATATTCCCAATCTATGAATTTAACAGCGCGAGCTAAACGTGCTTTTGAGTACGGTACGTGTAGGGTAAGAGAAACATACACACCTCAGTCAACGGTTAACGAGACTGAGGTGTAACAAGGGCGTCTGCCCATCTTAAATAGCAAGAGAGAGAGAAATTATCGTGACTAGGTGAGTGACACTCGATGATAGCGAAACACTCAATGACAGATAGGATATAAGAGTGGTACTGGATGCTTTGACGGATCAACGGATCCCATCACGGATCATCTCTCAACAAGTTCTTTAAATCGTCTTCGCTTTTCTCCGTTTCCCTCCCCGTTTCTCCAATCATGACCTCTTCCAGACATGGAGCGTCAAATATACGACCACTTGGAACCATCCGTATTGTAGGCAAGGCAATACACACCCACAATATTAGCGTCCCCACCGCATATATTGAACCCCATACACGAAAGAATGTAGAGGAAAATGTTGTTGCCAAGGCCAAGTTGAGATTTGCATATACTCCCTGTGTAGAATCGGATTTAACGCATCCCCCAACGAAAAAAAATTGTAGACACGCACGTTAGGAAACACAGTTCCCCAGAATGGCAGTCGAAAGTCAATGCGTTCCCGACGAAGAGTGTAGCCGAGACCGACCATAGCAAAGAGTATCCACATACTCGCCAGTGACCATAGCACCACAGCACCAACCACACATATCACCTCCACTACTTCGCCGGTTCCAGGCTGTCGCAACAATCCGCCTGGATCACCATAATTCAGAGGTAATAGCAAACGGAAAGAGGACCCCAGTTGTAAGAGCGAGTATGCTGCCTGTCCACAAGGAGCGATAGGAAGAAAAACAGACAGAATTGATGCACCCGTGGGGTAACCGTATACGACCAACCGAAGGATGTATATCGTGAGTAGCATGAGGGAAAGGCTAAGACCTATTGTGACCATGCACGAAGAGAACGTCGCCGTTAGCAACGCATACGAGGGGGAATAGACCTGAAGCGCTGGCACGAGAACACCTCCAGAAGAAGATCCGACGACAAGGGTCACGACAGGAAGAAGCCAAACAGTTGTCATAGACTTTAGCGAATGTTGTTGGAGAGTGATCCTGTAGGGTTTACATGAACACTTGAACTCATTTACATGATTCACAGTGAACGGACTTACATAACGTGCATCATGCCAAAGCAGCATGTTATTGAAATCGCAACATTGATCCACCAACACGCCCACACCGTATAAATAAACGGCTTCCCACCAAAACCGTATGTCTGGAATATGTCGCTACTGGCGATGTTTATTAACGTTGTTGCGCCCATTGGAAACGTGCCAATGTACAAGCTCTGCACAGGATCCCGTATCATACGAGACCAAATGCCAGGAAAGAGGATGTATCGAGCTGCAGTGATGACGCTGAAGAGCAGAAAGAGCACAAGATTGAAGAAGAAGAAGGCGAGTGTAAAACCTCGCATTGCTGGCGAATCACCAGCATAAGGAAAGTTGTGGAAGAGCATGGCGATTGAGCCAGTCCCTACACAATATGCTGTCAACACCGTGACAATGCATGGATAGGGGGATTAATGTTGACTTACCCATCGTGACAGCAAACCATACTGGAGTAAAATGTCTGAGGATGGTAAGTGAGGCCCCCGCACGTCAACCAGTGGACATACCGAACAACATCTTTCAAAGATTTCCTACGAAGAGTAGCTGCACCGACGTCTCTACTCATTGTACTTGAGTAGATTCTTTTCTTATTATCTGGACTGACTGTACTGTATGTTTCTATCTTGTATTTATACTGTTCTTCGCTAACTATTTGTAACCGTCGGTCCTTGCGCTCGAACAACGTTCGACTCTGTTTGCTCAGTTGCTGATCAATAACGTCGGCTTCGGCTTTCTTCATTAGTAAGTGTTTGGTGTTAGCGCTCGCTATGAAACGTTGATCGCTAACTAGTCTCAAGACCGTGTGAGTGGACAGGCGGGGGACAAAATTCACGCTTTTGATTTTGTAAAAAAAATCTGACCAAGGACTCAGTAGTAAGTACTGAATCATCGTGAATCAGCATTGCGGGAAAGTCGGAGTCTAATTCTAATTTGTATGGTGGATGTTTGGTTACCGACTCCGCTTCGATAAAGATAGTACTTCACGACATGGATTCACCCGTCGTTCATAGTTTTATGCACAATCCATTGAATGACCAACTGTCTTTGTGAGACTGGACTCGTGACCAGTCCGCCCTGGGAGGCAATGGAAGTAACCAGGAGTACATAAATGCAATAATATGGCAAATAGAATATCTAACTAGACACCTATGTGAACAAATACGATCTGCTGTTCTAGTGGAATCTTCTTGCGCAATGACTTCACAGCCTTGTGCAACGCTACCGCAGCCCGTGTGCAGTCCAATCTCCCTGAGCCATCAACCAGGTTGCCGTAAAAAGCAGACACGACCTGACGCGCAACATCATCGTCGACGGACCACATGGAACCAATCACACTGCGAAATCCTGAGAATTGCATAGCCGCAGCGAGATGGATCGACTCATCGGGACTCTTCTTATCGCCCACGGTAGTGTGGCAGGCCGATAAGAATGCAAACTGTGGATTCTGCCAGTGAGATCGGATGATGTCCTTGATCATTAAAGGCCCATCACGCATCGCAAAGGAGGACTCGAATGGTTTGTTCTCGATTTAGCATTCCGTGGCAGGCAAGGTGAAACCATCGATTTCGGCTCAATGCGTCGAATGCTCCCTGTACTGTCGCATGGCTGTCGGTAAGTGATGTGAAGGACACGATGGGCGCGACGCGTTGAGCGAGGACGGCTAGCTCAGGAACGACACATTGAAGTTCCTTCCCACTGTCCGGGTTTTGACCAACGGCAACGAAATGCTGCGGTAATACATCTTGAGAAACCTGCTGTCTCGCACGAACGAGAGTAGCCAAAGTCGGGGCGGGGTGTAGGAGGAGATATAGATGTCAGATAAATTGTCTTTCTTCTTTTCGTAAGGTCCTGAGGAAGCAGCGTGAACTCAGCAGTGGGACACCACCAGATACGCGAGCCAGGGTGAACAGTAGACTCTCTAAGAGCTTGGACCACGGGGTCAACGATATCATGCCACAGCTTGCGTACGATGCTGACAAGTTTGTGTAGATGATCAGATGAACCAAATTGCTCTGCGAGTGACTGAAAATCGGAGGACAGCTCGTACACTTCGGCTCGTGTAATATCAAGCGGAACATGGACAGTGTCTTCCTTGTTATGAGATGATAAAGGAGTCACAGCCATACTGGCTTGCATTGACGATATAATGACTGGACCGCCTTCTGCCGCCTTCTGTAGGTCGGAGAACAGGGGAGGTAGAAGAAATTGAGAAAAGTCGGGAAGCATGCGGATGCGTAAGATGACTTCCTCCCAAGCGTGGTCAGTTGCCAGATTTGCGGAGACTGGTCTTCAGCAGACTGATCGAAAGCGTTACGAAGACAAAAACTAGACCCCTTGAACTCTTCCGCCAAGGCTGCGCCGGTGTCATTAGACAGGGAAAGATAATCGAGTGGTGAGCGGAAACGTGCCAACTGGGTCCAGAATACCGCACGACAGAGTGCCCCGCTGATGGAATCTGTCTCGAAGACTGAGGGCAAGATTGTTGAGGGGGCCTCGTTGATGGTCGCAGACTTCGTTTAGACGCGGATCGCAAAGAATGTCCGGGGGGACGGAGGAGTAGTGCAGCCCGATAGAGCCCGATGACGTCATGGAGTTCAGACGGGATTCCCTGCTGCTGGCATTTGGCATGAAGGCTGCCCGCAAGATTACTGAGGGACCCGGATCGAAGAGCATGACGCGAGGCGCGAGGGGCAGGCAGAGGAGCAGTGCGGCCCGATGGAGCTCGATGGCCTCATCAAGGTCAGACCTGATGCCCCGCCGCTTGAATCTGTCATGAAGGTTGGTGGCAAAATTATTGAGAGATGTGGATCGAAGGAAATGACCGGGGGACGGAGTTGTAGTGCAGCCTGATGGAGCTCGACGGCCTCATCAAGGTCAGACAGGACGCCCAGCTGCTGGAATCTGTGACGAAGGCTGAGACGAAAGTTGTCGAGAGAGGCGAGGTGAAAATAATTGCCAGGGGGACAATTCTGCACTCTTCCACTTTTTCTGACATGCTATTGAACCGAATTCAAGTTACACGATGGCTGTCGAGAACGCGTGGAGGATCAAGCCGAAGAAAAAAGTTGGGTGAAGAAGACGATTTTGTAACTGTAGTGTTAGGTGCCTCAAAATAAGCAAAAAATCCACGGAGGGTCGAATATCAGTGTGAACGCACATAGTTATTTGACGGTAGAGATGAAGCGAAGGAAATGATATGGCGAATGCTGAGGGAGCGCACCACGGCGAGACTTGCGCTGCAAAAATCTGTTAAGAGTCTCGGTAAGGAGTCCATAACTAAGTGAGATCTGGCTGAACACACCGTGACACATATAACGAGAGCACTGGAACAGTGGGAACCTCAACTGGTAGTGTGAGGGGGATATTGCCTGCAGCCTTTTGCGTCAATGATATATATCAGCTGCTATAAGTTCTTACTCACGATTTGATGTCTTCTTCCTGTGGATGACTGTTCTGACATGTCTAATTTTCCTATCGTTGCAGCTGATACGGACGGTTGCAAAATCCTGTGAGCGATACCGATGGTTACTTGGTGTGATTTGGCGTCTGGTTCCACAGCGACATGCCATGTTATTGGCAGCAATTTGATAGCCTTCTTACATCATAGAACGATGCCATGATCCAATCTAGAGGCAATAGTCTTTGAAGTTGAACGTTGATTAACGTTGATTGTTGAAGTTTGCTGAGAGTTTGCTGATACGTGTCCCGCGCTAGTCTCCCGGAAGTAGTCGTTCCTTCTATTTCCGTATCCGCAGGTACGTACTACCAGCTGCAGGTACATATCCCACGGATTCTTCACACTCTCCTGCATCATGGGTTTATGCAAATGACATGCATCGTCCTTCTTCAGACAACTTCAGAATACCATTCCCTGCCCAGAGCGAAGGCTTGATCTGGTTCAAATGAACGTCTCTGCACTTCCTGTCGATGATCCTAAATCTAAAGGTTCTGCGCGCAGGCTACGCGTCTGCATCTGGGACCTCCGCAATCCTTCGCGAGCATAAATTAGACGTCTTGATGAGTCGACCATTATCGTTGTTTGGATGTGTTCCCAGACGCTGCCAAGGGGGCAGGTGTGAAGCCCTTTGTATCCAGCGATTTCGGTATATCCGTAGGACCGCAAGCAACCAAAAGGTGGCCTCCGACCATCTAGCTCGTCAAAAGAATGACCTCGCAAACAAGGGGTAATGATAGTACTTAGCGGCATGGGGTCACCCTTCGTTGAGATTGGATTTTATGCAAAATCAATTGGATTGCCAACTCCCCGCGTCTTCGTGAGTAACCATTTGTTAGATTTCGCTCTAAGAACTGAACGCGAAGACATCGATTGCCAGAATGAATTGTCTTGCAAATTTGTACCATGAGGCTCATGACACTCGCTGACACTAGCAAGTTTCATATGGTGAAACAATGTGAAACACTAGCGTCCTTCAACGCCGTATCCGACGTTGCAAAATACGTGGCGGCTTATATTCTTACTATTCAGCCTATCTCGTCTGCTTGATGTCGAAATTCACATCGAGGGACGACGCGCAACGCTCTCGGAGATTGCTGCATGGCAATGTAGGTGTGGTACATTGTGATGCCCTTCGTCCGGAAGGTGGAACAGGCGGAACGCTGTGACAGTCGGATGACCCAGGGTATGCTGCCAGGGATACCTTGTTACGGTAGGGGCACCGCTGATTGACCGTTGGGGAGGCTGATGCATGTGCCGTAGGCATATACTTCCCTCTTGGTGATCGACTGGGTGTTAGTCCTATCAGCGCGAGTGGTATGGCACTTTAGACGATACCTGTGGCCTGCAGAGCGATATTTGATCATTATCACCGACAGGTATCTTTTCTGCTCGGGTTAAACAGTCAAATATCGCTGCAGGACGCTGGCACGTAGTACCGCGGTCGCATATACCACGGTAGACTTTGCCCCCAAAAGGCAAGTCTCACCGGCCGTGCTATTGTGGACGCGGTGGACAAGGTCCCGTGTTTGGACCTACAAAACAGCTACAAACCATCCACATCGTCTTGTTGGTGGTTTGTGGCTACTTTCACGATTAACCTTCTCTTAACTTTCAATTTTTCCCTTCACTGCTCTTCATTACTAGCTCAAAACGCTGAAGAGAATATCTCGTGATGTCGATTAATATTGAACACCAGAACCAAACCAAAGCCAGCGGAGTTTCCATTACCGCAGACTTGAAGGGCAAAGGCAAGGAGAAGGAAATAGATCTCCCTGCCAACGAGAACGCGTCAGACGCGTCAGACGCTGCAGAGTCTGAATATGATAAATTGGGCAACTACCCTCTAGAACGATTCCCTTCGCCACCAAGCGACGAACCCAACGCTGCACCCACCACCACCCCACATGCTGCCACCCAAAATTTAAATACCCCGTCCCTCGACCCGCCTCTCATGAAATTCATCTACCCCCCTCCATCCCCTCTCTGCGATGACCCTACGTGGTTTGCTCAGATGGTCGCCGACGTCCATCGCAATCGCAATCACCTCATCACCCAACTGGAGCTAGCCAGAGCTGAGGCCGCTGCCGCGCTCGCCGATGTCACTCTCGCACAGCTCGAGCTCCAGGCTGAGACCGATGGAATGCAAAAGTTACTGGACGACGTGGCAGCTGTAGCTGGGCCGAACGTTGTGAACAAGTTGATCAAGAGCGTCCAGTCGGCGCTGAAGAATGACGATGAAGACCCAGAGGACTTGCAAGATGCTGATGATGAGAATTCGAGCGGCGACGGCGACGAGCATGAAGTGGATCTGCATGATGCCCAAGATGAGAATTTGAGCGCTGGCGAGAGCGAAGATGACCTGCAAGACGCAGAAGATGACCGCAGCGACGGCAATTTATGGTGTGTATCTCACTCAAATTTGCACCAATCATTAGTTTCTAATGTTAGGGGAAGGTCGCGCGCAACTGACAACAACTCCGACTACCCTCGATGCTTCCGCCATGAGGATTCCATCGACGGCAGTGACGCTGAGTCTCCGTTCGCCTATGACAGTCGTGAACTCGCTCTCGAATGGCATTTGAATGAGCCAAGCAACCCCGACAATGTCAGTGGGTGGTTTGAATCTTCACCCACGAATGGCAGGAATAAACGCCGCCTCGAAGACGAAGAAGAGGAAGAACTCAGCCCCTTGAGTTATTTCCGGAAAAAAGTCAAGGTGGACGAAGGCGAAGCAGGAGAGACCGAAAGCGAAGTATCTATCCCGCAGTACGATTCGGCCCGAGAGAAAACTCAATCCGAGATTGATTCAGAGGAGGAATACGAAGTGGAGAATCTTACTCTCGAGATTGACCCCGAACTACTTAGTCGTCCCCTGTGCAGGGACCCCTTCAGGCTACGCCAGAATTCGGGGGGTGAACCCGAGTTGTATATTCCCGAGAATTGATGACACAAGTACATATATTATATCTCTTAGCCTCATTGATTTTCAGTCATTTTATACCAATACTCCGTCGTTTTACCAGTCTAATACCTACATACCTCTCTGATGGTAGCTTCTGGTTTTACGTTCTTACCGGGGGGAAACGGACTACAATATTACTGTGCATAGGAAGTGACGCGTGCTTGATTAAGTACATGGCCCGTTTGGAGAACACAAATGATGTTGATGCACTCACGGCAATTGCCGCCCGCGGCAGCAGTCGCAGCATTTTCAGAATCACGATGTCCAGACTCCAGGTTATGACGAAGGCCAATATAGCCATGAATTGTATCTGACCAGAGCCTTGAACCATATTTATCATATCCCACATGAACGAGAACTACGAGACTATCCAAGTTACCCTCCAGTACGGCGGGGTCAAGGGCGGGCGACTGATATCTGGGATGACGAGTAAAACCGAGGCTCTTCGAAACCTTCTAGCAGATCTCAGTGTTCTCAGAGCACATCGTCCCAAAGGTGAAAATATCCGTCAGGAAGGCGCCGTGTTCTTCTTGTTATGGCCTCACCCCGCTAACGCGCCAGTCCCTCTGGTTGAGGTATGTCCTAAGCATTGCCTTGCACTGAAAATCACGGTTGATCCATTTCAGGGCTCTTTATACAAACGATGGGTGGCCATTGCCCAGGGGAGTCCAGAGTTAACCGCGGTTAAAAACCAGCTCTCTATGTAAGCACCTTCTCAGAAACACGTGTACACGAATGAAACTCAGGCGACTCCAATTGTGAAGCGAATCGATTACTTTTAACATGTGAGGATATTCTCATAGTACAAACGACGTCTAATCAAGGTCTGTCTCAGACTTTCGTCCATTGGTTTTACGGGATCACACGGAACAACAAACCTGTCACCACTGGGACCAAAACACACAATAGAACTGCCGCGAATGCGAACAGAAGGAATGAACGACCCGCTCGCAGAACAATATTTTACGACAGATCATCTTTATTCACAGGAGCCGGAAGTAGCTCAAGGGAAGAGACCTCGAAGCGATGTATGTGCCGCGATTTATGTGTCGTTTTTATAAACTAATGTTTTTGTTCCCCCCGAAGTCCGTCAATGAGCGAGATCTTCTTTCACCATCGTTTGGGCCAGATGGCAATAATGAGTCCTCCTCGAGTCATGCGTCGAAGAAAATCCGAACCGAGCAGCACTTCCCCATTCAGAACAGTACAGCAGAAGAGAAACATACTCTTAACGGCTTTTCAACTGGAAATGACCAAACCACACAATTAGACGAAATTTCTCAGTCCAGATTCCCGATACCTTTAGTGTCGCGCATCCCTCCATTTGGCAGCTACCACATGCCTTTTCCAGGATCGACTGGCGTGAGCAATAGCCCCGTCCCTACTGCCCCCCGCCCACCACAAAATCGAGAAGCTATCAAGAGGCTGTCGCTTGAGCTGTCGAAGGTCCGCGGTCAACTGACTACCTTGAGACATTGTGAGCAAGGGATATCGGAAGAGCTTGTTCGTCTTGGTGTTCCCCAGCCAAAGAGCGAAGAAGCAGTACCCTCCCCACATGGTCTCGTACATCTACAGTTCGGTATGCACGTAGCTGACTCATCTGATTCCTATAGATATGGAGGCGCAACTGATACTGATCGAAATCGAGTTGCAGCAGGAAAGGATACAACGTCTCCGTGCTGAGCGCATGCTCAGTGAAGTAGAGCGGGAGTGTCGTGCTCCGTTTGTTGTTCCAGCGTTGTTCCAGGCGTTCTGCAGAATATCAGAGCTTGGGCACAATGAATAATCCAAGGCAAGTAGGCTGTGATCAGTCGAGACATTTGGCTAACCCGTTGGCAAAGTGACGAATACTTTATTGCATACGTGCACCTCCATGGTCAACGCCCGAGTTCAGGCTTTGTGCACCTCAACCAGCCCCTCGAATCCTTTCCACATCATTTTCAAATCGGTATCTCTAGTGGGTGGTCAAGTGCACACAGGCGCTCACCTTGGACATTACAAACTAATTAGGTACATTACCGGTTAGGTTTTATGTATGCCCACAACTGCAGGTGGCTGAACACTCCTTTCGGCCATATTTGAGAGTCTTATCGGTACAAGGGCTCCATGTGGACTTATATCGGATGTCCTGAGCCACAAATATTTTTGAAGAACAGTGATGCACTTTCGGGACAAAGCGTATCAACGTCCTCCAAATCGTTTGAGTTGATTGATCCAGAGGGGAGTTTCAAAGTGCGTACCGATTTCTGAATACAAGTTCAATTCTCATCAGACTATCATGCCACGTTGTCTAGCACTCTCTGATGAGGAACACGAGAGAAATCAATCGCCGTGAACAAAGTGAACAGTTTCACACAGATTTCCTTGGGGGCAGCTGCTATTACGGGCCGATGGATAGCAGCCAGTGGCATCTGCACATCTGCATCCGGCTAACAATGAATTGCCGTGGTGCAAAAGAAGGCTCATCGATATGGGGAGCGTGCGTTGGCGCGATGTGATGGTGATGTTGTGTGGTTTCACGAGCGAGATGGATCACATTGCCAAGCCCGGTAGGGGAGCGAACAGGGCGCAGTTTAGAAGGGTCTACGTAGATTGAGTCTCAGAAATATTTGATCCCGCATGCCTTGATCCTTGGGCTCTGTTTGTCGTCCCAGCGCTGAAAACATCCGTTCAATATTAATATTTCGTGAGATCCAAGTGTGATGGAATGCATGGCCTAGGCCTGGCCTGCCGCATCATTAGTGAAGATTTCACCATATCGAGAGGTGCACGTGATCTCTGGGATGTCGCGAAAGTGCACCCACAGAAACCTCACAGGAACCTTACCACTGTAATTCAAGAATATCGCGGACTACGCTAGGATCTTCCGAAATAATACAGGATGGAAGTAAAAGGTATTAACGGATGATTTGGACATTTTTGTTTCGAACTTATAAGGTGACTTTGCAGGTTCTCCCGCTCCTGTGCTCGGCTTGTCATCCACACCGACACCCACTTCAATGGCTCCAACTACATTCGAGATCCCAACAGAAATAACTCCGACTCCTTCTACATCTACATCTCCAACCGTACTTCAGAAATGCACTCGCTGTGCCTACATGGGCCCCGTCGACTCCTACCCACCTCGACGTACTGGTACAGGTCATCTCAAAGTATGCATCGGCTGTATGGACAAACAGGTAGCACGGAAGTCCGCTGCCACTGTCGATTCCTCTGGATGTGGGCAGATTGCCACCGCGGCGATGAGCTTGGATGACTTCTTGAAACTCGTCACATTGAACAAAGGTCGACCATTCGACTTTGATACCATGGTGAATCTACCGCCGGGAATGTTTGCAGCTGGAGAACATTTGTATAATCGGACGAATAAGATTAGGGATTTTCTGGCAGAAGCTTCAGAATATCACTGGAAGTGCGTTGTCTACGTCATACACCGGGGCAGTCCTTACAGAGATCTTTTATACAGTCAAAAGAAAACAAAGCGCGGTGGAAAGTCAACAGTCGTTACCTACTTCTGTGCTCAGCTTGAAGGAGAGCAATCAAAGTCGCGAAACCAAGATGCCGATCGCGCCAAGTCACGTTCTCGCATCACCCGTTATCACTGTGGAGGCTGGCTACGTATAACAACTATGGATGATAACGAACTTCTTCTACGCATTCGTATGACACATGCTGAAGCGCACCCAAGTTTCCCCGCATCGTTTCGCAAGTCGCAGTCAGGAGAATTCAAGATGGAGACGACACCAAAACCAGTTCCGAAACAACCTTTGTTCACAACGGCGCCGATGGTAGTGCCTGTTGGAGTTACTGAAGTGCCTCAAATAATACCAAGGGATGAGGTGGGCCCAGAAGAAGATGTAGGAGCTATGCTAGAGCAGTCGCAGGGGAATGGAGGACCACCTCCAGGAATCGTACGTCATGAAAATTTTTGGCAGGCGTTCTCTATTGATTTAGTTCTACCACAGCCTGAAGTCTACTTCTCGCCAGATCAGCTAGCTGGACTGAGACGAAAATTTGACGCTATGATGAGCATAGCATCTGGTCCTTGTCATCCTGACCTAGCTCACGCTCTAGGGTCTGTATTCGACCACTTGGATCGTACGGTGGGCGACATAGAGGTTGGGAGATTTGCGAAGAGGCAGAGGATTTCATAGGCTTTCCTCGCTTGGCCAATCACCAGACGATCTCATCGGAGACCTGCTTTGGGTCAATGGCCCATATGGGTCTCCGAACCTGACCCTTGAGGCAGAGCTGAGGGTTCTTGCCACCGTGACGCAGCGAATGGTACGACATCACCTAATGTCAGATTAATTTGAACAACCATGGACTGCAAATTTTGGGGCAATATGAATCTAGGAGGCGTTTTATATCACATATGTCATGTGCGGCTGCAATTCTGATCTCCCGCCGTGGGTGCCAGTCATGCAGAAATCACACCAGACAAAGAATGGCTACTCTTTCAGCTCCTGACCAGTACATCAAGCATCATTACTAACAGACCAGCCCATAAACCACGACGATGATATGACAAGAACTCGCATAAGCTCTTCCAGGCATGGTTCGCAAATCTGACAGGTACATTTTCTGATAGTCTCCCCGATCCAGACCGTATAGAAGGAAGACAGTACTTGATCCTTCCTCATACACAAGCAGCAAATGAAGTGTGGATACCAGGATCATAACGAAACCGAAATAACAAATTCGACAGCAAACATACTCGATGATCTACGAGCTGTATCCATAATGTTCCCATACATAGTCGTACAATGCACATCGGTCTATATATTCACGTCCCGGATTGCGTCCTGCCATTCATCTAGGTGCTTCAGCATTGCCGCGCATTTATTTCTGATGTCTCTCTCTGCATCCCCTCCCAAAACGAGATATAACGGCCACTCCTTCCCAGCCGCAGCGCCCTCTCCTCTTACAACGTCTACGACGAGTTTCATCCCCTTCATCGGGTCTCCTGGTTGCTTGCCAGGGATAGCCTCAACTTTTACCAGTATTTCAGCTCGTGTTTCATCATAATCAGGTATAGGATTCGTCCACGTATCAAATTTATTGCTGTATATGTTTTCGGTGCGAAAGGCGCCAGGCTCGACGATCAGGACGCGTATGTTGAATGGTGCAAGTTCCACGGCAAGTGTTTCACCCATTACTGTAGTATTTTCAGTCAATGAACAACGGAGTGCATATAAGTTACAATGCAACTTACCCTGCACGGCTGCCTTTGATGAGGCATAGGGACCTGCCAGACGTAGAAATGATCACCCACGGAGGAGCTGAAAACAAAAAGAGTAACTCACCAAGTCCCTGAAACAGACGTTATATGATTCAATCACTATCAACCATAGACAACGTTACTCACCACGATTTCAGGCCTCCAGGCGCTGCGACTTCCGATAATAACTACAGTACCACTCTTCCCTGCAGAGCTCAAAAACGTGTTGCATGCACATCTCCCGAAACTTACTTTCACGCATGTATGGCAATGCTGCATTCGTGACATCCAGAACGCCGAAGACATTCGGGCGGAATTGGCTTATCATCTTGTCTACCCTGAAACCGATAACATGCGTTAGACATGGGAAAAGAACATGGTCTATGTCCTACCCGCATTCCTCAAGGATTCCCAGCAGCCCAATACCCGCATTGTTCACCAATACGTCAATCCTGCCCCACACCTTAGCCGCCTCATCTACTCGTTCCTTGATGGCACTCGTTCCAGAAGACACGTCAAGCTCGAGGAGGTGTAGGTTCGGAGATTGGGGGAAATCTTGGATTTTCTGGAGAGATCGGGCCGTCGCGACTACACGATCGCCGCGTTCTAGAACGATTGATACTAAACGGCGACCAAAGCCTGATGATGTACCTAAATGATCGACGTAAGCTACTGTTGTCTCTGGATGTGATACGCACCGCAGGAAATGAAGATGCTCACCTGTGATTAGCCATACTTTAGGATCAGACATAAGTGCAGTGAGTACGCAGTGAATGGGCACGCTAAGACCTTATTCTCCTGCGACTTTTATAAACAGGTTGTGGACTGGTTGATCGTGTGCATTGACTGATAACAAAAATAACGCGTCACGTCAGGCAGCTGAGCTCGCGTCAAAACACAGCCAGTCTCTTCCAGCAGGTGACCCAATATAACATATGACAGTCAATATATTTGACACTGTGGTCATTTTGAGCAGGGTATGATACGAGGAAAGGCAAACAACACATCAAAACAGCACTCGAGGGTTACTTTCCGCCCTTCTTGCCAGCTTTGCGCTCCTTTCTCTTTCTACCAATAACTGCGCCGATGCGCTGACCACTAGTGGCATGTTCTTCCTTCACAGGCTTCGCTGGTGCTTCATCAGTCGTAACACGACGTTTCTTCATAGGTGGTTCTTGAGATGTTTCACCTTGGCTTTTTGTGACTCGTGTCTAAATCTGAGTCAGAAATAGTGATCATAGACGGAAATCATACATACTGGTACTGTCGGTTTTTCCTTGTTCAGGTTCGCTCTTCGCTGGACGACCTGCACGTTTTCTATGGAGAATTCCACAATAAGCGTACCCTTGGGTACTTTTACCTGGCCTTCTAGTTCATCTTTTATCCGCTTCAGCCTAGCCTCATCAGGATCCCCCTTTCCCTTCTCAAGCTTGAGGAGGTCTCCAAGCTCTTCTTTCCACCAGGTGCTCAGAAGTGAAGTAACAGCAGGGTTGTTATTGGCCCACCGAAGCACGCGTAGCGCATCCGCATGCCGCGGCATCTCGATGAATCCGTAACCTTTGCTGCGGCCTTTTCCTGTGACAGGATCTACCCTCTCATGTTGACGCACGAGTTTGGCTTGCTTGACGCCTCTGGACTTGCTTCCCTGCGATCGTTGCCCGGCTTTCGATTTTGTGCTGGAGTCGCCTGGTTCGTCAGATTCCTTGGCAGGCTCTTCTAGCTCCTCGGGAGTCAAATTGTCGCGTTCTTTCTTTCGGACTTCGTCTTTGAATGTACGAAGGGCGTGGAGGGCGAGGCGTTTGAGAGTCCGCTCGGTAACGAATAGTGGTATCTGGCGAACGCTGAGTCGGGTCTTCGATACGTATAAGGAAGGATTTGTCCGCAGCATCGTGCGGCGGGCGGTGAACGAATTAGTCCGCTTCTCCAGTTCAATAGGTGGTATAGTGCTGGCCGCTGGCGTATTGGGCAAGATGACTGACGGATTGTGGTTTACAGAGATGACAGTGATGATAATGAAATAAACCTTACCTCCCTCTCGCAACAAGTAAAGATTTCTCTTGTCTGCCTTTTCTCGCCGTTTCTCGCCTTCATCCTTCAGCTTACCTGCTTGATCCCGTGTGACAGCTCTTACGACGTCCAAAGTGCGACCATGAAGAACAAGACTTCTGGCTACGCCTGCAGATGGGTCAGGTGTTAGGATTGATGGTAGGGTAAATGGGTTTTTCGTTGGCTGGGAGGTGTCAGAGACATGTCGGAGTTTGGGGAGCAGAACGTACTTGTTGCATGCCCATGGTTTCGGCGCGCAAAATTTCGCTTTGCTCGATCACCTTGTCGGCGTCCTCTTTCTTCCAAAAGCAAACGAAACCGGTGCCGCGCGAACGTTCGGTTCCTGGTTCGACGGTGATTCGGGCATACCGTAGAGCCCCAAATGTGCGGAATCTAAATCATGAGGGATGAGCGCACGCGGGTGGTGGGGAAAGTAAACGTACAGCGTCCGTAGTTCGTCTTCTGTAGCAATAAAAGGGATATTGCGAATGAAGAGTGTAGTACCTGTGTCTGTTTGAGGTAGTTGAGGTTTCATGGGACGTTGATGATCTTTATGATCAACGCTCATGGCTTCTTTCTCGTCGTTGTCTTCGAGATCTTCGTCCTCGTCCTCATCGCCGTCCTCGTCTTCGTGAAGACCCAACTGCTCCTCCTCGTCCTCAGCACCACTCAGCTCAGCTTCACTATCTTCAACGCCAACCATCTTGTCATCACCCTCTTCGACATCATCTACTTCGGCATCACTCTCATTGACCTCTTCAATCTTCGCCTTTTCCTCCTGCTTTTTTACCTCTTGCTTTTTGACCTCCTGCTTTTTTACCTCCTGCTTTTTTACCTCCTGTTTTTTCACCTCGTGCTTTTTCACATCAGGCTTTTTCACCTCCTGCTTCTTCTCCTTGCCACCGCGCTCCTTGGAGCCTTCAAACTTCCCTTTGTCCTATATCACACCCATAAGAACCCCATCCACGGACCAACAAAAACAAAAAAACGCACCACCTTCTTATCTGCCCATTTAACTCTCAGCTTCCTCCCATTAATCTCGATCCCATCAGCCGACACGGTATCGAAAGCAGTCTGCGCATCCTCCCGAATAGAAAAAGACACATAACCAAAACCTTTGGATTCCCCAGATCCGTCCTTGGATACAACAAAGGCGTAGCGCACGGGTGCTAGATCCGAAAATGTTGTTTGTAGGTCTGTGGATGTTACATCATAGGGGAGGTTGGATACGAATAGTGTGGATCTGAGGAAGTGTGATGTTATGTTGTGATTTTGGTGTTTGATGGGCATGTGTTGACTTACCCGTGTGATTGTGATGATGGATCTGCGTCTTCGTCTCTTTGCCTGCGTTTCCCGAGTGATGTCGCCATTTAGATCTAAAGCACCTGGTAACATCCTTGCTTACAATTTTGAAGGCGTTGTTTGTGTATGTTAGGATGAGAGGCTTTTGCCAATTAGGACCAAACACCAGTTGACTCTCCTCGTCCTTTGAACTTTGAAACTACTTGAGTCAAACTTGAGTAGTTGATTATGCAGCTGCTGTGATTGAATCAAAGACGGTGCCATTTCCCACAATAACGGGCATCGTTTCAAAAAGGAGGCTGACTGGTGTCCCCCTCTGTCGCAGGATTAATGGTGGTGAGTGACGAGTCGACGATATACGCATCTCAGGCTGTTGTGATTGGTCGAAGTGTTGAGGCCTAAGGCCTAAAACTCGACACTTCCCCAAATATGCATCGCACAAGGGAAGTGGAGGAGGCTGATTAGTCCCTCTGTCACAGGACTGATGGCTTTACAGTGAGTCATGACCTCATTTCCGACTATCCTATTCAGACTCTCAGATTGCCACTGTTGTCCCAAATTCCCATTCCATGCTGTGGTCTGATACCCACATAAAACGATTGATAATCTTTCTCACTACCATCAAGTACACCCAATTGCGATGACGATCGTCTACTGTTCTACCAAGTCCACAATCCGTGGCGTATGCACGACGATTTGCCCATCTTCTCACCGCGCCCACTGGCATAGCTCAAGAGCTTCTGATACTGATCTTGATATGAAACCATCACCCAGCTTTAGAATTCCATCATCATCAGTTCTAGAATCACGATGGCGGTGAACTGCAGCGCTAAAGGCTCGCTGCACGCCCAATACGCATACGAGGCCGAGTCCCCGATGCCCTTCGAGGCATCTCGTTCACATAAACGGCGAGCCGATCTCGACGCACAATGGTAAAATCCATCCATCCGCATCGCGAAGAGAACTCTGATCCAAAACCCAATTATATCATTAGAAGAAAAGGCGATCATGCGTGCACGTATGAAACCGATCGTAATGGCAATGGCAGAAGGATGTGATGTGCGTTCGGCAAGCTCGGGCATTCTCCTCTTAGTGATGTCGCGTTTCCTAACTCGTCTCGCAGGGTCATGCATCCATGTATATGTGTGATGGTGCCATCATTGGTAAGGTGATCAACGCGCCCCGAAATGCTGGTGCATGCAAAGCTAATTCAGAGACGGGGCCCTTCGTGAGTAGTCGTTTGCATGCCTTTCTAAGCGAGTAAGCGAGTTGACTATGCGTTTGTTCCGCATGTTTCGGTGGGAGCGGCGTCGTGTGATTGCACATGCACGTGGGCGTTTCTTGGGAACATGCGGAACGGAGAAGACGACCCAATAACCTGGGAGAACTTCTTGTGTTAGTATCGAAGTGCTCAAGTGAGAAATCAATATCGATGCTCAATGAGTAATTGAGCATTCATCGTGATGATCGCTCTGCTATCATCAAGCTCGATTAGATTTCGTGCGCGAAGGCGGGATATCGACACTGGAAGCTAATTAATTACATTTCTTAGGTGAATAAGCCTGCTAAGCATATAGGACGGCATCCGCAATAGATCTAAAAGGCTATCAGGAAAAGTAGTCCATTACTTACACTTGTCCATCGTACATCCATACCTGACCAGGTAACTGAGACCCGAAGCTTAGAAGAAACTTACGGCGATGGATGCCCAGGAGTTATCGAAGCCAAGCAACGATACGTTTGGTATGTAGGTGACTATGACTATGCGTTTGTTCCATATGTTTCGGTGCGTGGTGGCGTGTAGGTGTGTGATTGTGACAATGCACCTTACACATGGGCATATGTGGGCGTTTCTTAGGTATGTGGAACGGATGAGGCGACCCGATAGTTTGGGCTGCGCGAATTCCTCATGTTAGTATCGAAGTGCATAGAGTCGGCAGTGGATTAGTCAATGATCGATGATCAATGAAATAAGCGACTGGATTGAATGTTCATCGCGATCATGATGATCCCCCGAGCTCAATTAGATTTCGTGCGCGAAGGCGGGATATCGACAAGTACTGGGGAAGCTAATTAATTATATTCCTTAGGTAAACCCAGCATGATATGTAGAGCGGCATCCGCAGTAGATCTGAGAGGCTATTAGTTAGACCTGATACTTGGGTATACTGCGTCCAAACCTGACCACGTACTATGTAAGATCCTTGGTCTTCGCCCGAAGCATGAGGACTGAGTACTAATGGAAGAAACCTCATGATTGCGTGGACGAAGGGGCTCTTCCAGGATGGGTTATTGACAGTATATTCAGGTGGCTTGTGTATGTATGTCCCGTGTATTTCTGCAAGTATGTGATGACGATGTCCATGGGCGTTTCTCATGAACACAAAACGAAGAAGGCATCAGAACAAGACCCGACAACCTGGGCTGCTAAAACCCCCTGTGCTAGTATCGAAGTGCATAGTCAGCAATCATCAAAATGAAAACAAGCAACTGAATTGAACAAGTCATCTTCGTCGGGACGATCCCCCTGCTACTATCGTCGAACTCAATTAGATTTCGTGCGTGGAGGCGGGATATCGACGCTGGTGCTAGTGAAGCTAATTAATTGCATTCGTTAGGTGAACCCAGCGTGGTATATAGGGCGGCATCCGCAGTAGATCTAAAAGGCTATCAGGTGGACGTAACAATTGGATATACTGCATCCAAACCTGATCAGGTACTAAGATCCTTGGTCTTCGCCCGAAGCACAGGCACCAATGGAAGAAACCTGGGCGAGAGCGTCTTGCTCCTCTAGGACAACTTAACTCGACGGATCATTGACAGTATGTTCAGGTGACTATGGGTGCTTATGCGCCACGTATTTCAGCCAGTGTGATATAACATATGGACGTTTCTCGCGATCATGCGGAACGAGGAAGGCATCAAAACCAGACCCGATAACCTGGACCACCACAATTGCAACTTCCTGTGTGAGTATCGAAGTGCACAGTCAGGAATGATTGAAACGAAAACAAGCAACCAATTGAATTAGGTATTCATGGGACGATCCCCCTGTTATCGTCGAGCTCAATCAGATTTCGCGCGCATCACGCCCTATTAGATGTTGTGCTCGAAGGCGGGATATCGACGCCAGTACTGGTGAAGCTAATGAATTCCTTCAACGAACTTCAGCCCCCTAGGACGGCATCCGCATTAGTTATGAAAGGCTATCAGGATAAACGTTAACGCAGACATAATGTATCCAAACTCGACCAGGTACGACCCTTGATTTTCGCCCGAAGCTTAGGCACCACCAGGAGAAACCCATGTCAATTACGATAAACGAGGGGCGGAGAAGGATGTCCCGGTCTTCCAGAGCGGGTCATCGAGGGCCACCGTATACGTCCAAGCTTAAGAGCCCAGTGCGTCTAAATGAGGTTCTTCGGGTAGAAGCCGCTCGATGATAATACCAGCGCATATCGATCTCGGGAAGGAATCACATGATGCAGCTCGAGATGAGACTTCGATTGGTAAATGCAAGGACGTCTTGACGATGCGTACGTATGTTGCGAAGATCGTTGATTGTCTATTCCGTACGGTGTAACTGTCATTAGCGCGATAATGAAGTTGACGTACCCCCGTCATCGCGTCGTAAGCCCATCTCGCAAGACGTTCATTCATTTAAGAGTATGGACTTGTCGATGCCCGTGGATACATCTCGACATCGACCTTCCGATCAGATGGTTACTGAAAAGATGGCGGGAACTGCCTTTTGAAAGGGTGGGGCTTGGAGGGACAGGAACGGAGCTGTGCGGGATTGGAGTTGTTCCGAAATGATGATGAAAGCAAAGGGCCAGACGAGCGTGTTATTATCAATCTAGCACTGGATAGCTAAATTGCATTCCGAAGTTGTTCTAATAGTCGAATTTGTGGAATGGATGTGTGACGAGGATCCTCATCAGGTATCTCACATCTCCAATTCGACATATAACATATGGCGGGAGTAGCATGCAGTATATATGACAGGTCGAAAAAGTTCTTGAGCGAATGAAGCTAGCTAGCATCCGCCATGAAGGACATTCTTTTGATCAGAGGCTTCTCCGCACCGCGTCGGCCGATTTGCTGGGTGATTTGTTGGGTAGCCGAGCGTCGCTGATGATGCAAGTGTAATGCCAAACCCGGAGAAAGATGCAATGTCCGGGAGGAGGACAGGCGGTGCGAAATGAGGTAAGGACAACCCCTTATTCATCGGTTACATCATCACATGGACGATCGCATATAGACAGAAGTAGACTGAGGACCTAGGCAAGGCAAAGTGGATTTAAGTCGGAAGAATGTTACATAGCCAAGGAGCCTCGAGGCGTGGATTGTTCCAGATGGCGTAATGCACGGGTGCGAGGTCCGAGAATGTTGGTTTGTAAGATGTTGCATCATGATAGAGCAGGTTGTATACGAAATTCCGAATGCTTAGTGTGCGCCTGGGAAAGGGCATTTGAATATTATGTAGTGCTCTTGCTTCATATGAGTGATTGGTTTACCCGTGTGATGAGGGATGTGCGTTTTCTCCTACCTGCCCGTGTTCCCGAGTGATGTCGCCATCTAGAGCACGGAAGATTCTCGCTTACAATTTTCAAGGCGTTGTTTGTATTTATTAGGATGAGAGGCTATTGCCAATCAGGACCAAACTCCAATCAATATTTCTCGTCCCGGAAGTTCGCCGGATGATTCTACTACTTCAAGACTAAGCTTAGTTGATCATGCCATCTGTTGTGATTTAGAGGAAAAGCTCCAGAGGGGTGAAACTTTCCCAAGTCATAACTGATGCCATTTCAACAAAAGAGTGGCTGATTGGTGTTCCCCTTTCTCGCATGACTGATGGCGAGTGGCGACCTCACTTTCATCCAGTTTCCCATCTTACACAGGCTCTCAGATCTCCAAAATTGACATGAAACGATCGTCAAAGCTTTCTTGCTATGTACCATCAAGCGCACCCCACATGCCAGGTTCGTCTACAGCCTGTACTGTCAAGTTCGTAATCCTTGGCGTTCGCACAAGACTATTTTCCCATCGCGTCCAGGTTTGATACTGATACCGACACGAAACTATCACCTTTTAGAACTCCATCATCATACATTCTAGAATTACGACC